CCCCCCTCCACCCCCTCCCCCTCTTCCTTTCGTAGAAGAAAAGAAAGTCTATCGAGCCAAAGAGAGGCTAAATTTCTTATTTTGCTGCTTTGATCGTGTATGTCTCAAATCTTGGACACATCTGTTGAGGCAAACTCCTATAAACATAGCGGGTAGCATAATTTTGTATAGTCCAACATATACCACTCCTTACCCTTTTAAAGATTGGGTATGTGTACTTAACAGAAGAGTTACCAACATTGAGCAATAGAAAGGGGGATGATCTTAACGCAGACTGTAAGCAAATGTGGGGTATTTACAAGTTTTTTTAGTCTTAAGGGGCCATACGTTGAAAAAGTTTGCTACAGTATACAACCGATATATGTTGTTTTCGGTGCAAAAACACCTCACCATAAAGCTTTTCAAGTAGTTTTTTAACCTTTAAGTTGCAATGCAATCCTAGAGAACGATAGCTCTTAATTTTTAAGGATAATTTTGTGTAACACATTTTCCGTGTAGCACAAAATCGTTTTGTGTAAAAACCTCGAATAAGCCCCCATCATCGAATGAGCCTCAAGCCCTAGAATAAACCTCCCTCCCTTGAGTAAGCCTCCCGCCCTCGAATAGGCCCCCACCATCGAATGAGCCCCCAGCTCTGGTATAAACCCCCAGCATCAAATTAGCCTCCAGCCTTGGAATAAGCCCCGAAGCTTGATAATTTCCTGATGTAAGCAAGCCCGCGATAAGTTTGACTTCCATTTAGCAGCGCATTTTACACATTTTATTATTTGTTTTTAATTTACAGGCAGGTTTCGATGGATTTGCAAGTGAGACGAAGTATTGGTTTAGAGGGAACCTGCTGTCCACAATGTCCATCAAGGTTGGTGGGGAGACGATCGAATTTCAAGTAGAAGATAAAGCTGCGACAGGCTTTGGCTCCTTTGGTATGTAGAAAAATTTTCAGTTTTATAGTTAGAGGAATCTCATTAGTTGAATGCCTTGTGTTATCCGGTCGAGTCTCCAGACAGTCGATTTTTGAAACTTTTCATTGAAATAGCCCACTTATAAAAAGAAATTGAAGAACTGGAAACATTTAAAACTAAAATAGAGTTAAAGCCAAGAAATATTGCTAAGCAACTTCTAATAACTTTCGAAAATCTTATTCGAAACGTTGTCTTCTTGTTTTTTCGATACCGTTGCAACTTACTATACCAGTCATGTGCACGCTTTCAAATTTGCCTATTTCCATCCACTACTGGGTATATATTATCCATCTTGATTTTTTTCGATCCTGGTTCTGACCTTTTAAACTGTGAGGAGTGTCAGCCAAAAGGTTTCGAATGCGTTATAAAATGTTTGTTCCTTTAATATTCCTTTAATTTTGTCATCCCGAATTTGTTACTAGGGAAATCTTACCAATATAGCTTATAGCTCTTTTTACTGCCCCTTATCATACTAATTAAATTTCAGCAGCGCTAGCTAACTAAGGTGTTTCGTGAACCGTCTCTAAACTTTTGATTAAGTAACACGGATAAAAACGGGTGGAGGATTCGTCCAGGGTCAACTGGCCTTTCGAAATAAAACCGTAGTTTCTGCAATGGCTGACTCACCAAAAAATGTTCTGCTGCTGAAATCCGCATACAGGGAGGTTGTGGCTTATTTAAATGTTACATTGTAAATAATAATTTCCTTTACCAAATTTGCATTGCCAACTGGAAGCAAGTGACGTCAGTGATGTGGTTCATTAACTAAATGAATATCAGCAGAGGAAGCCTTTGCCCTCTCTGAACATCTACTAGATATATGGTATATTTTGTTTTACGAAATCAATCGCTCTTTCTATATGGCCGGCAACAAGCAAAGCGAGAAGGGGTGTGAGCAACACATGCCCCCTTTGACACTCAGTGAGTGTCAAAAATTGTTATCATTAAAGAATGTTTTAATAGATCAGCACTTGGTTTGAGAGGAGGTTTAGATTTATTTTCTAACTTCCTCAGCCACCGATCCATATTAAGCAATTTATCTATTCATTTAGACTAAAGGTCACAACAGCTAGTCGCTTGCAAAAATTGAACCCAAATTTAAAAATCTAGCTTAGTCTCAGGCTATTTTGAATTCATTTCTTAACAAAAGGATTCGAAAACACCATCATCAGAGTATCAAAATATTTTGATATAAACTTTGTAAGTCTTGTGAGAAAAATTTCCTTTGAAATATCGCCTTCAGTAGAAATAGCATAGACAAATTTATACCCGTGGAGACTGCTGCCTATTCTTAGGTGGTTGGTGTCATGCAATTGAGTTGTGCATTTATTGTTATTTAGTAGAGGATGGCCAGGACGGCTCGAAGTTGCTAATGCCAGGTTAAACATTAATGCATTCAACAGCAGGATACATATACATACCCAAAAAGTTCCAATTTGTGACTCTTTTTCCCTTTACATTGTTTCAGGTCCAACGACTACCACTTCCAGTCAATATGGGTTCACATTCCGGTCCAAATCACCTGTTTGGATTAAGCAAAAGACATCTTTGGTTTCCTTTCATCCGGACCAATCTTCAAGAACATTTGCGACTCGTTTGTTGTATGGGTTGAAAGGTGGGAGAGTTGTCGGTGTGAGCAACCAAGCCAAATTGCGTTCAATCGTCCGGAGAATAACAATGTCAACACCTCGTGTTGTGCAGAGTTTGATGAGGTCGCTTAGAGCGAAAAAAATGACGTATAAGACCGAGTATGATGCACTTGATAAATTCAATAAAGTAGCTACTTCCCTGTTTAAGTCAGTTGGCAAAAAGATGACCGGATCTGCATGGAGTTACAGAGATATATATAAAGGAATCTCTTCTTTGAGGGACTTGACCGTTACAGGACTTGACATTGCTGCCCTACTGAACAACCGTGTTCCAATTCTAGAGAAAAACCTTATAAGGAAAAGATCAATTACAAACCAGGTTAATTTTTTGAAGAGAACTCTGAAACTTTCAGGAAATTTAGTTGCCGTTCCAAAAACGGCCGAATTGTCAGAGAATTATGCAGGGAAGATAATAAGTTTTGTTGGAAAGTTGTGTTTCCATGCTTTGTGTTTCAATAATTTGAATGTCACAATTAATGATTCTGGAAGAAGCCAGAGCTCTGATATGTTGCCTATAACGGCCATTTTTCGAACGAGTCAGACAATAGGAAACCAGTTCAAGGTTTCGAAGGGTACAAAAATGAGTGCCGTCGTTTCGAAAAGTTTGAATTACTTCAAAGTGAGCTTTGATGCAAATACAAAACTTTTCGAGAAGGAAATCACTACAAAGATAGAGATTGTTACTGACAAGGTCGGTTTCTTAATAAAAGGTTTTAAACTTCTTAAAGATGTTGAATTTGATGTCGAGGTGGCTGCTGTGAACTCAAAAAAAGCAAATTGGCAGAATTTATTTTTTAAAATAACAGGAAAAGCCGGAGAAAGATCTTTGATTGCAAGCAGTTTGGAAGAGCTCATCAAAGACTATGTTTTCGTAACATCGAAACTGGTGGAAGAACGACACAGGGATGCTGCTAATAAGCTAACAATTATCAATAAAGAAATTGCAGGTTTGAAAAATGACGTTAAAGAAAAGAAATCAGAATTTAGGAAGGCAGAAAGGAATTACGAATTGTTCAAAGCTGAATATCGTGACTGGGCAAATAAATTGAATTCTGCTACAGAAAAGTTCAATTCATATCGTGTATCAGATTTCTTCAAGAACATCGAGAAGAACCTGGTAAGACTGTTTCCTCTAAAAAAATGCGAAGATACTTGCATCTCAGTACCTGTTTATTGCATTTGCCAAGAATCTGTAATGGTGGATGCTGATACACTTGAATGCGAACTCAAAAGCAAGCAAGTAATAACAACAGTTGCGGTACCAGTAAGATCAAAGTGTCACTTGACTGACTACCGATTTACCCCAATTTACACAGGAACATGCAGAAAGGGTGGTGGTAGAAGTTTGTCTGGTGCTTTAGGTGCAATTGGAGCCGGTATTGGTTCGTTTTTTACTCCATTAGGGGCTGTCATTGGAGGGGCTATAGGCAGTTTCATAGGAGGTCTGTTTGGTTCGTCATGTAGCGAGACATACGAAGTCTATAAAGAGGTATGTTGCCGTATATTTTAATTTGTGTAGCTTTCTTTCAAACTTGTGAAGTGAAGAATTGAATAGCTACTTGTATAATTTTATTAACCTCGCACGTCCACAAGCCCAGCCTTTTTTTCTCCGGACAGCGCAGCAATAAAATCTCGAATTTCTAGGTATTTACGTCACTACCTAGCTTCCAAGGAAAACTATTGACACGCTGAAAAGTCATAAGTTTCTGAATGTTACCACATCTCGTTATTGCCAGGCCAGGAGTTACAAAGTATGTCAGTGACTTGAACCACAGGTCCTTTGATCCGTAGTCCGCGACACTGAGCTATCCACGTATTTTTGTCTTCTCATGCTGACTGATTCATTGCTGAAATAGTCGTGAAAACATGTTGAGCTTGATGAAAATATAAATTCTATCTTTATTTCTTATTTACAGGTTATAAATCGGCAGGTCGGTTGTACTTTGAGTACGTTCGAGCCGAGAAAAACGACTTGGAAAGAAGCAATATGCTTCAACAAGGTCCAATCTGTGCTTTCTGGTTACGGAAATCCATCAGAGTGTGGATGCAGCAACAGCAACTACTCTTGTGTTGTAGCACAAGATCCCGTGTGTTTGGCTGACAATGTGCGCAACGTTTCGGCAAGAAGGGCCTACGTCACAACTCAAATGCAGAACGCTGGATCTTACAATGACAGCTTTGACAAACTGCTCATAGCAGAAGCCGGAACGCGGAATGCATTCAAAAAATTTCTTCAAGCGGAAAAGAAGTATCTATTTGCCAAAAAGAACTATGAAAAAGCTGCCGCTGTCGTGAAACAGATTAACTTAGAAGTCACTTTCACGAACAGGAGTTTGAATAACTTTGACGAAAACTTCGCTTTAGAAAAATGCTTCAGCAGGGTTCAAAGAAAAGTTAACGCTAGGCTGTTGATGATTAAAGGTCTCAAGTTCGAGGCATCGACAGCGGCGAGGGAGCAGTTACTTTGCACGGTGACGACAAAGAGGGCAGATGTAGGACATGTAACAGATAAGCCACTTTTATTGGATTTACGCGATTTTAATGTATCCATGCTAAATGGTGCAAAATTAATTGCAAAGCAAACATTTTGCGAGGAGAAGATAAGAGGCAGACGATCCGTAGGCGGGAAAGAAAATGTTGAATTTAAAGATCTCTTTGTGCAGAGCGACTCAGAGATACCGAAAAATGCAACACTGGCAGACAAAGCTTGTTTGGTTTCAAAAACAGCTCTAAAATTTGTAGAAAGAGCTTCTGCTGAAATTTTAACCAAATTGAAAAATTTGGCGAAGAGGCGCAGTGAAATCACAGGATCGTTGAAACTTATAGATGGGAAACTTGGAAAAATCGATAGCTCTGAGGTGCAAGACCAAAATGATCTTCTGAAGTCGCTTCAAAGCGAGCTTAAAGTGGATAATGAAGGATTCAGTGAAAGTAAGTTGCTAAAAGAGTGGATAAAGAGCATGGAAATCATAACAGGTGCAAATAACCTGTCCAGATGCCTGAACTTCGAAGACTGCATCAAAGAATCATTAAAACAGTTGTACGAGCTTCCAAGCATGGTAACAATTGACAAGGAAGAGTTTAGGTTATTAATTAAAGAAGCCCAAGGCCGTTTCATTGAACTGCTTGCAAGCAAATTTAGCAGGTCGCTTTATGAAACTGCAGCAAACATCGGTAGAGTCGTCAAAAAGATCGTCGATGCTTCTGCCTTTTGCGAAAGGGCTCCTTCAGTGCATATAAATCAACCTACAAGGGTAGAAATAAATTCCGGAAGTAGCCTTATATTCAAATGCATCGCCAAATCAGAAAAGCTGAATATCAAATACAGCTGGACCCTGAATGACGTTATGCTGCTAGCTGAAGATTCTGATGTTTTAAATCTCGAAGTTGATTCCAGCAGGCAAGGGGCATACAAATGCATTGCTTCAAATATGGCTGGAACCAATTCTTCTCAAGAAATATTTGTTGTTGTGAGAAGGAAACCTCAATTTACCAGTGAGCCACAAGACTTTTTGTACTATTCGTCGATGCCTAGGCAAATTTCACCATTCTTCACGTGTAATGTAACGTCTGACCCCCCTGCTTTGATTTCTTGGCATTTTAAAGGATTCAAGTCTAACAATGAAGTGCGGTTGGCCTACACCCAACCTGTTCTGCGATTTGTTAGACCAGAAAAGATGGATGCAGGCTTCTATTATTGCAAAGCAGAGAATAATGTCGGCTCCATCCAAAGCAGAGCAGCCAGACTCGATGTACTGAAAAGCTCACTGCCTAATCAGGTCGTTACTTTGAAATACAAGGTAGATCAATCGCGTGGAAGGAGTGCTGGCGACAAAGATTGGTTTGCAAAGACGGTTGCTAAAGAAGGCAATTTCACCGAGACACAGCAGCTAAATGTATCATACGAGTACAAAGGAAAGCAAGCAATGAATGTTATTGTAAATGTCGTTGAAAACCTTGACAGTGGCAGAGGAGAAGCCAGTTTGTCTGAGATAGATATGCTTAGACGGGTCTCAAGATCTCGTATAGATCTATCAAAGAAAATAGAGAGCGTCGTTGAAGCCTTTAAGCCTTCAAGAGGTCGATCAGCCAGCGGCGGTGGGCAAAAGCTGCTTGACCTTGGTTTTAATGGTGAAGTTTGTCAACGTGGATATAGAATGCACGAGAACGGCTTCACTTGTCGTAAGTTCATCTTACAATTTTTCGTCCACATTCATTCAAGAGGAATAATAGTGTAGACAAGCAAAAATACAAATAAGGTATTGAAGCCAAGAGTTGACAGTAGCGCATGGATGTCAGGAGAGGATAAAAGCAACGTTACTAATGCAGTCAAAGTTTATCTTTGCTTTTGCAGCCTACTATCGAAAAAGCTCTTTTAAGCCTCCCCTATTAAACCCCTCTCGATATTAAGCCCTTCGTCCTTATCAGCCAAAAACCTAAAGTAAGCCCCTCTCTTTAAAGCCTCTTCCCTCCTCTTTAGCCCTTGATATCAAGCATAGAAAGCTTCCGCATTTAGTGGGTCTCTTGACGGGTGTGATGATGATAAAATCACGTGCATTAAATTGGGTCCATGTAAAAACTTACTTATGCGCCTTAGAATTCAGTCGAAATTTGGTTAGAAGATGTCCCAGGGTTATCAATTGACCATGGTGACTCTGATAAAGGCGAGGATATTTTAATTAATTAATTTCAAGATAGTTTCGAAGCTGCAAGCAAATTTTTTTAGAACATTTGTATAACCTTTTTACCATCAAATGCATTTGAAAACATTCGTTACTTTGAAATATTAATAAGCCCTCTTCTATTATAAGCCCTCTCCTTTTGTTGCCCCCTCTCTAGACCCGAAAAAAATACAGGGGGCTTGATAGAGATTTTCTGTATTATCTTTCAAAAACCTACCACATTTGAACTTGAATGATCAAGTCACATAAATTTTTAAAGTTTTTAGCCCCATTTGACTCAAAACAAAAATTGTACGTTTCTAACAAACCCCGTCAAAATATATTTGGTAAGGTGTGTCCTTCATCATTTCCCCTTATTCAGTTGACAAGTGATCGGCATCCAACGGTCGATCAAATTTTCCTCAAGTCTCAGTAGATGTGCCACATTTGTATCGATGATGCTTGTACTTGTGTTATCATGGTCCCTATTTGACATATTCCTACATGTTTAGGTTTGTTTCCAGAGTTTTTTACATTGCTCTAAACTTTTTCCAGTGGAATGTCCAGTTGGCACCTTTGAACAAAACGGCAAGTGTCACAAATGCTATGTTGGTACATACCAGGACGAAGCTGGAAAAGTATCATGTACACAATGCACTGCAAATCAAGTTACAAAGAAAAGAGGAGCAGTGAACAAATATCATTGTGTTCTTCCAGGTATGTTATGAGTTTGTAAATGGGGTTGATGTGATATAGATGTACTTGAAATTTAAAATATAGTGATGAATTTTGGCTTATATGACATGGAAAATAGTGGACAATGCTAATTTAATAAGTTAACAGTTGATTGAAGCAATTGTTTTGATGGAAACTACCAAACACCAACTATTTACAATACAAAAAGGAATAAATGTATCCGCAGAGGCTGCAGTTGCAAGTGTCTTCTTACCAGCTCTTAATGATATTTTTGAATGTCTGGGCGCTTTGGCTTTGTAATCGTGTTGTGTGGTCTTAAATGCTTCCTCTAAATTCGATGTTCCGTGGTTTTAAGGGAGAGTATGGCTGGATTTCCTCTGCAATTTAGTTTGTTTAATGGCAGTCCTTAGTTGGAAGGTGGAAAAGTCTTTTCTTAAAAATCGCTTTTTAGACATTATCATTTCATTTATAGAGCTGAAAAGTTCAGATATTCTGTTTGTTTTGGACACATCAACAAGCATCGGTAGATCCAACTGGAACAAGGTGAAGATGTTTGTGAAAAAATTTGCTGAAGAATTTGCAAGCAGGGACAAAGACTTGCGCCTCGGAGTAGTAACCTTTGGATCAACGGCCAGATTGCGAATTCGCCTAAATTCTTATCATAACAGTGATTTTAAACAGAGAGTGGATTACCTCCATTATTATGGAGGCCAGACGATGACCTTTTATGGACTTCTCAATGCAGACCGAGAATTTCGGCGTACTTATATACCTGGCAGGAAGAGAATAGTTTTTGTGATGACAGACGGTAAAACAACTTCGTCAAGAAGAACTTCAGGCTTCACGCTAGTGAGACAAACATCCCTTAAACTTCTTAGGCAAGGTATACACGTAATCGCCATTGGTGTTGGAAACAACATCAATCCAGCAGAGTTAAAAGCAATGGCGTCCTTTCCAAAACTTGATAACATCATCCAGTATAAGCATTTCGATCAGCTGATAACAGCCTCAAAAAAGATCGCAGCAGAAGCTTACAAAGGTATGTGATAAGAAAATGCATGTCACAAGTGGTACTTTATAAATAAGACATAAATATACTTAAAAAAGGGTTGTTGAGGTCTAATTTCAAATTAAGCTATTTTCATCTCTGGTCGGCTCACAGGTGTGCCATAGTTGATAAAGATACGAGGCCTTATACTACCTTCTACTGTGTTTTAGTTCCAGGGTTTCAGTGCCCCATGTCTACCCTTTCCCCTGCGTCTGTGGTGCCACGTGAATTTCAACTTTATCAATTTAGGTAATACTAAAGTAATGCACATTAAAAATTTTATTAGTACAAGACACACACAAACTAATGTTGATTTCAATTTTTAAATTTGGAAGATTTTCACGACTGCAAACTTCTTTTTGACATATCATCAATTTCTGTTATTGTTTTGTAACATGATCACTAACAGGGTATTTTGTAATTTTGGGAAATTTTGTAACATAAACAGGGTATTTTGTCATTTTGGGATATATTGTAACACAAACAGGCTATTTTGGGAAATTTTGTAACACAAACAGGGTATTTTGTAATTTTGGGAAATTTTGTAACACAAACAGGGTATTTTGCAGGTTCCTGTAGATCACTCACGAAAGATATAGCATTGGTGGTAGAAGCGACAAATGAAATATCACCTGGTCAATGGCAGAGCACAAAGAGATTCCTAAAGGAACTCTTAACAAAACTTGCATCGCCCAAAAACATGATTTCCTTATCGATGTTTGACAAAGAACTTCGCATAAAAAGACCATTCAAAGAGGTATCCAATGCCGCAGAGATCGAAGATTTAATGAAAGTCGTTTCCAAACGGGGAATAAAAGGTTCTATGAATTATCGATCCATAGCCGAGAGGGTTCACAACGAACTCGTGACAGAAATCTATGATGCTGTATCTCCGACTAAGATTGTTGTGTTTGTTACAAAAGATCGGTTTAATCGCAGAATATTAAATCAATTTAGCCGTTATTACCCGAAAGAGGAGGTGAATTTCTTGACAGTTGTCATGGAGAATGGGTCAACAGAAGATGATTTGTCCCTTGTTTTTGGGGACGAGACAAGCTTTACGCTGGGACAGCTACCCGCCTTGGCTACTGTTATCAACAACATCGACGCAGAAACACGAAATTGTGAAGATAAAGACAGTCAGTCGGCTTGAAGAAGCTTCAAACATTCATATCAAATTAAGAATCTTATTTTTGTAGTATAGTTATCGATCCTGCTTTTTTATTTTAGCAAGTAAAGCTAGTTTTGACATCATTTCTTTAATGAAGCATCACTTGATTGCAAATAGTTACCTTCATTTAATTTGGGTAAATAAAGGTCAAAATTTGCTCCAGAACATAGTGTCCCAAAACGAAAATTCTTTAAGGAGCCAATATCGTCATATCGCTTTTGAACATTTATTTTCTTTGAAAGATGAGATCTTTATTAATACGAACAGAAATAATTACGATTTGAACGTTGTTTTCGGTCCGTGCCTGGAAAGTGAAGAGTTTAAATCAACAAAGTTGGTGGAATTAACAAAACTCACTGTGCTAAGTATGTTGTTGTCTTTGGCTGTTTTGTTGCTTAATACATACAATACTCTCAACATTTGCGCAATAGCTCCTCACGTGTCACTCGGAGAACTTCCTAACAATATTTCCTCCTTTTATGCTGTTTTGATTTTAGGGTTAAGCACAAATCGAGACTTGAGAAGAAACTCTCTTTTTCCACAGTTCGGTTTGTTCGGCTTTTCGAAATCTAGGGAAGTTAGTGAAATCGTAACAACAGACAATCGAACTAAAATAAAATGTTGTCCCAGTTGATTAATTGTTTTCTTGCATAATACACCGACCACTGTTATGTCCCACGATACTTTGCATAAAAGATCTCCATTTAAGAAATTCTGCCAGCTAATATAGGTCAGGCACCGAAATGTTTCCTAGCATTTAATTAGTTTTAATGGAAAATTAGGGTTTCTATCTAATAAAATCAAATGTGATTTTCTTTTGCTTTATTGAACATTTTTTCGAAGTGTGCATCATAATATTTTTTTTTCATTATATTACAACAGTTTTATATCAAATCCAATCTACAATATAAACTCTTTTTAAAAAACAATATGTGCAAGTTAGCAATTTTTCTGGGCAAAATAAACTTTGCTTCTTAGAAGAGTAGTTATTTTTCCTGCCATTGGAATGGTGGGATACATTTAGCTCTAGAAATACATTTAGTAGGATATACCATAGAAAGAAACATTAAAGAAAAACAGGTACTGAGTTGTGATAGAAGGCATAAATAGTCAGTTAAAAGCTTAACTGCTAATTAGATATGCAAAACTGAACTAAATACAGAACAAATAGCTTTCTAGTTTCAATTGAGACTTTAATAAGAATGGCTATTAGTGGATTGAAGTGGTTGGCTTAATCAACTAACTGAACACAGGAAAACAGTAGAGAGAGGTTAATTTTGAGGCCCAGTCGGATTATACTAAAAGGACCTCAAGATTCTCGACAGACAAATGCAACTAACAAGTACAAATCAACCAAACAGATCATTATTAAAAAACTTTTTCTTGAGCAAACAAGCTTATAAATTTATCTACCAATGTAAGCTCAAGGACACAGACAATTTTGGTTAAAAATCCAACCTAGCAGGTTTATTTGGAATTTAAAATGATAGCAAGACACTAGCTCTTAACCAGGTTATGGTTGCACCAAAATATCAACAAAATAGATAGTTTATAAGCCTATTCCCAAGTTTTCAATTAGAGTTTGATTCAAGGTAGGTTATTTATGTCAGGAAGAAACTTTTTTGTATATAGTTCTGGATCTTAGTTCAACTTTCACAATTTCAATTTGCTTCCTTTTCTTTGCAAAATCCTTTTTGTTTAGATGTGTTCTAGTTTTCATTGGTTCACGGTCACGGTGATAATCTTTTATTATTTCTTTCGTTTTTTCAGGTGTCTTTGTATCTGTGTTGTGTTGTCTGCAGATAAAAAGGAATGTGTGAATTGTATTACTTGTTGAATGTTGAAATACATTGTATTACATGAAAGAATAGTAAATACTGTAGACTACGCATTAAGTCACTCTGCCTACAGTCATATGCTGGATACCATCACAGTATTGCTGATTACCGAATTTAGCTCAGGTCAAACCCTTAGAAGCAAACTCTTAAGCTGAATTCACACTGGACGCGTCACGGCGCGGCGCATCACTGAGCGTCATCGAGCGTCGCGTCATGTACTTCTTCATGCTATTCACACACGATGCGTCATCGAGCGGCGTGTTTTCTGTTTTCCCATGCTGTTCACAGCAAACTTGCAAAATTCTTGACAAGTTGTACTGTATTCCTTGCATTGCAAAGTCAAGCTGGACATTTAAGTTTGCTACATTTTGGTTCGAGAGGTTGGCCAATGTTTTGACAGGAAGATGATTCTCTTCAAGCATTCATTATAGAACCGAAATTTTTATTGATATTAAAGATTTGGAAGGTCTACTACAATTAGCAAAATGTTTGGCTTTACAGATTTATGGGGTTTCCCTTCCTGCCAAAATTCGAGGGAAAATTAAACAGCTTATTTTTATCAACACTCCCCAAAATTTCCATGAATTAAATTCCTCGGAAGTACACCTTTGGGAGGTATTGAAAGCTAAACGGAGAGTGATTGAAATATTTTTTTACCAAAACGGAACATACAATGACTCAACATCATTGTTGAATTGAACATCAACGAGGCAACTTTATAGACAAAGACACTAAACAAGAATAATACTGTTACTTATCACAAACTAATAAATGTGATTTGGTTTTGTTACTTTCAGAATTTAGTCACATTTACGCAATAAATCCTTATATTCAGGACTTTCAGCCACATAAATCAATTTTTCTTTCTGAATTTTTCTGGTTGCATTTTCTTCAATTTCTATTATTTCCCTACTGTAGAGAATAAGAATGCTATCACACACAATACTACAAAAAAATTGCATTTCACACAGTGTGCATCATACATACTAAATATTGCTAAATTATTTTTCTTCATTCTCTTGCATTCAAAGGGGCTTTGAACAGGGAATAAATTCTTTTCAATATATTTTAAAACTGTACTTCAAGCAATACAAAAACAATCTTGCTTGTGGTATTTGACATAATTAATCCTTCCCCCTCCTAAATCAGTAATACCCCCAACTGCATTGAAACAGTAATACCTAAATCAGTAATACCCTCTCTAGCATCCAAACCATTTTTCAAAAAGGAGGTTAGACAGCATTGATAGTTATTGTTGAAATGCTTGAAAGTTCCTTTGCTGATTTAAGGCTACCACAACTGATTTCCTGCCATTTATAGCTTTTTTAGATAACTCTGCTTAATGGGGCTTATGAAATTATTGTAGACATTAAGAAGACATTATTAAAGACCTTGTCTATTCTAGTAAAAATCTTTATGAGCATTTAATTATTTACTACCGAAAGTATGAATTTGTTGTGGTAATTCAATAAAATGCCATAGGCAACCTCAGATGGCAAAAGTCATCAAATTGAGGGGTCCAATTTGAGAATTCACAGTAGCAGTGGAGGCATATTTGAGGGGGGGCCTTATTGACAATTTGTAGTTCTAGGGTGGAGACTTACTTTCGAGGGGGGGGCAATTTGAGGATTTACGGTATAGTCTTACTCACGTGTGACTTGAAAAGGAAGCTCAAGTCCTTGAATTGCCCTCCCTCCCTCCCTCCCTCCCTCCCTCCCTCCCTCCCCTCCCCTCCCCTCCCTCCCTCCCTCAAACCTCCCTTTCGAGAGTAAGCCTCACTTTAGAAGTAATAATTATTCATCAGCCCCAGCCTTAAAATATCAAATTTTGCAGTTTAATAAACCCCCAGGGGCCAATAAGATAAACAAGACATGGACAACAAGACTGCCAAAGAGAATGCTATATTGTTACACCTCTTCTACATTTTTAATACTGTTTTTAGATAATTCCATTGCAAAGGCACCTCTAGAGAGTTTACTCTCTAAAGCAATAAATCCTTGAGGCAACAAAATAGAATTCTCAACCTTCATTATTTAAGACAAAAGCGTGATTATTTGTTCTGGAGAATTATACAAAGGGTAGAATGTATGTTAAATGTTTAAGTTATGGTGCAAAAGTTGTATTGAATTTCATTCTCATTTTATTAAACAACAATCAATCCTAAATACAATTTAACAAAGATCAACACCTAAAAATTCCAACACTTATAACCAGAACTCATTAACAATAAGTAGAAAATACATTAAATCGTATATACTTTCAATAACTGTAGTTAAGGTTTATGCAAACCTCAGCATACATGGATCATATCTAGCTGAACTGAGATTTCTGATGCATTGTTTGGGCCTTTTATTTCTTGTCAATGATTTTGAAAGACTTTAAAAGACTTGAACCAGAATTGAAATATAAATAGATCTATGATAACTAAAGGCTATTTGAGACAAGCTTTTAATTTAATCACATCATAAAATGAATTTATGTATTGAGATAAATTTGTCGACTTACTTTATATGTGACTCCATTTCCCAATACCAAAATTGTTCCTGGCAACCTTGAGCATTACATTTTCGAACTCCAGCCAAAAACATCACCATCTCGTTGTCCTTTGGTATATCAGGCATCATCAAAGGAAAAACTCCATCTTTTAAACAAACCGGGCACCTATCCAGAGCCGTATTTCTCGTGCATTTCTCGTCGTAAAGACAGTCGACACAGACTTTGTGCTGACAAGCCCCATACACCATTCGAAGTTTAGGACACAGACAGACAGGACAGCTAAATGCTTGGTCAAAGTATTCCTGAATATCTAGTTGAGACAACTCTCTCTCGTGCTCCATATCGTCTGTTGATGATTCAAATTCGAAATTAACACTATTCGCCTCGTTTGAGGGTCTACAAAAATTTACCGCCAATAAACAAAACCGAAATCTGATTGGCTGCCTCTGTCTGAACATCAAAAAAATTTCATAATACCCTCCCCCCAAGATTGAGAATAATTATGGAAAAGACCTCCCCCTATTTAATTATCATCCTCCCATACAATTGGCTCGAACTTCAAAAATAGACAATAAACCAGAAACAAAATGCAACGGTAGGCTGATAAACACAGCAACTTTAATTGCAACTATAAAAAAACAAATGGGCGCTCTTGGGCTGTGGCTGTCATTCCAATATTCAGCTATCCAATAAATCTTCCCACCGTGTCATTTTATTTTAACCCACCCCCTTTCCCCATATTTATAACACTTATGAAAAATACCATTCCCTGCTTATTCTAACCCCCCTCGTTTAAGCATGGAAGAGTAATCTGTTCAAACCCCAACTTGAGCAAATGCAAATTAACTTTAATTGCAAACTTTCCCTTTTTCAAAGTAGTTCTACCACAGAATTTTTCCTGATTATGAGGTTTTACTGCAATCATTTGAATTCTGTATCAGGAAAAAAATCAAGCGCTGGCGTTAGGGGGCTGACTCGTGAGCGCTGGAAAAATTTTGACAGAGAAAATCTTTTCTCACAATAACCTTGGCATGGGGGGTGGTAAGTACCCTGCCCCACTTGTGTCTGGTAAGTATCCCCCAAAAGGAGGCGTGATTTCACCGCCCACCCCCAATATCCTCCCAGTCTCACTCTGCAGTAGGTAGCACCGCCAATGGATGTAACAGTGCTTAAATTTTTAGCCTCACCCTAAATTACGGCCTTGAAAATAGAAAAAATGTGACTGGAAATTCAGTAAATAGAGTCTTATCGCCATGGTTGGTGCACTAGTTAAATCTTGATTTTGGAACCTCTCGTTTTAAAGTTTGAAGAAGAGGCGATAAAAGTCTAGGTTTGCCAAAAATTAACGCGAAAACGATTTGCTGACACCATTTCAACATTGATGCAGTTTCTAGCGTTGTTTGGTTCACATGCGAAAAATTTTGCAAATATTTTGAAGTTTTGTTGCAGAATTTGAAAAATGAGTTCCGTCATTTTAAGACTGTATTTTCCAGCAGGGTAAAATATTGTTTTATTTGTTGTCTTCTGTTTTTGATATAAATACAGCTGCAGTACTTCTGCAGCTCCGTTAAACGCTGAACATTAAAAATTCGAGGAAAAACTTGTAAGTTATTCAATATCTCTTGAAACAAAGGATTTTTTCGGAGCGCTTTTTATTTTCCACACGTCGCCATAGTGGAGCACCTCCTGAAATCCACCCAGGGTTGCCTGTAAAGCCATAAGCGTACGGGAAGAAAAAATCTAGGGGGGCTGCCCTACAAAAGTTCTATTGTTTACCCGGACAAAAATTTGCGATCATTATCTGATTGGGTTGATTATAAAAAAATTCAAACGTCGGGGGGCTACAGCACCTTCCCCAGCCCAATGGCTTATACCCCCTCTAAACATCCCCTTTTACAGGATTTAAAGTATCAGATGAACATAATTATATGTAATTATACTACAAAATGCATCTAGAATATTTGCCATCTCAAGTTTGTCGAAAGGACGATCCTCGGCAATACCTGTAAGTTTTGATTTACAATAATTCCCCATCCCCTAATAGCTTCCAATTACCAAAAAGCCAAGATCTTATTCTCAATTTTTAGTGAGAAGCCCCGCATTTCCGACAAACATAACTTTGGACAAATTTCTAAATGCAATTATAAAAAAACCTGTCTTTTCTATTGAAGACAGTAAATAAATGTTCGCAGTAACGAGTCATTCCTTTTTATGTTTAGATATCGATTCATGTCTAGATTTCTATGAGCATGAAGCTTGTAATGCATCTAAGTCTCCCAGTTGTATCTTGTTTCTTTTCTTGTTCAGTTCAAAATGGGAGACATTTAAAACTTATTCATTTTTGCAGGCCCGTGGACTGCTAAACTGGATAGGGGGGGGGGGGTAGCATGGATAGAAATATAGCTTTTTCTATACCTGCCTTACGAAATACTGTCAGATCTTGAAATACAGTTTTCGCAAATTATTGGGAGGGGGCATTGCCCCCTGCCCTCAGTGTCTACGGGGCTTGTTATTTTGCAAAGTTCGCTAGGGCAAATCTCGCATGGTTTTCAGATTTTGGAACTTCCAGTTAAGTTTCGCATTATTGCATTAGGGACAGTGAGCCCTGGACCCAGGATGCCTGCTTACATGGGGCCCCAAATTTTGGAAAATGCTTTTTCAGTACTTAAATACAGCAAAGTGATCTTTTTATCTATTCTGTATCCACTAATCTTGAGAGAGTCTCAGTGTTATGGCAGCAGGAGAGGGCCCCTACCAAACAATACGAGTTTTAATTTAATGGCAAAATTAAGAAAACAATTTAATAATTTTTGGAGGGTCCACCGGGCGATCGCCCAGTAGCCCGACCGGCCAGTCAGCCCCTGTTACTTGTCAGTACTTGTCAATGATGGTTGTACGGAAAGCAAATTGAATGAATTTAAGAATAATTTAAACAACGTTTAGAGGATACATGAAGATGTTTTTTAATAGTATGTAGATTTTTTATAAACTCTTGTATGGCGACAGGACTCTATATGGTCTGGAGTCTGGGTCGAGGTAGCGAAGGACGATTCGGTATGGTTTCATTTGGTTTGGTGGAGGATGTAATGGCCTGTAATAATCGCCGTTTTTACCCATTTAGATGATGACTGCCTGCAGTTCTTCTTCGATATGTTGGTGCATCCGAAATGACATTTCTGTTCAATGCATCTTGAGTCCGAATCCAGCTCCTTGCGATACCAATCATGTTTGGTCAACCTGCTGGAGGTCCTAAAATATTTTATAAGCATGCATAAAAGCAGGACTACAAGGAAGACTTTTGAAATGGTTGACTCTGGCTAGAAACAAAATGGCCTTTGAGTCACTTGTAACTCGAAACTTTAACAGGAAGATTATTTGCCATGGAGAAAGAAAGGAGCGAAACTCTTTCCGAACAAGCTGCGTTGTGCAATGCGAAGTACGTCACTTTGCCTGTCTTCCTCACTTTTGAAGGGTCCTAGGTCGAGTTCTAAAAATAGAAAATACTCATTATATATATCGGAAAGGGGAATTTGCGAAATCTGCATTTGCTAAGTTGCAAAGAAAGAAGATGGTACTGGATTGGCGTAAATTCACTGAAAAATGAGCACGATCGACCTTTTCGAAGTTCTCCCGTTTTATACCAAAGATATTGTTGAAGTTCAGCTACGGGATTATGATTTTGATGTAAAAAGCCCAGAAGACATTTTGGATGAGATTTTAGAAGATTATGAGAGATACGAGGCAAAAATGGTAAGGTTATAGGGAAATGCCTTTTATTTCTTAAAAACGACAGGCTCTGATTAGCCTACAACCCATTTAGGTTTTTCTGAATTTATTGTCAGGACAAAATATTAACTAAATAATCCTAGTATTGAAAATGGCATATTTTTGGTTATTTTAATGCTGCGAATGATAAAACTGTTTTAGTATATGATGTTTTAATGACATTTATTGTCTGTTTGATCACAAATTTTTGATTTATTGTAAATTTTTTATTTATTTTAAGTTGCTTCCTGTAGGTTTGCTTTGTGTCTACAAATGTAATGTAGCTGGCTTGTTCCAAATCTAGGCATAAGCAAAGTCAATGGTCATATGATTTATGTTTTGGGGTGGGGTGGGGTGGGGTGGGGGTGGGGGGAGGTGAGCTTAGTTTGTGGGATCTGGGAGAAGGCTGTGTCAATTTCCTTTGACATTCTAGTAAACTCCAAATAGTAAAACTTAGATAAGCTACACTCAACTTCCTGGTCATAGGGGAGGATGGAATTACTCCATCCCTATATTATTTTGCTTTGCCAAAAACAGAAATTAATTGCTTAATCAACAATTTTATTAATTTGAAAAAAATTCCTTTGATGATGAATTAAAAAGCTGTCATTGCCCCCTTTAAGCTATCACAGTGTTTTCATTTTGGAAGCTTACCCTACAACTTTCCAGAAAAAAGATTAACTCGGCAGAATATCAGCAGTTTAAAAAACTGAATTTTACAAAACGGAAAGAAGTTGCAGGACTCAAGCACCCCATAATTTCACTGAAAAGAGGTTTCACATTTTGTCCTAAATTATGATTGTATTTTTGAGCATTTCTAAGAGACTGTCAATCCCCCTAGACAGGTCAATAGTAAATGCATTGTGGAGGACAGAAAGGTTGTAAATGTATTATCATTTTTATCCGCAGGTTGTGTTTGAATTGCAAAAATTGGAGGATTTTGATAAGTTTCTTGAAATCAAGAAAAAGATGCAATGTAGGCATGCTGCTGGAAGACAGTGTCAGTATTTAAAATTGGAAGAGGTTACATCACCAGGTATATATATATACATAGATATATGATAACCATTGCTTTATGATTTTTTTTAAATGGCTCTAAGGAAGGCTTTATGCTGGGACAAACAAAAACAACTGCCTTGGCTACAGTTGACTTCAGTAATTATTCACTCATTTCATTGCTGCTGACAAAGCTGCTTGGCTTAATGCTATCAGACCATCATAACTTTATAAAAGAAGTCAAACCCCAGACAATGGGAAAAATTGATGTTAAAGAGAATATGATAATGCCAATGACGATGATGATGATGATGATGATGATGATGATGATGATGATGATGATGATGATGATGATGATGATGATGATGATGATGATGATGATGATGATGATGATGATGATGATGATGATGATATGATGATGATGATGATGATGATGATGATGATGATGATGATGATGATGATGATGATGATGATGATGATGATGATGATGATGATGATGATGATGATGATGATGATGATGATGATGATCTACAAATATCTATATATTTCCTCTGGCCTTTCTTTTATATCTACAAATATATATTTATGTTCTCAATAGTTTTGACTTAAATGTTTTTTAAAATTCTAAATACTAAAGTAGCATATATTTAACGAAATGATACCCGATGCCCTTCTCTATTTGTGAAACTTCAATCAATTATATAATATTTAGATGACTTTGAACACCACATATCAATCATTGATTTTCCATTTGATTTCTTACCACTTGGCTTTATTGTAATTAATCCACTTATTATTATTTTTTGTTTATTTTCATTCATTTCATATAGGAAGTGTTAATGATGTTTTTTGGCCAAGTAACTGGACAACTTCAGTGACATACCAGTCAAATGATTCATCTCAAGAGGAGTTTTCTGCACACTTCAGCAAAGTAAGTCTCTTATATTATTTTGCATGGCAAATGTTTACTTGTGATTTTGTTATTATCACATCTTGCTAAAAGTCAAAGCATTTGTGTGTTTCAATGGGTCTCTCAACCAATACATCTTTACAATTTATTTTGATTGAAGTTGTTCAAATTACTATGCCAAGATATACCCTGCCTTTTTTGCCATTTCATTTTGATATTTGTGTGCTATGTCCTTTGAATTTCCCATTTATTTACTATAAAAGCTTTTTTGATCCCATTTTGAAAAAATTGATATTATCACTAGATGTAAGGAACGTTTGCCCGTGTGTGCTACCTGATACATGGTTGGTTTATGGATTTCTCATTTCCATCATCATGATTGGATCATTGCAACTTAAACCAGTATTGTGTAATATTTTAAAAAATATATATTAAGTATACCTCAATGTATTTGTGGTCAAACTCTTTGTGCAAAACATAAAACTATCCTCGCCATATTTCTTTATTGTCATAAAAGAAGGATTTCTTTCTGTTGCTTTTAGATGCTTCAGAAAAACATCAATTTATTTGCAAATTTAAGACGTATTTCATTCCAAAGAATGTATTACCACCAACCCATGAACTATCTTATTGTCCCTAAGAAAAAGGTTTTTTGCTGTAACTGTCTATATTGGAAAGCATGGCAAATATTATTTTCTTTTCACATAGTGTTTAATATATTTAAAAAAACCAAGAACAATAACTCTTGATTCCATGATGGGAAAGCCATGGTCATTCATCCCTGTGGCTGAAACCTGTTGGTTCTGTCATTTTGTAAAATTACACCACAAATCTACAACACCTTAATCTGGATATTTTACTTTCAGGTCTGTGCTTTGCCCAACTTAGAGAAACTTGACATATATGGAAAGTATTATATCAATCAAATACCACTTTATTTTGGAGGATTTCAAAATTTGAAGCATTTTAGCTTTCGAAGTAGTGGCATTTCTGAACTTCCCCAGATAATGCAGTTTTTCAGTGACCTAGAAGTGCTCAATATTCGTTGCAACTCTTTCAAATTTCTTCCATTTTGGATAACAAAGTTAAAAAATCTAAAGACGCTTTCAAGACACGGTAATTACCTTGAAGGAAATGCAAATGTGTCAGAAATAATATGGAAGGAAAAATGTGAAAAAGAAGAAGATAAAGAAGGAAGAGACAAGATTAAATCGCCAAGAAGTCTCTATTTGCAGTCGGCCACAGTGGCAATAACAGCATTTCCAGTTATTGCATCCAGGAAAGAATATACTAAAGAATTACCCAAAGAACTGCTTGAGGATATGGCAATAATTGCAGCAACCATGAAAATTTGTGACAATTGTTCAAGGTCATTGCCTGACAGTGGTTGTAAGTCCATTAATTAGCATTTGTTGAACTTTTTTACCTATTTACATTTTGCTAAATTCAATAAGTTAACTTCACTAATAATTCATTCAACACCTTTGTTCAAAGATGGATAAATATGTTTATTAATTACTACATTCTCATTATGTATCATGTGTCTTTGATAATATAGTCTTTTTTCATCCAAAGAATTCTTATGTATAAAATATTGTTCTTTTATTCTTTTATAGAGTACCCATTTGCTTTGTATAAAAGTCTTGTATTTTTGTTGTCAAAATTTGTTTTACCTAATACTGGTAATACATATTGAAGATGAAGTAGTATCCAGCATGCTAGCATGACATGTTGTTTAATTATAATATCAGTTTACGGAACTTTTTTTCTTAATTGTAGATTTCGTGATACAGAAAACAGTGTCCAACTTCAAAGGCTATTTGAATATTCCATTTGAGGCATTTGCTTGCTCAGACAGTTGTTCACAAGATCTACTTATCAAGTTTGAAGCTATGAATACTGGAGAAATCAAAGAAGATCAATATTGCTATGACGTTCTTGATTCAAAACCAGCAAAATGTCGTTGCTATAACTGCAGAAATCCAAGCTTCATCAAGAAGCTTCTCAGTTGCTTTGGTTAGGGACATTTTGATATTGAAAATTAGTTTCTATCTAAGTGCATGCCTTCTGGCTGTAAGCAAAGTTTATAACCAATGGTCTTACAGACTAACTTAGAAACTTTATGAAACTATAAGACAAGCTGTATTTCCAGAAATACATTATTAGATGGTTTTCTACATCAGGTTGGTGAAGTTTTTGTAACTCAATAGTTTCTATCAATTAGGTTGTTTATCGTCAGGTCGAAAGTTGAATCAAAAAATTAGATTATTATAGCAAATTTTTTGGTTTGATTCTTCTTTACTGTTGGGCTTTTTTATTTTTCTCAATACATTTTAGTTTTGGTGTACATAGATAAGAATATTTTTTGAAATTTGTAAATATTTGCTTCAAGTATTCACATTTATATGTGATAGTATTTTGTATCTCTGTCTTCTTTCTCTGTTTTCATTGCTTTTTAAATTTCTGTGAAGTGGATCTAAAGACCTCTTTTCTGTTGGTTGAATCAGAGTAGCATAATGAGTCAGAAATGCCCCAACATTTATTGTCTTGGTTAAAAAAATGTATTCTTGTCCAATTTTAGAGCATAGGCCACTTCATCAAGTAATTCCCAGCTTTTTTACTGGTCTTTGTGCAAGCACTCAATTTTGCAAAAAAATTTGCTTACAAAACAATGCAATCATCAACTTTTTAAAACACAAGGAGTCTTTCAACAGTGCTTGAATACATTATTTTTTGTCAAAATTTGCCTTTCTTGTGATCAAATTGAATTGATTTGTTGACGATAGAAGCCCTGTACAATTTGACATTACTGCAACAAAATACATCAATTCAGGCAGATTGCTTTCCAGATTCTTAGCCTATATTCTTGTATAAAAATATTCCCAGTAGCGTCTTAGGGACTGCAGGCGTAAAGATCTGGATTATTTTTAAAATGGTGAGTTTGTAAGCAAAAAATGGGCCAAGGACCCAACTAGGTAGTGCACAAAATTGATTGATTGATGTTTTTGGCTATTATCATAGTCATTGCCTATTATCAAAGCAGTAATATGACCTTTTTAAGCTCAGATTTGGTTTTATCGCCATAATTTTTGGCCGGATACAATTTTTTGTGTGGTTTGTGCTGGTATTTTAGATTTTATGAACAAATTTACTTTGTTTTACCCTGCAACTACTTCACATTACATAGTTTTAAAAATTACTTAGTTTACGTAGATATGATATGCATCTACTTAATAAACATACTAAAACTAGAACGAGAAGAAGAAAGAACTAGAGCTACATGAAAAAGAAGTACTGTTACAAATGACAGCGATTCCTCAGAGGAACTGTAATTGGGTCCAGCTTTATTAAACAAGGGGTGTGCTGAAGAGAATTTTGTTCTACAAGTAATCATGTCCTTGAAAAATTAAGTTTTGCATAAATAAAATGAAATTTGAAAACATGTAAGGGATTTGACAGCGAAAATCGTTACGGGTGAAACTTTCAGGTTCTGGTACATTTTATTTTAAAATTCCACAACATACATTTCCACAAAATACCAAGTAAAAATACAACAACTTAAAATAACAAACAATCATTATAACAATAAGATGTGAAACTCAAATTATCTGTGGGATAAGTATGCATGGGGAATCATGTAAAGGAAGAACTCTCTCAATAGCAAAGTTAATCGAGGAGAGAGGCCCCCCTATAAACAAAGATACTTCAGCACTTCACAGATATCAAAATAAATCATACCGGAAATGAAACTCCGATTTCTGTAAGTGGGAAGTGAAAAGCAGTGTGAGAAAATTCGAGGATTAGTTGTCAATGTTTTTTGCAAGCAGATATGACTTCAATTTATAACGAAAGCAAAGAAATGATACAGATTCTTCGATAGAAGTAGGAATACTATTCCAGGATACAGCATCAGAAAAACGAACAGATCTAAGCCTTTTGAGTATCTTTTTGATGAAAAGTATTTGATTGATTCAAAGTACGAGTGAACGCAGACAGGCGAAATCTTATTGATACATTAATAGACAAAGTATTGAAGTTGTAATTGAAAAAGTCTTGTAATTTCAAGATCTTTAAGTCAGAGAAAATGGGAGAGAAAGGAGAACAAAAACTTTGAAAAGCAATAGCTTTGATCACTCTTTCTTGCAATAAGAAAACTGGATGAATGTGAATGTCACAGGCGAAACCCCAAACTACAAGTCCATAATGAAGAAAAGAAGCGAGCAAAGAATTGTAGAAACATAGTAACACATCAACAGGAACGAAGTGTCTGATCTTAGAAAACATTCCACAAGTTCTTAGAAAACACAACAAAAGCTTGATGAGTGTTTCTCAAAATTTTTCCAGAGATCTCTTTTCTTGTTCACTCAATAAGTAAAATGCCAAATTGTCAATGAAATCCAGACCTGGCTGTGATTCTTAATATTTGTCCTTAAATTTCTCAACCTTTGAGCCTCAATATTTTTATTTAATCTATGCTGTTTAAAAAATGTGTTGTTAGTTTCCTAATCCGAAAACTTAATATGAGGAAAAATACATCTTTAAGTGGAAAACTTCGATTCTGAGACTATAGTAAAATTTGACTGATTTTTTGGGCGTGGTCATATAGGCGTGGTCGAAACTTTGCGAATGTCAGATTTTTTTCTGCATCCGCCCCTGGTTCTAGCTAACTTCTTAGCAAGTTCACTTAAATGGTATTTCTAGCTAAGATTCTCTTCAAGTAGAATACCAAGAAATTTAGCATATTAATATTGTCTTATGATTTGTTTTCCAATCTTAGTGTTTATATTGTCCTTTAAGGGGCGTTGATGTGAGCCGAAAATCACAAAATTAGTTTTCTTAATATTTAAAAAAGCCTGTTAGCGTCAAGTCATTGTTTGACATTACCCTGTTCTCTATTGGCAACTTTTCAAGTTCACCAAATTTACCAGTTTCAAAATATATACTGGTGTTATCAGCAAAGAGATAAAAACAAGTTTTGGAGAAGAATTAGGCATCTATGAAAATAAGGAATAGCAAAGGACCAAAGACATAGCATTGTGACACCCCACATGTGATACTTAGTAGCAGGAGCGTCGTGGCGAATGAATTCTAGAGGGGGCCAGAAAGAAAAATTTTCCGACAAAATTTCTTTGATTTATTTGAAATAGAAGCATTTCATTTAAGTGTAGAGGGGGGTGAGGCAGAAAAACTCATAACATTTGCCTAGCTGGAAATAAATTTAAAATACACTTTTATCTTTATCTCTGTTCCTTTATACTTACAGTGAACGCCTCTGACATTCGTAGATTAGGACAAGAGTAGAATGAAGTTACTACCTGAGGCGGCACCATGGTGGTTGCCACCGAAGGGAAATATTTTTTATGATCTAATGCTTCAAATTCGTCGGAAATCGCATAATTTGAAGAAAATTTTAATGATAAAATTTTGTTCTTAAATTGAAAATCCGCTGGGGGAAATCGATAGTTTTGATCGACTTCTACCTTGTTTTACCTTACGCAACATAATTGCATAAATTTTCAAATCTGGGACACAATTTTCAAAAATCTGGTGATAGACACACAATTGGTACTGTCCCGTTCTTCAATATTAAATAAAGATTCAATTTATACCAATTTTGACCAATTTTCATAACGAAATTTGACCCTTGAAGTTTCAGATTTCAACTGACAAAATCCAAACAGCAAATCACTCCATGGTGGGAATCGGTAAATCCTGAGAAATTATTTTGTTTTGTAGGAATCTAGTATTCTCTTTACAAAATTGAATCGCCTTTCGAATTTACGGTAAGTACTTTAGTCCAAGTAATTTATTTTGCCAAGAGTTTGAGAATTACCCACAGCTCAATTTTAAGAATGTTCCGACAAAACAATAATTTTTCCGAAAATCCATCAAATTTTGAGAGCAGAGGGGCCACGGTCCCCCTGCCCCCCGGCCACGACGCCTCTGCTTAGTAGATTGAAACTAAAACCATTAACAGAGACATACTGTTTTCTACCAGTAAGGTAGGAGGTAGTAGGAGGTAGGATCTAAATCAGTTAAGGTAGGTCACTGGTGGTATAGGGCTCTCGAGCTATTTTTTAGTTCTATGTTGAGGTTGTATCAGTTAGAGATCTCAGTTTAATGAAATCTGACCAAAGTGATACTGTAGATTTCAAAAATTTAAATTACAAAATGATTTGATTAACCGTTGCTATGGTAACGAGCGATCTATTGTTTCTGAAAATTCGAAAGTTAAGTGTGCATTGATTTTCTAACAGCATCATCAAAAAGTATTGTCCTTTATATCAAATTGTTTGTTAAGAGCTGGAGAGTGCAACTAAGCCCTATTTTTCCACTTTATTACACTTATTGTAAAAATTGATGTAAAAATACATAAACGGGATAATCCAGCCTTGAAATGTTTTTTAGATTGTTGCCTAAGGAATGAATCCCTGTATGTCTACCTCAAATCAAGCATCTTTATTGCACTCTTCATGATTTAAGGATCATTTTGATATATAGGTTTTAGAAGTTTGGATTAACCTTCATTATAAAACTTGTTCACTTAGTTCGGTCAGCGGGCCCAAAATCATACTTGAATAATTCGCAGTTAAAGTTTTGGAAGCAAAAAACGTTTAGAGAACATACATTTTCAAGCAGTTTTAACATAGAAAATAATTATTTATAGAGCAATCATTATTATATCAATTATATAAATGATAAATTTACTTTCAAAACAGTTCATGTCCACCAAATCAATCAGATTAAACATCAAAACCTCCACTCTCATACATTTTTCCTTCTCGCTTGCTTGCGTCCTTACTAGATCGTGATTTCTTAAATTTCAATTCTTTTCTCCTCTTCTTGGCAGTGGTTGTCATAGCCCTCTCAGCTTTTCTTATCCTTTTTACATCCTTTGCAATTCCTGATCTTTCTAAATATTTCCCAGGTTCTATTCCCATAACTTGAAAAATCATGTTTTTATATGATGCCCCCATTGAAAACTGAGATAATGCCAATGCAACTCCAGTTTCTATCGTATTTTTTCCACAAAAAGTATTTTTTGGACAAAACTTCCACAGAATGCTGTGCATTGACTCATTTGCATTTTGAGTTGAGCCACGAGCACATCTTTTTAGCAAGCCAACTTCACTTAACCTATTGAATATTGGCACTAGCTTCTTTCCAATCTCTGTTGGGAATGTTTCATGATCTTTATGCCCACCAGGAGGTACAGACTTTGCCAAAGCCCTTTGCCAGAAACACCAGGAACTTTCTCCTGGTGGACAGTGAACATGTTTTGGGTCTTGATCTGTTGAGGACATGTGAAATAAAATGGCAAATATTCTCTTTCTCATTACATCAATGTCATCAGTGTTATCTTTAATGGCGCGACCATAGTAGTTTTGAATTTTTGTTATCTTTTCATTGGTCAGCTTTCCTTTCCCAGAAACTGACTGCTTTTGGGATTTGCAAATAGCAACAAAATCTCTGAGTGCTTTGCCCATTCTCTTGGAGACATGATTGATGCAGTCCTCCTTCTCTATCACTATGTCTTCACCATATGGAGAATCATTAACAACAGCAGCATAAGCTTTACTGTCTCCGTCAGATAGCATTGTTGTGTAATGGAGACAAAAATTTTCTTTTGATCTTCTCCACAATCTCACTGCACATTCTGCCTCCATTGAATTTGCTGAGCCATCAAAGTTCTTCCCACAATTTTGCAAATGTTTTTCTTGATCTTCTTTGTTTAGTGGGTTTTCCTCAGCAATTTTGCATTTCAAACAAAAATTGCTAAGGATCTCATAGTCAATGGGCAGGCCAGTGATAAGCTCGATAACTGCTCCAACACCATTGTGTGAGGAATGACCCCTCCTCTGCCATGTTCCATCAAAAGAAACAGAAATATTCAAAATCCCATTTTTATCAGGAACCACACCAATGTCTCTGTAGGCTTGTTTTATGACATCGATTGATTTTTCCTGTACGTTCTTAAAACATGATTTACTTGCCTCATGAACTTTTGCATTGTGCCTTGAGTAAGTGTCGTGGCTCATTTTGTAGGGCATATTCATCATGCCACACCATTCAGTGATATCCGAATATCCACACCCAATGCCTCTGAAAGCAAGAATCGCCCTTGTAGTCAGTTCAAAAGGCATACTGGATTTTGATTCTTCTATCCTCTGACAAAGGTAGCCTTCACTGATGAACTGTCCACATTTTGAGCAATTTAATTGGTACTTTACAGAGAACCCGAGGTGAGAGCCTTCGGGTATTGCCATTTGAACTCCAATTGAAAGACAATGAGGGCAAGCCAAGGCAGTCAAAAGTGCCTGCATCGAGGACAGCTGTACCATAAGATAGCAGTCTTCATCTTCGCGACTTTTTGGGTATTTTTGTTGTACCAAAGAATCCAAATTTACTCCAAAGTAGCTCAGCTTTCTCGCGCTAGCTGAAACCTCACCCTCAACTTGACAAACAGTAGTCTTTCGACGCCTAACTTGCTTCCTGCGTCCAGTAAACGGCTTGCACGATCGAAACTTGGTTCTTCCCATGACAGATTGAAACAGAAGATAACTTACAACTTTATGCCAGCTTCTGTTAAATTAATAACTCTCGATTCACAATATTTGATAAACTTTTAACGTCAAAATCGAAGAAATTGGGGCCTAGCTACAGAACGAGCAAGCGCGTCTATGAAATGAAAACGAGACTATCCAATCAAAAGTCAGAATTTTTCGAATGAACCAACCAGAAGTGAGACCGTTACATGAGTATCTAGGCAACCGGATTTCTTTTGTCATACTACTAGGGAAAAAACATTATTTTATTTTCAATAGGGTGTCCCAATTTGAAAACATCAACAAGAGGTTGATAGAGCTTGCATAGGGCTTTCAAACGATGTCAAATTTGTTGGACTTCGCTGTCTCAGAAGATAAAAATGGCTTCTTTAAAAACTAAAAAAATTTTCGGCAAAGACAAAAAATCAGCTGATCGCGAGGTAGTACCTCAGAAAAAAGTAAAATAATCTAGCAAAAAAAGATTGGAATTCGTTGAGAAAGGTCAGGATCTTAATCTTAGATGACTAAGGAGGGGTAATAACCAAAAAACAAAAAATCAATTTTTTGATGGTCAGCCACCAGTGACCTACCTTAAAAGCTGCCCCACGTATTCCATAGTTTTCAAGTTTTCCCAAAAGAATTTCATGATTTACAGTATCAAATGCTTTTTGCAGATCATGAAAAATTCCACACCCATATTTTCTGTTGTCTAGATTTTCCTTTATATTCTCTGTCATACTAATGAGTTCATGGTCTACAGAATGGCCGACATGAAAACCAAATTGAAGTGAATACAGAACATTGTGTTGCTCTAAGAAGCCAGACAAACGTTTATACATTACTTTTTCAGTAATTTTGCTGACGACTGACAAAAGGAGTATCGGTCTATAATTATCATAAACACTCGAATTAGCCCTCTTAGGGCTTATTTATTTTTAAAATTTTTGAATGGGGGGTTATGCGAGGAGGGAGGTTATCAAATTATAGTAGACATTAAGAAGTCATTATTAGAAGACCTTGTATATTTTTGTAGGAATCTCTCTATGAATATTTAATTTAATTATTACTAAAAGTATGAATCTTTATAGTAATTCAATAAAACGCCAATGGCAACCTCAGATAGCAAAAATCCAATTCGAGGATTTATGGTAGCAGTGGGAGCTTATTCGAGGGGTAGCTTATTGACAATTTGTAGTACTAGGGTGGTGGCTTATTCAAGAGGAGGCTTTATTGAGGGGGGGGGGGGGGGGCAATTCAAGGATTTAGGTAGATGTTGTAACAGAACAACCTTTGATCTTACACAATGGAGAGGATATTAATGGACATAAAATTTAAGAGCTATAGGGCGGCCCGCGCCATTGATCCTAAACCGAAGGGGCCAGCAGTGTAAAGAAAGTTGCCTCTAACCCCTACATGAGTGGGTCCAGGGCAAATCTGAAGGAGGGGCAGTTTGTATTTGGGATGCTGAAAATTTTCAGAAATTGGTGGCTATACGCAACAATTACAGGCCCTAACTACTGACAGAAAGCTTTCTACTCACGTTCTAAGTTCTAAAGGAAATTTCAACTCGGTGTGGGAGGGGCAACGGGCTCTCGCGAACCTGGAAATCCCCGCAGCGGCGCAAGCAAGGTGGCCTGATGGAATGATCTTTTTCAATCAAAGTGCAAAGTAAATCTTTTGTAATGCAAAATGTTAATATAGCACAAAAAGCGGAATCAGAGCATTCTATGTATCGTGCACAAACTCCTATTCCAGCAAGACACAAAAGGAAATAGAAAACTGAAGATTTGAAAGACCATGTTTAACCGCACGTTAATGGTTACAGGACGCTCACGGGATCACCATTTCTATGTCGATTCTAAAAATAAATGTTACACGATTATAAATTGGTGTAAGAAATCTGCAAGAATCAGAATTTTTAAGTCGTTGAAAAAGAAGAAGATTTTTTGCAATATTGAAACTGCTAAAACGCCGAGCATTCACTAGACAGCGATTTCAGTCAAAATGAAGTCACCCAAGGTTGCCCCTTTGGAACTTTTTCCAAGCGTCGAAGTTCAACTGTGTGATTACGAATTCAAAGAAAAAAGCTCAGACAACATTCTGGATGAGATTCTAAGAGAGTGCAACAAGTTCGGAGTATGTGAAACCTCAAAGGTAAGCCTTGATCAAAACGTATTTCTTCTGGTCAGCATCACCCTAAAGCATCACCCTTCCCATTTCTCCCAGCCCTTTATTCCCAGAGCCACGCCGTACCATGTTTATCCTCTTTACCCACTCTATTAAAATGCCTTCATACACTCTACAGTCCTACTTTAGTAAGCACTCTGTGTTGATTGCTACTTTTTGTTGATCGTTATAATATATATATTTTTTATTTGTATTTCCTGACCTTTGCAACCGTGAATGATACTGGACGCAGGATTGCGAGGGGCGCCTACGAGAAATGGACATACCGAATTAAAGCCCCGAAATGTCCCTCGTGGGTTTCTGGCTGATGAGTTGCTTTTTTATCATTTTCTGCCCACTTACAAGGTAATTGCTTAAAACATACAAGGGCACACACAACCACCCCCCATCTGAGTTTGAGGCTGTAACCAGGTGGTAGTGACTACTCCTTATCTCCTTTTTTCTCATTTTTCTATTTTGGATTTTATACTTTTATTCACATATTGGTTTTTTAGTTTTTACCTGCTATGCCTATAAAAACATTGATCATGCAGGAGGAAAACCAAGGGCCCCTTGACGGGCCGCCCCTGTGTTCACCTCTACCCTTTGGGATGTGGCTTACAACACATGGCACACAGTATGTTTCATTTCTAAATGCCACAATATACAATTATTCAATATTGGAAAAACTAATAACAATTTAAATAAACACAGAATGCAAATTGAAATAATGAAAGGGTGATGCGTAATGTGTGGGCTTATATATAAAACTGTTTGTTTATAATATTTGAAAATATATATTTATCAAAGCTCTTGCCTATAATTTTTTAAAACTTTGAATACAAAATCAATGAAAAACAACTTGGTTGACATTTTGCTGTTATATGCTTCTCCAGAATAACGTAGATGCAATAAAGCTAACACATCTTACAAGCATGGAAAAGAATAACCATTTAAATATCGTACTAGTTTGTTCGATGAGCAACTTGGGGCAAATGCCCCTCCCTCAACTAGTAAAAGCAAGTCTGGCACCTTTTTTGAGAATTATATGTGCTCCTTTTGAAGATTGAAAATCAGGTGAAAAAGTTTCTGAGACTGATAGATCAATTTGCTTCAAGGATTACCTCAAAGTTATGTTGTTTATTCTGAAAATGGATCTGAAATTGTTGTATACAGCATACTCTCATAACCAATTTTTGAAAATTTGCACCGTCCCCAATACCAACTGCCTCTCCTTCAAATTTGCTCTGGATCTGCCTCTGCCAGGCAGAGGTGTAAGACACCCAGAATTGCGCCAGAAAGGGTATCTGCCCTTAAAAATAAAAGTATGAAGCTAGACAAGTATGGAATCTACCTTATATGTATATGTATTATAAGAGAAATGCATGGAATAGAAAGGAAAATATCTATCTAGATAGATAAAACTGTGGAAATACTGAACAGCAGTTACAAGGGGAAAAAGATAAAGATATTGAACTAAAAACAAGACTTTGTTTCCATCAACCTAATATTGGTTTCTTACTTGTACTGCCAGAAACATTCACATATCCTACCAGATCACATAAGTTTATCTTTAGTATTATTCCTAATGTCTCAATCATCTTTCCTCCAACCCTGTCAGAATGAGGTTAGCATAAGGTTAGTAAGGGCATTGCCTTCTTGTTGTGCTTTGAGTTACTAGTGTTGTAAATTCTGGTGTATCAGTAGGTTTACAGAACAAGTATGCCGTTAGGACTCCTAGAAAACTTATACCCTCCCTAGAGTCCGCCAGTCATAAAGATGTTTACATAGGTTAGCATTGTTTCTCAAAAACAGGTTTTTTGAATTTAATGATATTAGGTTTTATAGGCTAAAGTTATGCACAATTATGGGAACTAAGATCACTCCAGCCAAACAAATTGTTTTTATTGAACATCCATTTAAAATTTTAAAGCACTTTAAAGTTACAGATATATATTCGTAATATACACACAAATGCCTGGCTTTTTTTACAGAGTTTTTTTTCTACATTGTTCGTTATTATAAAATATAGGCAAGTTCACTGTTCCCTTTTTACTGTATTTATTCTGCTTATTTTGCCTCTGACTTGGCCTAGAAACTTTATAACGCTGTTTTAATGGTTATTATTTTCCTTGCCTAAATGGTTATTCATACGGAAAAATCAACAGACAAATTTTTATGTATATTTTTCCTAAACCAATTTCTAAAGGGTATCTCATTTTTGCAGTTCAAATAGGAGCAACTTTCAAATGTGGCTTTTCAAATTCCTACTAGTGCAAATGGAAAGAAAACTTAAACATACTGATTGATAAATTATTAAACATTATCTCCACAGGTCGTGTTTGAACTGAAAGAATATGATGATTTTGACAAGTTTTCCAAAATCAAGGAAGAGGTGCAATGTAGACATGCTGTTGGAAAAAAGTTACCTCATTTCTTATTGAAAGAAAATTCATCAGAGGGTATGTTGATTGTCTTTATATGCATAACATTGTAACTTCATATCTTTGCCAATATCCTCCTATGTATTATAATTTATGTAGAAGATAAAATGTCCAAGCTATTCAACTGTTTACTAATTTAACTCTGCTTGCACATGTGTGGACCTCTCATCTTGTTATTGATTAGAAGTTTTTCTGACTCTTCAGAGAAGATGGGGTACAAAGAGCCATAATTGTATCTTTTTGTAAGGGTCACTACATGAAGCAGACACTTTAGCTTTGTAGCTGCCAGTACACTTTGTGGACCTCTCCCTTTCTTCACGTGTTTCCCTGCCGTTCTTTATCTTTTAAAATATTGTCTAAATGGACTAAATGGAATTTTATAGATATTGATATTTGTGTTGTAGTATGGTGTAACAAGAAGGGAGGGTGAGATTCTTTGATGTACAGTATGTTGAGTTAGACGAGCCAAAAATGAGAAGTTTTATTCAACTCTCATGTTTACTAACTAACCAACTTACTCAATAGCCAATTGTTCAATGATAAGAGAAGCAACTTACAAGGATGAAAGCATTTGCGCTGTGTGCCTCTGCCCCACACATCTACAAGAATTAATATGCTGTGTGCTGCATGCATAGCTTTTGAAAATTTATTATTTGGTAATGAAAAAATTCACATACCCTTGTCCCCCTTAAAATACTAAATGTGATTGTGAAGAAAAGTTGTTTTTGGGTGTAAGGACAATGCATCATGGCTAAATTTCAACATATGTTATGGCCTTGTTTCTTTCCACAAAGGAAAATTTCAACGATCATATTGGCCAAGTAACTGGACAACTTCAGTAACATATACATCACATGATCCATCTCAAGAAGATTTCTTTGCTTATCTTAGCAAAATATGTGTCCTTTGCTGCTGTCTTGTTTGAAGATGTTGCCTTTAACATAATAGGCATTAAAAACTATGGAAGTCCTCCTCTTTCCATTTTGACACTATCCATAGATTATGTTGTCAGACCTGTTTTAGATCTGTTTTAAATCTGCTTTGAGATCCTCCTTTGAGAGATCTCAAGAACCAATCAGAAATGAACTTGATATAAGTTCTAATAGGTTTCCCTGAGATAAGGCCCTCAGGCTTTGGGAGGTTTGAGAGGCCCTGGGGCAATGCCGAAAGATGAGGCCCCAAAACTTTTTGCGACCATGGCCTTCAGATAAGCTCAAAATTCATTTTGGAACATTTCTTTAAGTCATTTTTGCAATCGTTCAGGGTTGTGTATTGAAATTGAATTATATAAAAAAAATTATAGACGATTGCAGTTAAGAATAAATCAATATATATGCAAAGAAATAAAATCTGTTGTTGTTTAATTATTCTGAAATTTTTGCCCTCTTGTCTTTAACATGGGCTCTGACACAGGTTGGACAGTTGGGGGGCAAGGAAAGATTTAACACCCATGACAAAAGATTTCTAGAAAGTTCTTTTGTCCTGCAAAAAAGTGTGGACCATGGCCGTCTTGCCCCTTTCGTAGAAGGCCATGTAATAAAGGACTGCCGTAGGAATCTTGCAAGGGTCTGAGCCAAATAAACATGCTATTGTTATCAAGAGATTTTGTCAAAGAGGGTTATTTAAAGAGACACGTAATTTGCAAGTAGAAGTTGCACTCTTTTTCATAAGTTACACTAGTTACACTTAATTTTTATCGAAAATCTGAGGCTGGATTGTTCTTAACTTGTTCTTATAAGCAAGGACCGCGGAGCATATTACAAATTGAGGGGGGCTAAAACGTTTTAGGGAATAAACATACTAAAAATCAAAAGCAGGGCGAATTTTTGTATGGCTTTAAGTATATTTTAGAAGTTTGGGGGACTAAAGCCCTGTACCCCCCCCCCCCCCGCTTCCGTGGTTCCTGGGTGTAAGCAGTGAGATTGCTAGCTTTTTCGCTCTGGGGAGGTGTACCAGCCTCATTTGCCAAACAAAGTGATTGAGAAAACCTTGGTTTGCTGACAAGTTTGAATATTCACCGGAAAAGGGAACAACTCATGGCTAAAATAATCGATTTTGAGATGACACATTGTTCAAAATTGCATTTCACAGTAGCTCAGCCTCAGCTTGTTCTTAATTTGTTCTTAACTTTTGACCAGTTGTGAGGCTGGTGTCTTTAGAAAATTGTTCTTATAAAAAAGAGTTTATATTCAATGTTACTGCTTTAAACGAGTAACGTATTCTTGTAATGACGTAATAACGTAAAACGTATAACTTTTATACATTGGAGGGATTGCATTTATACTTTTGCCCCTCAGGTGCCATCAATATACTCTTTATACTCTAAATATTACCCCCCCCCCTCCATTGTAAAGAATAACTGCCTCCATTTGATGATCTTCTCTCAGGAAAATCAATTTAGGCTTTTGGTGTACCAGCCTACCAGCTCTTGTTTGTTTTGTCGGTGTTTTCCGATATACTTGTCCATCATACAAGGTAGTAAGGTTGTGTGAAAAGAAGGGAAAATGACTCCGAGCTACCAAAAAAAGAAATTTACAAACCTGATTGATGAGCTCTTTACAGTGTACGTGCTTGGGTTACGAACGCCCCACGTGTTATTTACCAAACAATTAATTCACATTTCTGCTTGTTGCCTGGTTGTTCCACTTGTTCCTGGGTTGTTACTGGGTTGTTAATGGGTTGTTACTGGGTTGTTCCGCTTGTTCTTTGATGTAGAATCGGCGCTTCTTGTTTATCAAGATACTCCCCTCGAGATAAAAGTAGCTACAGCTCTGAAGTACCAATTTGACTTACGTGGCCATTTTATATTTCAGATATATGCATTGCCAAACTTGGAAAGTCTTGCCATATATGGAAATGATCAGAAAAGTTTACCACTTTCCTTTGGAACATTTCGAAAGTTGAAAAAGTTTAAGCTGACAAATACTGGAATTTCAGCTCTTCCTCAAACAATGTTTTTTGTAGAGACCTGGAAATACTTGAGCTTGAAGGGAATAGTTTTGAAGTCCTACCATTTTGGATAGCTAGGTTGAAAAAACTTCAGACTCTGTCAAGATATCATAATTTTCTTGAAAGAAACATAAATGAAACATGTTTTAGATGGCAAGGAAAAGCTAAAGAAAGACTGGAGTCACCCAAAAGTCTTTCTTTGCTATCAGCGAAAATAGCGATGATAGCATTTCCGAAGAAAGGATGCAGCCAAGGATTACCTATAGAAGTACCATTGAACCTGGCAAAACTTCTAGCAAGCCTGAGATTCTGTGACAATTGTTCAAAGGCATTGCCTAATGAATGTAAGTTAAATATAACAAATTGTGCTGTTTTGTATGCAAAATCTTGCGAGTAAAGCTAAAAATAACTGCTAATAATAGATTATTGTGCATTCCTTGTATGACAACTTAAAAAAAGTATTTTCGACATTTCAGTAACATGTTTCTTTGGGTTTGTTTTTATTCTTTTGGGCTGGAAACACGATATGAAATTTCCATGAAGGCTAATAATTAGGCGTTATATCATAGAAAAGTTTCAAATACAAATCCGAATTAATAAAGTGCTAATGAAAAACATCAGAAATGCAAGGTCAATATTTTGTTAGCAGTTAGGTTATGCTCTTTTTACAGCTACCAAAAGCTGATTTCTTGTAACAAAATTTGTTAAAATTTTCAGCGAAACTTTGAATTTTACAGGAAGGCAGTTTTAATACCTATTTACTTTTCTGTCGGTTCTGAAAGTCCAATAGTCCTAAACAACGTGTATTCCTTGATTTTGAAATATTATAGTTTCTTTGCCAAGTCACCTGAACGTGTTATTTTTCATTCATGCCAGGATATCAGTGTCTGCTCGGCTTTTTGTCTGACGTGTACACTTTTGAGGAGTGCTGGATATAACATACATTTTCCATGTGTTACGTTGTTGATATTTTTGCATTATATGTCCTGATTCTACTCTTGTTCAATTCAAAATTCTTTGTTTGGTATAAGCTTGATATTTCTCTTTGCATCTGAATTGCAGATATATCAATAAAGAAAACAGTATCCAACTTTAAAGGCTACTTATTCATTCCATTTGAAGCAATTGCATGCTCAGAGACTTGTGCTGACTGTATCTTAGAGGATTTTGCATTAATTGATTCAGGTATAAGTAAAGAAGAAAAGTATTCTTTTGACGTTCCTCCTCCTGAATCTCCTTCACCAAAATTTTTATGTTGCTCATGAAATTCCTGTAGCAAAGCCCACATCTTTGGTTCGAGGTTGGGGGAGGGGGGTATAGTACAGAAAATTTTGGATTATATGCAATGGGAATATATGTTATTGAAAATGAAAGGGAAAAGTCCCCTTGGCCCTACGTTAGTGCACCCACTCTAAAAATTCTTCTCTCTAATTTTAGTTGATATTGTACCCTTTGAAATTTAAGTGAAATCAAACTCGGACATGAATTTAATTAATTTAAGTTAATACAATCTGCTGAATACAGCCATAATTTACATAGAAGCAAAGTGACTGACTTCAAATATTTACATAAATGCTAGAAAGCAATTAGCTGACTGATGGGAATTCCAAATGAAATTCTCCTGTAAATACTCATTTACATGTAACATTCTCAAAATTGGATAAATTGTAATGCTTTTGTTTTTTCATTTATTTATCATTAGGTCCACAACTTTCCTAAGATGAATAGAAAAATACAACTAACTATGGTATTCGTTTTCTCCCATCCCCACCCTATCCCTTTCAAGTACATGTATGGCTGGTTCTAGAATATGTATTATAATTTCTATAGTAGTTGGTAACTGTAATGGAGTACATATAAAGTATTTTGAATAAAGAAATGATAAATTATATTTATATGCTGATGTGTTGAATAACGTTGTATTTTTAAAGCCTGAACAATTTTAGCCCTGTTTTACCTTTAACCTTTTCACAGACCACGTCTAATTGTCATGCATGTCCATAGTTTTTTTTATTGTAAAGGCTTTGATATGAATTTTTAAATTTGCTTGTCTTCTTTCCCTTTGCAGCTTTATAAAGTCCTCGAAAAAATTAACGAAACAATAACGAGACAAAAGGATAACCATAATGAAACTTTAAAAAACCGAAGCTTTACTAAACGACGGGAAATGGAACGAGATACTGTGAAATACTGTGAAATGCCGAATACAGAAAAATAGTCGAAAATGTTGTTCTTTGTTGATAGTAATCAGAATACATTACACTATGAACCGTAAGAATAAGCCTCAACATGAAGCCTAGTTTTGCACACAGAAAAGTTCGTGCTTACATTGAGATGGTGTCAGTAAATATCTATGCATTGAGATGGTGTCAGTAAATATCTATGTACGGCCTAAACCTACGTGTTATTCATTGAGAGACCTATGGTTTTATGGTTTTAAACAAGCCTTGCAATTCGCAAATAATAGGTCAGGCTCAATTTGAAACATATATTCATCTATTGACTGGCATTTTATATTCTAGTTTATTTGAAAATGCTCTCAAAGGTGTCACTGTAAGTGAAAAGTACATAAATAATTCTAGATATGCAGATTTTTTCCTATTCCATATAAAATTTTACAAAAGCGAATTACTAACTAACGAACTACTACTATATGACACTACGAAGAATATACCAGGAGGAGCAAAATATCGTGACTACCCCCTGGCTTTTAACATGGATTTAAAACACAACTTAAAAATGAAACGTATTTAATACATGAATGATTTAACAAAATAAAAAAGAATTACAAGTTACGAGAAAGAAGAATTACAAGTTTTTGTTTCCTTTTCAAATCATTTGATGATGTTCTCATATCCAATACCGAGGGAAACTTGCAGCATATATTTGACAAGGTAACCCAATAAAGTGTTATGAAAAGGCCTCTCTTTAAACCGCAATGGACAGAGTTCTAAACTGCTACGTAACTCCAACCCTTACATATAACGAAAAAGCGAATAGAAGCTATTGAAATGTGGTTTCTTAGACGACTGCTAAAATTACCTTGTATACGACATGTCACCAATAAAGAAGAACTTCAGATAGCAAAGTCAAATATTATATATGGGCAGCAATGAAGGAACCAAGGAAAATTCATAGGACATACTGATTCAGCGGTTGGAACATATCATTACGATAGAGAAAAAGAGACAAGAAAGCGGAGAAAGACAGGCAAATGATTCCACCATCCATGGCAGGAAATTTTGCAATTAAAACAAAGGAGATGTTGCAAGATGCAAGAGATCGCAGAAAATGGAAGGCCATGACAACCTATGACGGGCATGGTACCCACAGAGAGAGATGTTTTAACAATGTTGCATGGCAGCTATTGGCACATTTTGAAACGGCAAAGCTACCGAATACATCTAGTACGTATTATTAATATCTAATGTGTATCTACTACAATTGAAGTTTCGTTTCTTGATCTTGGCCTTAACGTCCAGCACCCAAGATTGTGTATGATCCAAATCCATTCTGGCAGTAACGACCAGAGTATCCCGATTTGCAAAAACATTGATTTGGTGCAATGCAGTAGCCATTTTTGCAAGGAGGTCTGCATATCGCTGAAATGAAAAAGATTAATTCTCAACAAGCGACTTTTGGCATCCTTCTACTGTATAGATAGCAGGAAAAGAAAATTTGGTCTCTATTATCATTTTAGTGTTCATCGTTTATTATGTATGAACAAAAGTCGAAGATAACCCGGAAAGGCGAAAACATAGCATGGTTAAGTCCCTTATCCTTAATGTGTTGATTAGTCAAATCTTTCGTTACATATGATATAATTTCTCTGTAATTTGTTAAAGGCACTGTGTCCCGTTAGTCAATCGTTCAGAGTGAACAATCAGCTTTGCAGCGGGTTTAAAATCGAGAAAACATGGAGAACCGGCCTTACGTTGCCGATCGGATAGGTATATTGTGTAGTCCAACCAATGGATCGGGACATAGTATCAGGACGTAGTGTCTTGAATGAGTGTGATGATAAAGCAAATTGATCTGATCTTTACGTAGCATCTACTCACGCTCTGGGCATTCTGTGCCTCTTCTTGCATATCCTGTGCAGCAATGACGTGCAATTCCCCTGATAACTTTCAGTTGACTCACGTAGTAAGTAGAATGAAATGTTCTATAATAAGCGAAATAAGTGGACAGCTACACATTATTGTTATTAAAAATTGATTCTTAGGAAAAAAATATAGATGTAAGCTATTTCAAAAACGATTGGATGACATTTTCTGCCTGATAAACAATTTTGTGTTGCTAGCAACTCCAGATTGAAAGAAGACCTCTTCATTCTCGCATCATTAAATTCCAGTGAGAAGCGAGGTTGGAGTTTTTTTAACGAACAATGCCTAGAAAAATTAGTTTATTGTAGAAATAAACAATTCTCGACATCAACGTATTCCTATTCTCTTGATTTCATTATAAAATGAGTTGCTCATCTATTTTCCCTTAAAACGAAAATATCGCATAATCCTTTAAGCGATTTTTGTAATAGATAAGCAAATGCCTAAACGTAAAATACTAAATAATGGGGTTTTGTTTGATGCGAAACACATATTCATTTGTTAATAAGCTCCCTCTTATACATTTATATGCTGTAAATTTGTAGTATGGCTTTCAAGATTTTTGGGGATTTCCAATAAGATTTTATGTTATTCCCGTTAGTCCCTTTGTTTTAAGTATACGTCCTGACTGTTAAACTAATATTTTTCAATAAAGTTTCGTTTAGTTTTGACAAGTTTTTCCATCGAAATGACAATGAAGTCAAGGACTTTTTAAAACTTCAGAGGATTGTTGATTTTCCTTTATTTACAGGGTACTGCAGAGCAAGCTTGCGCCTGGAGGCATGGCGAGTTTTCATTTTTCACTGTCCATGGATTGCCTTACTGTGCAGGTAACCTTAAAGCATTAATTGCTCTGCATAACATTCAAAAGCACAAGAGATTGTAACTTGTAACAGGTATGAATTGTAACTTAGTGACAAGGCTTTCAACATCAGAAAAGCCACGTCAAAATTATGTACTTTATCCAACCATAACTGGATACGTATCGAGCAAAAATTAAAGAAAATTTGAAAGACTCATTGCTAACATTGGGCTTTCGCGAGCGTGGCGAAGATCCAAACAATGGCAGTAAACTGTCTTCAATGGCAGTAAATTGATTTCAGACTGTCTAAAAATGCATTATGAGATGCTTGCGTAGCGCAATGGCTCATTGTTAGCAATGAGTCTTTAACTTGGTTCGGCTATGAATCGATTAAGGAATACAGACTTCTAAAATGCAATGCTTGATATAAATAATCTTATCAAACTGGCTTGAAAAGTAAGAAAACTTAGATAATAGGAGGCTTAGATTGAATGATTATGATAATATTAATTAGGCTTAAATTCTTACCTGTACTTTGTACATTTCTTGACACATACGCGTATACCCCACATATTCTGATTCTCTGGGCAGCAAACAGTGAAACTTTGGCTTTGAATCCTCCGTTTGGGTACAGTGTGATATGCTTGGAATATGTATGGCCGGCTGCATACGTTTTTGCTAGAAACACGAGTGTGTACGTTAAAGGATAGGATACAAAAATAGGTTTGAAGAAATCTAGGGATAGAAATCAGGTTCGCCAACAAAAGTTGGAAAGTAAAGAGGCAAAAATAAGCTGAAGATTCAAAAAGAAGGTTTTTGCAAATAAGATTTTGTCTAGCAAAAATGTTTAGGCCATGACCCCCGCGCATCCTCCCCGTCTTCGGGGGACCTGACTAATAGTCATAAAGGTGTAATTAATTCAAATCTTTAAAGTTTGGATGTAACTGTGGCCTGAATAATGTTGAAGCGCATTGCATTTTTGAATAAGAATAGAACACACTTGAATGGAGGGTTATGAAAACTCTTCCAATATGTAATGCAGAAAACAGAGTAACGAGTTCTTTACAAGCAACGTGAAACAATACAACAGAAACACAGAATCGATTCCTTGAAACAACATTTCATATTTTTCGCATTTAAGGATGATCAGCAGAATTTTCTTATTGACTGGCCAGCTCTAATAAAATAAGTTGAATTGCCTACAAATTGAATTGTTGCGTTTAAAGACAAGGATCATGAAAGCAGAACGACGAAAAATGTTATTTTTGAAGTACAGTGACCAAGTGAATCAAACCTGCTAATCATAACAATTATATGTAGATTTCTGGATAGAAGCGAGTCATGTTCTATGTCTAGAAAAGCTTGATTCGATTCCAAAATATGCAAGTGTACGTAGCAGAATAAAAAATTGAATTAGAAAGGGTGTACAAACAAATAAATAATCCGGGAAGTGTTTCTTACCCATCATATCTGAGCTCTACACTGGTCGCCCACCTACTCCAGAGTAAAAAAACAAGAACACACATTAAACTGAAACAGTTCATTTTGTCTCTCCTCGATCCTGTGCAGACGCTAATTCCAAACCAAAACCACTATACTCGTACTACTAACAGGATATTCCTTCTGTGGTGCCTGGATCTTTTCCTCTATTGTGATTGCAGATTATGGAATTGATGGGATGTTTAGCGGCTAGAATGGCCAAAACTAGACGCGCTAAGCTTTCAGCTTCCGCTCAAAATGAAATAGGAAGACTTTCTTCTGTAAAATGATTCCAGTAAATTATCTTCCTGTTTCGAGCTCATTCAAAATCTATACATTCACACCAGTGGTGTAGTTCTGTCAAATTAACATGGGGGCTCTTGCGAAAAACGTTGCGAAAAACGTTGCTAAAATCAATAGCAAAAGTAGAAATTGGCTACTTTTTAGCCCCCCCCCTGAATCCCCTTACACTACACCCCTGATTCACACAGATATGCCCATATTGTAGAGAGATAATTTCCTTTCGCTGTTGACATTTCTGTCGCACAAACCAAACAGGGAACCGATTTTTTCTAGCCACGAAGCACAGCCATTTGATTCAAAAGCTCTAGAATCAAAGTTGCCTCTGATTGGTTTAGATCGTTTAATCATCGATCAAACTCAACGGTGCGTGAATTTCACTCACGTGAAAATAAATTTGAGCACAATAGGAGACCGACTGCCTCTAAACATTGTCTGTCCAATTAAATTGGTCCACAGAATGATTTTATTGGAGAAGATAAATTTGTCAAAGTTTTGATATTTGCAGAACCGTTGTTACTAAGACTCTCCAGTTAACAGATTCACCAAAGTCAGATTACTGTTTTGATTTGCAACGATATTTAGACGTAATCTTCCTAAACAAGAGGAATTCATCTGCTTTCAGTTGTATAAATGAAAACCAATGATACTCTTATTAAGCTATTGTTCTTAAAAATTACTGCCAACAACCGTTAATCAAAAGAGGACTACCGAAATGGGGGCTACTGGAGGGGGGTTTTTGATACACTTGAATTTTCAAGACAGAGAAGTCCTTGAAGAAAATTCCTTTTTTTCATTTTCTTTCAATGGGTAACGTAGAATGTTTGTATAGTATAGTTGAAGGCAAAATGAATAAAAATACATAAATAAATACTCCTTTGCTGTCAATCCTTGTATTGTTTACAGCACTAGGAGAGCCCTTCCATCCATCCAAAAGCATTGAGTTCCTACCAACCAAAAAAGTTCCGTTATTTATGAATTTACGTGCCAGTGTGATTCTGACTACGTAGCACGCACAACCCAAAGATTGGGAGATAGGATAAAACAGCATGCTCGTTCCAACATAAGAAACAAAACTGCTCCTCAAAGAGAACAGCCTCCTCGACCTTGTAGGTCTAGAAACACTGTTAAAACAAGTAATTCTGCCATCGGTCAACATCTTTTAGACAACCCACATTGTGCAAAACTCTATAATGACGACATGTTTCGGATAATTGGCAGAGCCCGGTCGTCTTTCCATCTATCAGTTTTGAAATCGATCTACATGCAAACGAAAAAGCCGCTATTGTGTAGACAGAAGGAGTTCGTTTTCTCTCTTGGCCTCCACTGGTAATTTTTCTTTAGGCACGCTTCACTGATTGGTCAACTATACCGGTCTTGTGCTTGCGTTTTTTCTGATTGGCCTTTTTCGATCCACAATTGGGTATATAATTTTCATCGTGTTCTCTCGGACCCTTAATCTGATGTTTTATGCACTGAGGAGTGTCAGAGGGAAAAGCTTTTAGTTGATATGTTGTAAAATGTTTGCTTTTTGCAAAGGCTTTGGAGGAGGCGCCCGTGGGTATGTTTTTAGATGTTCTTTAAAATGTTTAAAAAAACCTTACCTGTTCCCAGTAACCTTTTTTTGAATGTTCCCTAGAACATTTTCGAAATCATGTTCCCTTGGTCCAAATCAAAAATACGATATTTTCCTATGTTCCTTGAAAAAGACGGCAGATTCCATTGATCCCCATAGCACCTGAGAGTAATTAATCCTATTATTTCAACAGATTTTTCTGGCCTCTTCTTCAAATTCTGCATACGTAAGATAAGTACATGTAAATTTACTTTAACCATAGCATGTCCAAACAAAAGCAAATAGAAAAGGGTGTCCATCTTCTCAAATATAAAAAGAGGCCCTGTTTTGAAGCACTGAATTCAAGTTTACTTTAAAGACCTTGGCCCCTTAACTTTGAAATTCGTGGCATGAACTCTGATCGAAGTTGGGTTTCATATAGCCTGCGTCACAGACCATAACACCTCTTCAGTTATGGTGTTTGACGCAAGCTAGGTTTCCTAAAGATATTTATATTTGCTAAGCATGAACCTAATTCTTGTTGGTAACTTTTCTAGCAGTTGTATCAGAGGAATATAACATACACGGAATAAAACCAATATCAAATGAATTATCACATTGGAAATGGCAAGGAGCAAGTATATTCCTTAAGGAACTCTTCACAAAACTTGCCTCGTGAAAAAAACATAATAATTTTGTTCATGCTTGACAAAGAACTGCTCGTGAAATTCAAAGAGGTATCCGATACTTTTTTTTATCATCATAAAAATACAATTTAAAAACTAACAATTAACACAAAATAAATTTTAATGTGCTGAAATAGAGGTAAAAAAGTAAAAAACACGCGTTATCGTGTCACCTTTAGCCCAACACAGTAAGTTGAATTATTAATTTATACAAAATTAAAACTACACGGATACAAATAACAACACAGACAGAGATTCAAGGGCAAAACAACTTGATTTATCGTACGATGAAATTCATTTAAAACATTTTGTGTTAACTAAGAACCTTACAGTAGAATCTAAAATCATTCTATTAGTTATTTTATTGAATTTTAGACTGCCGAAAAGTAATAAATTGCATAAGTGATCGTCAGGCAGTTGGGTCACATCATTTTTTAGTATATCTGATACTTCACCAAGCAGGTTATTTCTATGAACTAAATGAAGTGGCCAGTGCAGGAGAAAAGAGTTGCGGATTCGAACCCTTCCTTACAATTGCAATTGGGACTTGCGCATGCCAAATCATGGTGGAACCCATGCTTATTCAGATCGCTAAATGAACTCGAAGCCTCGTTATGAGTGCTGCGTGATGGCTGGTAGTTATTTCATGCAGATATTTTTTTGCTGGCCGAATTATTGATAATAATGCTGTTTTGACTGAGATATTGTCGAACAAGTTCTCATTTGGTGATCGAATTTGTTCATGATGTTCACACAACAGAGAAAGAAACTCTTCGAATACATGTGTGAGGATGAATTTGCATATCTAAAAACATTGGTATGGCGGAGTTGATACGTAATGATTCTTGTTCTCATCAGGGACATACTCAAGTAGATATTCAGGAGCCTGGTTATTTGCAGTTCTATAAATGAGACAAAGTCTGCGGTATCACCTCCTGTTACTGAGCGTTTCCCAGCCAAGTTCCTCAAGAAGTCTGTCGGTGTTGGTACCCTACCATGCGCCACTAACTGCCCAAGCTGCCTCGTATCGTATGGATTCAAGTTTACGAGAAAGAGACATATTTTGGTCATGATAGATTACGTCCCCATAGTCCAAATGTGGTGTCACAAATAGTTTGTACATCTGATCAAGTGTGTCCCGTGAAGCATATTTAGAAAGAAAACCGATGATTCCTATTCCTCTCTTTGCTTTCACATTTGCCGCCCTAACATACTCAGAGACGTAAGTTAGTCGTCCAAAATTAATCCTAAATGCTTTTGACTATTTTCAACATTTATTTGATAATCATTGAAACTGAGTATTCGATACTACAATTATCAAAGATTTAATGAAAATCGTTTCAAGACTGGGAATAAATGGTTTAGGAATTATCGATCCCTAGCCAAGAGAGCTAACAACGAATAACGAAGTCGCCTCAAGGAACAATGCGATGTTGTATTTCAACTACGATGCTGTAAGTTGTTATTTTGGTTATAGAAGACCGGCACAATCAGGGTTGCCAGATAGGATTTACAAAAGAAGGCCAGACTGGTAGGCGACCCAGGCAATGGACCCAGGCCAAAATGCTCATAAAAAGGCCAATTCAAAAAATATTTCCCAAAATAACATTGCGCGTGCGCTGTTTGTATTTTTACGCATGTGATTTTTAAATATTCTCTTGACTCAAATAAGAATTTTACTTCTTCTTTAAGACAATCCTTATCTGACAGTTGAGAATTGTTTTTTTTGTGACCTATAGGTGATAGTATTTGACATTTGGGCGTAGTAAACTACTAATTACTTCATTAATATAGTAGTTTCTCTTTCAATTTAGAACTTCTTCTGAAAAGGCTAAAAAGGCCAAATTTGAATAGTAGACCAAAAGCAAATTTTCCAGACAATTTAACTATGAAAACGGCCAAAATCAGAATATTTGGCCTGAAAATAGCCAATCTGGCAACCCTAGGCTCAATTTCAACACTTGTCATAGAGAATAGGCCACCTGGAGATGATGATTTGCCATTTATTTTTGTAGATGCGGCAAGTTTCACGCTGAGACATACATACACCAATGCTGTATGACTTTAGGGGACCATTATGGAAGTAAGGTCAGCTAGACCTTATAATGCTATTCCTGTCACTGAAATTAGGGGTGTTTATCTTTTGTTTTCAATGTAAATCAATGTATTGTATTCTTCTTAACTTCTATAACTTGCAAATACTTTTAGTGTGGCAAATTATACATACATAATACAACCAATAAAATAAATAGTATAAAGTATGGTAATATTAAAATTTATAAAAATATTCCTTTACCAAGTTTAAAGCCCTCGTTTAAAGTGAATGACCCGGGTTTAAGTGGAGATTACCAGCGGCGTAAAAAGATGGGTCGTAGGGGGCAACCCCCTTGTTATGTCGGGAAACTGTTGACCTCGATAGAAATACAACATGATTGTCTATTTTTCATTTAATTGTCACATTTTGAGCGGAAATATTTAAAAGCTTAATATAACATGAAAAATATCTGAATATATCAGAAAAATCTTTTATTTCAGTCCTGATATTTTGTTCAAATTTAATCATACGTTTTACCGACATCATGAAAGCTTCTCGTTCATCAACGCTTTCCATGGCATGGCATATCTGGTCGTGCCCTAATGGAAGTGAATTGTCAATTAATTCTAGCATCGGCCTAAAGCGCGGGCCCTTCACTTTACAAAGGAATCTTTTACATTTTCGTTTAGTTACTTTGAATACGGAATACCATTTTTCATATTTTTATATATTCTATATTTCTACGCCAGTTTCCTTATTTTATGCGTTACCAAATGCTAAAAACGTATTGTTGTTACCGTATTTTATGTACATCATTGTACAGATTATACATGTAAGTTTGTTTCTAATTACTCCATATAATTGTTAAAATAGATTTGATTGAAAAATATCATAACCCTACCCTAATAGTGTATTCGTGGCGCAGAAGCCTGAACAAAGGAGCCCTGGCGAGCAACAGGATAAAGCTCACGCGTGCACAAGAAAATCGTGCTGCCCGCTAAAACAGGATTCCTGCCGACTCTGAAAGCAGGCTACACGCCTGCATTACCTGCGGCAAGGCCTTCCATGCCCGCATAGGGCTGTTCGGCAATAGCCGCTTCCACCGTAGCTGAGGTAATCATCAATCGTTGATTGACGAGAAACAACAGTGTATTCGTACTTATGAAAGGCATGATCATTAAGTTGCTGTTTATTTACAAAGCTGTCGTCTCTAAGATGCATTTTGACTAACAAGAACTATTTACTTTATTTAGAATATTTAACCAAGTAACCATCGGTACAATCAAGTATTTCTAAATCTGCTTTGAGGAAATTTGCTATTTTTTATGGCAACAGCTTGGCAAATATTAATCGGGTTTTTTTATCTGAACCCCGTATCAATTCAGTTGAGCAAACAATTACCCGCAAACACTTAATAATAGGTCCATACAGTGGAAATTGACATCATTTCGACGCTAACAGTTTTCAAGTCGGCTTAAACAGCGATTGTCAAAATGGCGTTTCTAATGCTCTTCCTTGCAGCATTATTTGCCTTCACATCAGCTGCTTATGGTGAGTAGCTTCAAATAGCGTCTGCTCGTTTGAAGCTTTGAAAAAAGGAGATTCAATAAGTTAACCAGCACTATGTGATCATTACTGCTTTTATAACATATTATCATTTTAACATAGATCAAATTTGAATGTTTTCATGGAAGTATCTCATCTTGACTTTATTTTAAGTATAAGCTTCATTCACATAGCTGTAAAAATTGTTTAATTTTAAAGACTTTTCCCCTCTAATTATAAATAATAAGAAATAATTGGCGCTTGCCGGAAAGACAAATTTTTCTCATTACTGCACTCCTTCTGTCTTCACTTTGATTTTCCACGATGCCGGTCACAGATATAGCCCAAATCCTAACTTGACACTTACAAAATCTTTAGTTTTCCAACAAACTTTTCCTGGGGTCTCTCGTTCTACCACACCCCAAAATGTCTGCTCCTGAACAGCAAATACAATTTCAGACAAAGTAAAATTGTTGCAATGAAAAATGTTTCTTCTAGAGACTTATATTACTATGACTAATAAATAGCTCCCTAGTTACACTGCAAAAACTACTTTCAAATGTCAGATATCGATACAAAGGATGAAACGACTAAGCACTTTTCATTAACTAACAAGCGCATCTACTTGCAAAATAATTCTGGGTAATTAAAAAATAGTTAAAGAATGTTTCATACGTGAATATGATATGTTGTTTCAACTCCAACAAACACAACTAATATTCGCTAATATCACATTGGGCCTTATTACTGTGTCCCATATTTTTGGAGAAATCCAATACCTAGGACTGATACAAAGCCAATTTGTCTAAAAACATCTCAATTGGTGAAACGTCTTCGGAACGCGTAAATGAAGATTGAATAAGTTTTGCCTTTTGGAACAGATTAAGAGTTGCATTACTTGCGTTCTTTCGTAATATGTTATTCGTAGCAACTTCTCTAAATCTAGAGGAGGATCGATAAGGACAACGCATTATCAAAATTTTCTTAAAAAATCTCTTCTCGAATTTATCTACTTGCTCGTTCGGTTCCATTAACTTTGATGAAGCCCATTATGTCGGGGCGAAATATTAGTATTCATTAAATCTAGAATATTTATATTTCAATACATGAGATTCTCGTCATGCTGTTGTTCCTGGCTATTTTTTATATCATTACTTCTTGCAAGATTCACGGAATCCGGGGAACTCCATATCCTGCGTTTCTTCCTTCTTACACATTCAACCTCTTCTTATCTTTGTTTTTCCCCAGGTAACAAAATTTTCCACTTTTGATCTCAGTTTTTCCAGTTGTTTGAAAATCAATTACTACGGAAGTGTTGGAAAATTAATTCTTCTGAAATCATAAGGTATTAATCTTGAAAATGTTATTTTCTAAAGGCTCCTGTACAGATAATTCTGCTTACTGCTCATCATGGAAGATGATGGGATTTTGTGACAAGTCGTCAAAATGGTCATCATATATGCAAAAATATTGTGCTAAGACATGCGAGTACTGCACCGATATTCGTAAGTATACCAAACTTGATTCCAAAGCAATTGCTGTGTTCAAAATTCAAGAACTATTTTCATATTCTTTTTCTAAAAAGTAATATGTTGTTCTGTAACACGTTCTGTAACTCTGTAATAACGTAATACGTTCACTGGAAAATAACAGTCAAAAAGCAGTAACAATTTTGCCTACGTGTAAAAGTTAATTTATCCTGCTTTTAATTTTGTAGCCCCACCTCCTCTTCCAACTCAAGACCCTTATCCTGATTGTAAGGATGGATTCAGCTATTGTTCGTCTTACAAAGCATATTGTCAAGATACCAATTACGTCTCATATCTGCAAAAGTATTGCAAACGGACATGCAATTATTGCCGTAAGTACTTTATCAATCTAAATATTTTAATGTAAGGCCGTCGATACCTTAAGTTCTCAAGAAGGGTTTCCAAGTCCCATAATGCCGACAATGTTGGCAGTCAACCTTTATTTGCCGACGCACTTGAAGATTTGCCGACTAACTACGCCTAATTAGAAAAAACTCTTTTTTTAGTTTCAAGTTTATTTTAAATGGAGTGTAACTCATTTGCTGTTAAAAAAACATAGTCGTTGACAAAGATACTAAGTTAAAAAGAAATTAAATTTACCTCAATGTGATATATAAATGTATGAATGGGTTTGTATGAAGCAATGAATATAAATTAAAATTAAGAAGTGCAATGAATTTTATAGAGAAAAAATGTAGGAGCCTTTTCTAATCAACAAATTATTAACGTTTTGGTCTGCGGTAATAAACAGTTGTGTATGAAAGAAAATCTTTTTAAGATGAATGTTAAAAAGTTTAAGTACAACTTAAAATTGAAGCACACATTGTTATTTTGCACATGCTGCTCTGCTAGGGGCTGCTTTATCTATTTTGGTAAAGCCGAGAGATTCTGTATTTTTGAAATACATATCTTTAAGAGAAAAGGTTTTTTATTTGTGGTAAGACAAGTAAATCGTGACATAACAAAGTGAGACAAAAACGTGTTTTTGGTTTCAAGATATAACTACACTTCCACCACCAACAACAAAGCCTGCAACTACCAAATTTTGGACACTTCCAAGCGAATCTGGTGAGCTGCATCAGCTTTTGATCAATTTTACGCTTATAATCATATTTGTACATATGTTTAGATGATATAAAATGCCTGCCAAAAGTACTTGGAACACTCAGCAATTTACGCTGCATTTGATATCTTTCGTTTCTTTCATGAAAAAAATTGCTACTTCCGCCCCCTTCCCCCTAAAACAATGTTGATGATTTAGAGAAATATCATAAAAGAAGCGCAAAAGGAAGTGCTTCCTGCAATCCTAACCCGTTTGATAGTAAACCAACATTGTTCCGTGGGGGAGAGGGGGATGATTGGTTTTGACCTTGGAAATTGATGTCAGTGTTCCAAGACTTTTGGCAGGCATTGTAATTGCGTTTTCGTGTTTGAAAAAGGAGATAGGTTGCATTTTCGGGATCATTTTTAGACATTAACGGACTAAAAACGATAAGTAGGATCACAGTGATGTTTCATGCAGAGTTTAGATAAATCTGCCGATTTTTCAGCATCTTGTTTAGCTTTTTGTTGGTAATGTCGCTAACGCTACCCTGCATGACCCTTCATGTAAACAAAATAAGATTCGATTTATCTGACTATATGCAAAATACTATGAACATTTCTATGTTATTCGAAAACAATGATATCTTTAGCTCTCTATAAATAAATTTGCATATTCAAGGCAATCTTCAACCTGGATGTGGTAAGAAAGGTCCTGGCCACACAAGAATCGTTGGAGGAACCGCTGCAAAACCGGGTGATTGGCCTTGGATAGTCACTTTTGACTATAAATACAACACAGGGAACCCAGGGCATCAATGTGGTGGAACACTTATTACAGATGAATGGATTCTCAGTGCTGCCCACTGTTTCTATGACGACAAGGACAAGTCTAACTACTGGCTGACAATAGGTGAGTTAACACACTTTCAAGCTAATTGAACAAAAGATCTTCCTTACCTTAAGCAAGTAAATACTGACTGTGTGTTGCTGCTATTAAAAGGTTTCCTTGACGAAAAGTTTTGAAGAAAAAGGCTTTAGACGATACTTCTAGAAATACAGAAAAAAATGGCTTTCTGATAGCCATCTTCCTACAATCATAGAATTCACACTGCATTTTAGCCCGATTCCTGACTGAAAGCAGGTACTTCATTCCAAGGTCTTGCCTCGAAAATGTGACAACGACTTCTGTATTCCCTCTACAAAATTATTTTAATAACTGTATCGTGATATCGGGTTCTTGAAATTTTTTTAAAATACCTTTAAGAACTTCCGGCAGTAAAATTAAAGTAGAAACCTAAGAAAACGAGTAAATGGCTTTGAAAAAAGCAAACATTTTACGACATACTAAAAGCTTTTTCGTCTGACACTCCTCAGAGCAAAAACGTCAGAATAGGTTCCGAAAAAAACACGATGGAAAAATATATACCCAGTTGTGGATCGAAATAGGCCAATCAGAAAAACGCAAGCACAAGACCGGTATAGTTGACCAATCAGTGCCGCGAGCCTAAAGAAAAATGCCGCGAGCCTAAAGAAAACGAGTAAACATGATGTGCTGTTGTATTTTCTATAATTTTTCATGCAACTGCTCAACGTTGTATTTCAGTTTTTCGAAGAAAATATTTTTCTGTGTGCATGAGCTTGCGATCTTAATTTCGTGATTTTGCATTCTTTAAAGGTGTCTTTCCTTGTCCTGCTTAGTTTTAACAAATTATCCTAGCTTTTAAAATGGGAGACAATTCGACAATTTGCCTAGTTTCTTTTTTTTGTCCGAATTGTTAATAACTATGGTTTTCACTGACAAAAATTAAATCTCAAGTGAATTTTTCCCAACCTCAGGTGAGCATGACTTGAAAACAGATTCAGGACATGAACAGAAGATTCCAATAGCAGACTTGATATTCCATCCAGACTACAACCCAAGCAATTATGACAATGATCTTGCACTGGTGAAGCTATCAAGAAAAGCAACAATCAATGACCGTGTCAAAACAGCTTGTCTCCCTGATCAGAACACAACATTTTCAAACGGTACAAAGTGTGTCATTGCTGGCTGGGGTCTTCTTGAACAGTACGGACGGGGACCACAGGTTTGACAAGCAATGTAGCTAAATGCATGTAGCAAAATGACTGCTCTTGTTAACATTGGTTGACCAATTTTGAAGAAAGCTAACGTTCTTTTGATTAAGCTTATTCAAGATCTTCCAACGGACTAGCGGCATCAGAGCAAAAGTAAACGAACTAAAACGTGTACAAATTTGAAATAGGCGATAGTGGTGTCGGATTGGTTGATGTGGAATGAGGTGAATGCAGCTCAGCAAAAAAGAAACTAGTAATGAAAGTGGAAGAGGAAAGGGTGGCATTAAAGGGAGCGTGAGTGGTGGTAGTGGAGCAAGTGTTATGAGGGTGGGCAGTGATGATGATAATAAAAAGTTAAATGATCCTCAAATATGATAAGATTAATTTTTTTTCTTTCAGATTTTGCAGCAAGCCCAAGTGCCTCTCATTGAACGTTCAGTTTGCAAGGCAGCATTCCCCCATCATTTGGTATCCAACAATATGATTTGCGCAGGGTATGCTGCAGGTGGAATTGATTCTTGCCAGGGGGACAGTGGTGGTCCACTAGTTTGCAAGCGGGATGATGATACATGGTTCTTATGGGGTGTCGTGTCGTGGGGTGTTGGTTGTGGCCGTAAAGGCAAGTACGGTGTTTATGCCAGAACACAGGTTCTGAGAAGATGGGTCGACCAAGTTGTGTTTACAAATAACTAAAAGCAACATCAAAGAGAAGAACTGTTCTTAAATAAAAATTGTTTATGAAATTGCCAATGTGTGAACCAAATTCATGTTTTTATTGACTCTCTAACCACTTCTTCATGTACTTGTCTCTAAAATTCCTTTATTATAGTGAAAAATACCCAGCAAAAATTGTGAAATTGAGGTACAGTGATCATTACCGGGAAACGAGTGATAAATAGTACGAGGCTCAGGTAATGGTCAATTCTACACCAGTTTTTTTAAATCTGTCTGAAAACAACGTTCCGAAAATAATCTCATCAAATTGTAACTGAGCATTTTTTTCTATTTTCAGTCAAATGTTCAAAGCATTAAATATTTCCAGATTTCATTAGAAATATACCTCACTTCTTTCAAATGATAAGAATTTAGGAAAATTTGTTTAAAAATGAAAGTATATCTTAACTATTAGCCCGCAAAACATTCTCAAGAAACTATTAAAAATAAGACAAAATATTGCAATGTAAATGAATTTCTGAATGATTATAAACTACTGATACGATTTTGTTGACAACGTCTAACGGTTGTAAGAAAATTTCTAACCTCTTTTGGGTGACAGAAACGCAATTCTATTGAATGGATGGAGGGGCTATCTTAGTGTTGTAAACAACACGATGATTGAAAGCAAAAAGCTATTTTGAGATGGGCTCTTTAATCAGACTTTTGAATCTTAAGGAAGTGTTACCAATCCATGAGAGTTTAAGATACACTGGATGCACATTTGTAGACCAAACTTTTAGATAGCCGAAAAACTTGCAATACTTCCCCCAGTGTAAAAAGAAATAAAATCTTGCCTACTATTCCTAGAAAAGGTTTTCATTGAACTGATAGAAACTGCGACATATTCAGTTGAATTCAGTTTTGTTGACAGCTGAATAGCAGACAAGAGTTAAGAAATAAAGTTTGCATAGCAACAAGAGATGGTAACACGAGTTTTGTTTAATAAAAAATCGAGTAGAATATCAGATTTTCGACCACATCGAAAATCCGCCATGGCATCCAGAAATTGGAATTGTTTTGTTAACTTTAGTTTTGAAGCTTTGGTACCGCATAAATGAAGATAGCTGTAATTTCTGCTTATATTTTGTCATTTAACGACATGTGTTGGACAAAAAGTTTGGAAACATGCCAGTGTTCTGCTTTTCCGTGCTTTTTCCATATGTAATGTAAATTATTATTGTCAAAGAGTCGTTTGCGAACGAAGGCCCTTAGAAACCAAAACTCCCAAAATTCAAGTCCTTTTTTAAAGACCTTTAAAAAAGACGACATCATGGCGATTTTCTGCACGAAGGTTTAAGGATAAAAAAGGAATCACAAATCTCATCCTCTTTTCTTTATTTGTTATTTCAGTAAATGATTCTTTTAACTAAGCAATACTCTGATAAATTGACTAATTATCTTTAACTATACTGGGAAACATTTACCGTACTCAGAATAAAGAAATTGGGTGTACCAGGGTGCTTTTTGGGTTACCATATAACGGATATAAAAGCATTGGATCCAACAAGCAAAAAAATTCAAAAAGAGCATGAAAATGGCTGCACAGCATTTTCATTCCATACATAAGACATATAAAAGATCTCTGCTTCCATCAAAACTGAAATCAAGGAAATTTTTTAGGGAAAAGGAGAAACAGGCGTTCAAATTTTGCATCAAAATTCACTATTCTTTTCTAAATTTTTTTCGTTCCAAGTTTCGAAGCTTTCAAGTTTTAAGGAATTATATTTCTATGTTCACCATCAGTTATAATACGCTTTGATTGTGAGACGTTGGCCAACAGATTCACGGCGATTTTGTTATAAAACTCGGTTTAAAATTCTGATGAATATGAAATAGAAAATTTAAAGGAAATGGGGGACATTCTTATGTGGAGGGCATAAATTTGATTTTTCAGACGGTGAATTTTGAGTTTTAGGGAATTTTCGTCTTGTGCTTGATTTCTCGTGTTCTCGTGTTATTCTTCCCCCAAATGTGAAAGCTGCAAAAAAGAAATATGAGAAAAAGATAGCGTTTTAAGATAAAAACAAATTCATTATTTGCATATCATTATTATTTATTATTTATTGATATCTAATCATTAGTTAGAATTTATCAGTAAATACTAGAAATGGACTTTGGTTATGATCAATTTCTACATATTCAAAAATCATGTTTAATAGGGACAGCATGAGGCTTTAAAGGCTAACTTTAATAAAAAAGAATACCTGCGTGAGAAACTGCGTTGCATTCAGTAGTTCACTACATCCATAAATAATCTTCTTTGGTGACGAATTTTGTCGCTGATTATCAGAAAAATACCAAAAGATTTGATCAGTTGAGAACAACAGAAAAAGTGAAAAATTGCCAAATGAAGAGGATATATTCAGTCACAGGGCATTTATGATAATTACAGGTTTCGGTATCGATATATTAAAAGCTCTTGCGCAACCGGCATGCTTAGCGGTAGCTGTCTTGAGAAATTGACTGTGTTTTTTATATTCATGCAGTACGGTATTAGACCCGTTTTGATAATATAGTCACAAGGCATGCCGGTTGCGAAAGAGCCTTTAAAATTCGACGAGATTCCACTGTGAAGAGAGAAATAAGTTGATGTTAAATCATATATGAAGGAGATTTTAACATGTATTCAATATCTCATAGAAATGGCGAGTATGTTACTAGCAGAGACCGCGACGTTGTTTGTTTAACAGTTTCTTAAAGAGGGTATCATCTTAGAAATAGCTAGTCATAAAAAGGAGATGAGAACAAAGGATATCCAAAAGAAAATTAAATTGAAAATCATACCTTTTCATAATTTAATAAATTAGCATATTCAATATAGTTTCCACCACCAACCATGAAAACGATTGCCTGTGATAGAAATTAACAGAATTTGTATTCTTAAAACAAAACATTTTGAAATAATGTTGCCTTATTGCCACTCTTTCATATAAAAAGAATAGTTTCAAACACTCGAATTATAATTAAATATACTGTTGGTTCAGTATATTTAACTCGAATAACAAAGCAAAAATATTCAGAATAATGAAAATTGCAAAAGTGATATGATAATTAAAAATTCTTGTTTAGTTAATGAAAGATATACAAAAAACATTACAGAAATAGTATAATATGAGCAAGACTGAAAGACGCGAAAAACTTACTTCGTTAAAGGGAGTCTTGTTCCGTGGTATGGTAGAGCTGTCAGAAACACGTAGCATTTTCGGATCAAAATACCTGTAATCTTCTGTTTCCTGAAAACAATGATGAAAGATGTTGATTAAAAGAGAGAAGGCTTTTAAATCCAAAAAATTACCGAATATAGAATACGAATCACAAATGAAAATAGATTATATAAATATAGCAATGGATTATGTAGATGGGAAAATACAAGAGGAAAAACGTGCAATAATTTTAATGTTTTAAGTCAAATTGGTAGAAGTGGGTCGAAGTGGTTTGTTTTCTCAAGGGCACTAAAGGTACGAGCAGAGAAGGATAAAACATCGACATTTACAAACCTGACTTGATTTTTGCTCCATGATCGAATCAACTATTCGTGTAATAGGTAAGTTCTGAAATGGAACAATAATCATAAAAAAACTTGAACATTCCATTTCTGATAAAGCTACACTAATTGCATCATAATTTTTTTAATGTGTAAGGAGTGTGACTGAACCCCACTAAATTGTTCTTGACGCAGATATATTTCTTAAACTTCATCAAACCAAGGTTTTTCCAACACAATACATTTGAAATAAAGTTCAACTTTTTTTCATACTTTTAATCGAAGATACTTAAAAACCTGCCATTACTTAAATTTTTGTAGCGGATCGACTATAACATACAAGAAATTGAAAAAGAAATAAATGATTGCTAATCAAGATAGATAGTCATTTGCCTTCCAATCATGGCGTGTACTTTCAATAGAAAAAACGTTGAGTTTAGGTCACGTTTTCTGAAATTATGAACTTGTATTAGTAAACAGCTCCGGAATACCTAGTCGTCCAATACAGAAGGGGTTAAGAGGTCATCCTATAAAATCCCACATTGGTACGGGCCCTTATGAACAAACACAAACAACTTTAACAGGCCCTGAACAAGACAGCTTCACAACAGCCACAGCAAAGGAAAGCATTACAAATTGGCAAAAGATTTCTACCTTGTTGCCAACTACCAAGCTTTTGACACCTTCCATCACGAACTGAGATCCTGTGCTCATGATTCGAGAAAACATGGCGCTAAAGAGACAAAGTCAATCCAAGTAACAAACTTTAGAAATGTAGAAACCAAAATAAAAAAATCAAAATTTATTCAAATCATTGGCTCGCGGGCTTATGGCCTACCTTGCTATTCACAAAAATTCGGCTCGGCACAAAAAATTCCAAGCGAACGTAGTCATACTACTATCACTTTAATTATAATAGGCTACCCTTTATGTAACAGGTGGAGAAACTTGTCAAGTTTTGCTGATCTACATTCATTCATGATCGGAATAAGGGTCCGAAAGAACAAGATGGAAAATATGAACCCAGTTGTGGATCGAAATAGGCCAATCATAGCTTCTATTTTTCTGATTTTGAACCTGGGTTTATATTCTCCATCTTGTTTTTTCGGATCCTTATTCTGACTCTGATGCTTTATACTCGAGTGTCAGACGAAAAAGCTTGTAGAATGTTGTAAAATGTCTGCCTTTATCAAAGACATTTCCAAATTTTGTACCGCCAAAAATTGTTGAAATTATGATTTAACATAGTGTTCGATTACTGTTCTCCTTGGTGCTGAACATAACAAACCTGAGCCTACAGATTTCTTCCTCTCATTACATTAATTACACGTACCCTCTAGAGAAATTGAGGAAAAACACGCAAGACCTGAAGATATTAAAAACAATGATTCGAGACAAGACAGGCGTAAAATATATGTCTAATGAAACCACCAACCAATCTTTATAGATCTTCTCCTACAGTTAAAAACCTGCCTAAGTAAAGAAGTTGTCAGGTTTTACCTGTAAGTGCTCTGCCCGCTGCCAGTCTGAATTGGACCTGATGCAACTTTCGCAAAGGCTCTACGATATCAAACATAAAGAGATTTTGGCTTGAAACTTGCATCATTTTTCACTATCTGAAAATGATTTCCAATAGCTAGTGAAAAGAGGCACGCTATATTCATAAAACCGGCTGATAAGAAAACGACCATGACTCAATTTTTAGCCTACTATGAACTCCTCCTAGGTCATAGTCCGTGACCAATTCTAGATAGTCCCTAAATACTTTTAATATATCAGTTGGCTCGGATCCTGACTATAAGCAGTCATGAGAGATCGCAAGGCGCACGCAGTTGTTTAACATAAAATTCTGGTGATCTTTCAGAACTACAATCTTGGCAAAAAATGCTGATGCTATTTACAAATCACCCGCCCCCCTTCCCCTCAAATCAATGTTGGGATTGGATTGGTAACCAATGAAGTAATGCCCGCATATTCCGTAACCATCTTAACCAACATTGAACCTGGGGGAAGGGGGTTTAGGTCACCAGCGCATATGATATGAAGATATAGCATGTGAATCCTTTTTTTGTTCAAATGTCTCAAATCTTTTTTATGCAATAGATTAGAACGGTCCTTCAGCTGAAAGAGACTCCCCTCTTCTACTTCTTCTACTCCTTCCTTATTATTTCTTTGTAATGCCATCCTATTTAAAAGGAATGATCTGCGCTAAAAGTAGATTCTCCAAGCGAATCCTCTTGCGCTTAAAAAGGATTTTATCATTATCCAATGAAAGTGCGCTGTTCGAATTTAAAGGAAGCTTCCCCCATCTTAGCTCAGGTCATTCATCCTATTTGCGCGAAAAGATTCAGAGCTTGGGGTATACCTATAGACATTTCAAACCAAAATTGATAAGTAGATAAAAGTTTCTGTTTACACAAAGCAACAGGAAAAAGTAACACAGCAGACAGCTTCACCTAAAGGATTATTCAATATCAAATTAAATAGTTAAAGTCTAAACATACTTCCATTTTCGAATGTACTCAACAGCAGCCAGGCGATCTTCATCGCAGCCAGCTTGGGTAAGCGCTGTCATGTACTGTTGGAATTCGTCCTGTTGAGAAATCAAAGAACAGTTACACAGAGATACTAAAAACAAAGATTCCCAAAGTATTACACAGGGGATAAACTGATGAAGCATTTGCGCAAAGATAAGATGGGCGATCTAAAAATAACAAGCAGTCGAGACATAATGTTATTCGCTGCGAAATTATGTTGTTCTTTTACAGTACTGGATACAATGCATTTTGAGAGTTGTGTTGCTCTGTCATTGGATGATGCGATTGATCTATATTTAGAAACTTGTTCGTTTGGGAAATGCCAGCTTTCACCTTTGCATATACACTTCAAAGGCAATCGACAAAAAATAAAGTGGCCTAAACCATATGTCAATCAACAATTGGCCAATCATCAAGCATGATACCATACAGGCGCTCACTCATTGGCCAATAGTTGATTAACAAATGACATAAGTCACGTTCGCATTTGTCGATTGCCTTTAATAAGGTTTTCCTTTTCAAGTCAACCTCAGCTACAGATGCTGTCCCTAATCCTGGCTAACATCCCAAAAAAGTCTAGTTTGATAATGAAATGAGCCGAGCATGTTACGAATAGACTGCAGCCGGAACGAAGAGACGTCTGACGTTGCAAAACGTTGTTATCAGATTTGGATTCATTGCTGATGCTACTTGAATTGCTGGTAAATTTTTGTCGTTATGGAGTTATTCATTGAAATCTAATAAAACAGCGACCATAAATTATCATATGAAGATGTTTGTTCATGTCCCTTGCTGCAAAATTTATTATTCCTAAGTTAACACAAAATAAGCATGGCAAATTTACTTACATTTGATAAAGTGGGCGAAGATATGTAATAGATGATAAACAGTCTCAGCTTATCGTCACAAGTTCCAGCTGTAGAATAGAGGAAAATTCTGAATAAATTTTGGTCTCACTTCAGAATTGAAAGGATAAAGGGTTGTAGTCCTTTTCTCACGTTCTCGACCCACACCTAGATATAAATTTCTGTTGACCTGTTGATCAATATCAGATGAATGTCAGATGTAAAGTACTTCAATGTCTTCGCTCCTTATGGAGTTGTAGAAAAGGAGTATATGAATTTAAAAAAGGATTTATAAAAAGGGATGAAAGTATGAGACCTAGTATCGTTAACCTTCGGCACAGCATTTGAGGAATACGCCAAAACACAGGACCGGTAACATGCAGGTATGGTTCTGAACCATACCCCCGTCCTCCCATTCAAATTTGGGACGCATCCATTTAAACAATATACATGGGAACGGGTGCAAACCCCAACACAGTCTCACGAGATAGTAGATATGAACATATGAAAATCGATTTACTTTCCACTTTCATAGGGATAGAACTGTTTGCAGATAAAGGTGTACCTTAATTATCTTTAAAAAAAATTGTGTGGTATTCAAGATTTTACACTTGTCTAGCCTGATAGCGGCATATTGAAATATAGTTCAAAAAGGAATTATCTTGGAATAAATGCTTAAGATGTAATGTCTTCCTCTACATAACATCGCACCGTGAACAAAATTAGGGTTAAAAAATCATTATCTACCCTCAGGATCTTGAATGATTTCCATCACGGATTTGTCCTAAAAATGAAGCGTTTACAGGCAACGTAGTGACAGTGTAAACATGAATAAATAGAAAAAAAGGGATTACTGAGGAGCAAGAAACGAGCAATAGGGCAATTTCGAGAAAAGCAAGAAAATCACTCTCAAGAGCAAGAGGTAGCAATAAGCCACAGAGGTATCTTAAATTTTCTACTGACACAAGAAAATCGATTAAATTAAGGTGGAAATGCAATAACAGAACGTAACTAAACAGAGAAAAAATTAGTAAAAACTGCTGCCATTAATTGCTGAATCGGTTTGAAGGAGCACGAAATAATGAAGTATACTTCTTGCTTTATGCATAGGCTTGATGTCATCAAAAAATTCGGTACTGCCAAAAATGGAAACGTTATTCCATAAATCTTAACGAATTATATTCCCTAAAGTCCTGCCTTTTCTATAGCGAATGTTTACAAAATGCAACAATGTCACTCCCTAAGGACACGTTGCAAATCTAAACGCTACTGGCAACTCAAGGAAATACCAAGACTATACTTAATCCGAGCATTACTGCCATCTAAAGAGACAAGGTAATATTTCTTGTTTTCGAATGGCACGATGCTAGCAAAGAAAATATCAAAGCTTAATCAACGTTAAGCAAATTTCATACAACTTGGGTAAGAACACTGTGGTGATTAATGTTGTTATTAATTAATCTTTCTAAGGATATCAAAGCATAGAAAAACATCTCACTGATACAACTACAATAAACAAGGATGCCGTTTTCTTGGAGTAAAACCAACCATAAACAATGTAAGCAGATTCAATAAGGGCAAAAATGGGTTAAACGTTTCATCGCTTATCTCTGGTTAACGACCGAATTTCAAAAACAGGGAGGACAAAGTTTCAAATATACTCCTTTGCTATGCATAAATGTAGGAAGCACTTCAAAAATGACAATTTTTGCGTTCAGCATTAACATTTTGTGGTGCCGGTTCTCCCCGACAGCTTTGGATAGGAAATGCGAGCGTTACTGTTGCGTCTGATTCGATGCTATTTTCTCTTCAGATTTCTATTGTCTTTGACGCTATGCCATTGGCTGGTTGAAAATGTAAACAAATAGTCTGATTGGCTTGTACTCCTTGTTACTACAATACAAACATTAGGTGACATACCGTTGAGGATTTACTCATTGTCTTCTCCTCACTTTCAAAGTAAATGTCTAACTTTCTAGCCTACAAGAAAATAGTTACATACGGTTAATGTCAAAATATTTTCTTGAAAACTAGCTTAAAATGAGCACGCCGATAAGCAGGTATTTCCTCCAATATAGCATATCCTTATACGCACGTGCCATTGCCTTGTCTACGCGCCGTCCTTTACAACATGAAAGAACAAGAAACTCTCCCTTATGATGAAACCTCCTTCCAATACACGCAGTAGAAGTTTCATACTAATCTTAAAAAGAGCCTTGGGTTTATACGGTTACCTACACATTGTATTCAATTTTTGATCTTTAAGAGTTTTCCATTTAAACATGTGACTTCTCAGTATACAACAGGAATGAGATAATAGCCAATAAAAAAGCTACTCTAATATTTTAGTAATGAAGAAACGGCCTAAACATTAGTTAAAGTAGAAATCAGAAATGTGGCTGTAACAGGGTTGGGTAAATGTAATATAAACCTATTTTCATTGAACAGCAATTAAAAATAACTGACATTTGGAATCAAATATCGCAACAAATAAATTTTAGATACCATTGTTTTAAAATAATTGTTCGTAGTTCCAATCTCAATTATGTGAGCTATTAAATAACGTCATATACTCAAAGTTGGCACTTCTTTCGATTGAAATCAAATACCTAAGAACATGATATCTTAAATAAAAACAAAAATGCAGAGGTATTTCTCGTGGCTAAAAGATTAGTCTAACACAAGCTATACGAGAGTATTGGCAATGGTACTACAAAGCAGAAATAAGATAAAAAGTAAGAAAGGGCATCGCTACCTTGATATGTTCAAGCATCGCAGTGGCAATATTGGTGTGCATATCAATCAATCGTTTCTTTTCAAGCAATTCCGGGAGTGAGCTAAAGGAGTATAAAAATTTAGTGAGGCATAGCCATTTTTGACAAAACTCGCAAAACCAAACACGCATGGAATGAGTGTATTTTTATCATTATGATCTTCACCTGTATGCTGGTACTCTAGAAATAAATCTGAATTAAATTGATTTGCACTTTTCTGTGTCTAGACCTTGTACCGGATATACGTGTATCCCTCAAGGCTTTTGTATCAACGATGCAATGTATTAAAGAATACAATCATCAGCAAACGAAAACTCGGAATCACCCGTTACGTGACGAAAACAATTTAACTCTACTCTTTTCCACCGTTTTGTTTATTCTTTATATCTATTTCTTAATTATTTTTTCAAAATATTCACTCGACTTTGAAACAGAGTTTTAAAATCAAGAACCAGTTCCCGGCGAGAAAACAACTTGCACCCGGCCTATAGAATGAGTAATGGATATCATATGCAACAAATACGATTTCTACCTTGAAGGGACCCATGTCCAGTAAGAAAACGTATCCAGTCTAGTATTGGGCGATTGCATTTCAAAGTTATATATAACATAGAAATTTTTTTAGCATTCAACCAAAATTTAGCCTTCAACATATGCCAAAAACTCAGAGATTCTAAAGACTAGAGTCTCAATACTACATTGTTTATATTCTTTACCAAATACTACCCGTAGGCCTTCCCTTTCTCTAAAACAGAGAAATACAACTCACTTCAGTTGCGCGGTTACATAGAGGTTGAGTTCTATTTTGAAGACAGTGTACCCTTAGTGGAAAATTGAGGTATAGCGGCTTATCAAATCATTCTTATCACTTTGATACAAATATTTTCCATCAAATTCATTCCGCAGACCAGATTCAATTCGCAAATGGGCATGATAAAATCCCTAAACAAGCTAGATTGAATCCCAAAGCAGACCAGGCGTTTAAACCCCTATCCACTCAACAAATGCTGATGCCTTTCAAGGTAATCAGCATACAAGATAAAAAAATTAGCTTCCTAACCCTCGTTGAAAAGCAACATTTCTCCAAGGGAGATGGAGTGTTCGATGTTAGTATTCAAAGACAATGACTGTTCATGGCACAGCATTGCAAGGAAAGGGTATGTATACCTCACGGCTGAAGTTAGTTTAGCAGTATTGTCAGTCCAGTAATTCTCCATTAACTCTTCTTCTTCGGGAGTGACACCCTATTGATAGAAAAATACTACATATAAGAAATGCTATGTAAAGAGGAAATGGAAAGATAATTAATAAACTTAAACATAGATTAACAACAATAAAAGCGATGGCTGTTGATATGACGTTAGCAAACTTCTTAAAATGCGAGTAACGAAAGTAAAGCTAGGAAAGCTAAATACCCTATCAAAAACTGAAATCTACAAAAAACTGGAAATTGCTTATAAGAAAGAAATGCATCATTTTTTTCTGCAAAACTATCGAAGAAAAAGATAATCTTTAAGAAAAACTTCAAGGATACCAAACAAAAGCTTTTCTTCATCTTTGAAAAGATCTTTTGCAGACTGAATGTAAAGTAAATCTATATGGATCTTTTTTAACTTAATATTTTATATTTAAATAATATAACTTAATATTTAAGGCAATTCATTAATGGGAAATTCGCATACCATGACATTTTTTAGTTTTTTCACTTCTTCCTCTGAAGACCGATAATCATCGAGTTCTTTTTGAATTGACTCGGCAACATTTGGAAATGGACTAGAAAACGCAGAGACAAACTAGAGTGATGTAGATCATTCAGTATAAATTAATTCAGTATGAATTTATTAAGTATGAATTAGGTTAGCATGAGTTCATTATATATGAATTAGTTCCACTATGTGACGATGTTAACTCTAACTGGCTGTGGGATTTGAACGTAGAAGATATCAGAGAAATTTCTGTTGAATTTAACCCTACAACAGGTCTTTCGATAATAAATTGATGTAATAAAAGTCGGTTTACTTGATCAACAGTTTTACGAACAGTAATTATTAAATCCTGGGTTCAGCGTGTCACACATTGTCATACAATTTTCGCTTTATTTACAAAGTTTTCCAATTAACTGGCCTTTCTAGAAACTAAAAAGAAACGGATACTTTTAAGATAATTAAGCAGACTTAGCTGATTTGTCAGGGCAGAGTCAAGAATTTAATGTTTACATTTTCCAATACCTGCTTTGAAGACTAACCTCTTTTGTATACTCAAATGATTTCAACTTGAACAAAGTTACTTACCTAAGTTTGTGCTGCGACCAGAATTTGTCACTTGAAGCTAAATCATATTTCTTTTCTTTCTTTTTCTGGAGAGAATTTTCTGGGGAAATTGGGACTGGCTCCGAAACGACCACTCGATTTAACTTCAAATCCTTCGATTGAAAAAAATTCAAAGTTTTAGATTGAACTTAATCAAGCGAGCTGCAGTATTTGATACATTACTTATGCTAACTTTAACTTCTTAGTCTAAAACTTGGAATTCTTTGAAAGAAAATTGTAACTTGATGAAGATGCTGGTAATTCACTTTTGCGTAAGGTCAGGTCGATGGCGGCTTTATTCAGATGCGGTATAACACTATCTTTTCTGTTAAATTATGAGGGGTGGGGGGTAATTCTAAAAATAGTATTCATCAAAAATAGTAAAAAACAATTTCTACCAACAAAGAATCATATATATTGATATTTAGGATTGGAAAAAAAGCGAAGCGCTCATAGATACATCATGGTTCATACATGCATCAAAATAGATGTGCAAGCCAAACATCAAATTTTCTTCACGAAATCAATTTTCGTCAAGTAAAGGGTTAAGATGATGACTTTTTCTAACACGTAGAGTTTATATAAAGCATTTTTTCCTGGAGCTAAAATAAAGGTAAACTGTCAGAACTTTCTCCCTGAATAAGGCGATAAACGGGGGGACTTTTCTTAAGGTACTTTCTTTCTATAAAAATCTTTGTTATCCCATCGAAATATTTGCAATCTATGTCTCAAAATTGTTCGTATTCCATTATTCTAGTTTTAAGTAGGTTATTTTAGAATTATTTTGGAACCAATTTGGAACTATAACGTTAAATCTGAAATGGATTTTACTGCACAACATTTCTACAGACTTTTCTAGCCTATTTTAAAGTCCGGACTTTTAATAGCTACAAAATTGCAATGGGAGTTTGTTAATGAATGGAACAAAAACTTTTGAAAAAGACACTTTGCAATAGCTTTCGGAAATGGCAATGCTAGCATAAATACCAAAATAATCCAGTTGATCACTATATTTAACAATAAAAGTTCTAATTGGCTCTCTTAAAGAGGTCTAATAGTACTCACAAATATGTCATGGCATAGCGCTTGGTATGTCCATGTATGATGTAATGGCGTGCAAAGGTCGATATTTCGATCAAGAATGATCAAGACTGGCCGGTGGAAGCTAAAATGGGAATAATTTGTTATTAGAAGACGCTTCACGTGAGGTCAGCAAATACTGCGTATTAGAAATAGATAGTAGCCAGAAAATAGATTGAACAAAACAATTAGTATAAGCTTCTGGCATTATAAAACTTCGAAAACAAAGAATACAGGAAATATAGCATAGTAAAGTATATTCTCTCAAAAACTATGCTGAGCATAAACATGAGCGAAAAAAATTCATATCAAAAGTAAGGGGAGAGAAAGAATGGCACCATCCTTGATTGTGACCTCCAATCAATGGCCCTAATCATTGAAATGTTCAAAACAGTCTGTATGAATCTATAGCTTTTTGGAAAAATTTCAAAAGAATCTTGAAAGTTAAATGAGATGCCAACAAGCTAAAAGCTATTGGTAGAAAACAACTTGAAAGACGAAAATATACGAGACATTCATAAATACATCCATAAAACGATTATTTCCTTAGTACTTGTTTTAAGAAAGAATAAATAAATTTAGGTAGAACGTTTTTGCCTTCTCGAAAAAAACGAAGTAGTATTGAAGTTTCTTAAAACACTTAAAACACTTCTAGATGGAAAAGACCAGATGCACTAAAACACTTCTAGCTTTTCAGGAGCCCTCCTGCTTTTTACTTTTACTAATCAGGATGAAATAAAAATTTACCTGAAACTTCCGGATTGTATATCTGTAGTGAAGAGGCTGTTTCTGTCTCTAAGGTTTTCCCGTATTTTCTTATCTAGACCCTGGAGATAGAAATGTTTAGAAGGGAACAATATAAAATGAGAAATCAATTATTGATAAAATATACTGTATAAAAAAGACGACAAGTTTTGTGTTGATGGAAAGCTTTGATAAAATGTATCTGGCTAAATATTATCCTTAAAGGCAGTGTGTCCCCCATTGTTCTCAGAATCTCTTTTCATGGCCACGATATTCATGCATCGTATCGTTGATTCAATGCACAAATAAACAATCAGAATGAAGAACCACAATAGCGTAATTTCCCTGAGCATCACGAAGGGGACAGACTGCCTTTAAAGAAAATATCTTTGTTTTGCATTTTCTGTTTTACATGGCAGAACAAGATTCTTGCACAGATAAACATGATTCTGCAAACAGTGATAAAAGCATAAGCACATAAGGCGACAAGATGGTTCAGCAAAAAAACCACTCAGTAGAGAAACAAATAGTTTTAAAAGATGAAAAATTTATAAGAACAAAAGCTTTCTAAAATGCTTCAGGATAACGGTATTAGAATGCCAAAATATATCCAAGAGATAATAGAATACGTCACACAAACTCTGTACAAGCAAAGGACACAAACCTCTGCTACCATTTCAGCAGCGTTTCCTTTGGGGCATCTGATAACTGGCACAGCACCTAAGTAACAAGACTTTCATTGAATATGACACAAATAAATCGGCTATGATACTATGATAAAATACTTAGGGCAATATAAGGTAGCTCGAAATTTCATAGAAGGGTATTGCAAGTAAAGTCAGCGAAAAATGTATGCTGTAGGCGCAGGAAATCGATTGATTGTGAATTGAAAATATTCTCAAGGCCTGGTTGCACTGTGATCATGAGAACGATTGTAGACCTTCACATACCATTCGCTGACAATTTAAATTTTCCATTGGTTGATCTATATAATAAACCTTTTGATACGTATACAATCAGTAACATAAGGCAAATACTCAATGTGTTCTCTGTCCTAATCGCGCAGCAAAGCCTATTGTTAACTCTGAACGGCTGACTGATAGGAAAATGTACCTTGAACTGAATACAAAGTTATCCAGTTGTCACATATCTATATGTTGTAAAAACAAGAGCTAGCTTAACCCTGTTGTACTGATAAGTGTAAACAACGTGATCTAGCCATGCCTTTGCATTTTATGCTGAATAATTGTACATGCTCCTGCTCTGGGGCTAAATAACAAAACGCACAGTAATTAGCCAAACCATTCCAGCATGCAGGCTACTGACATTGGTTTTTGTTCTGATATAACGAGAAACCTTCCTAGCAACAAGTACAAGTAATGAAGATTAGCTTTGTCGGATTTTGTAACCGTTAAGTAGACAGTCAGTAATAAAATTTCATAAACGTTTTGCAAACATTCTCCAGTTCCATAATATAATTTATTCAGATACATAACAACAACGTAGAAATATACAAACCCAATGTAACAAGAAATGAGAACAAGCAGTCTACCAGTGTATCTTTGATTGCTTCTATATCAGTGTCTCTTGCGTCAGAACGATTAAGTGCTTTAAGAAAAAATCGATAAATGTCGATAAAAATGACAAAAGAGAGGCTTAAGAGTTTCTCATTTTCTTCAACCCTTTTTCAACTTTTTTAAATTTCATTTTTAACAAATCCAAACCCCACCGAATTTTCAGCAGCTGAATAAGAACCTGAAGGACAACCTCTAAACTTAAAGCAACCTAAGAAAATTGAGATTTCTTTTTAAATGTATTAAATGGAAAATTTTTACTCTATTAACATCAAGAATTCTACACAAAGTCTGTTCTGACATTAATTTTACTTCATAGTACCTATGAAATGCAATATCTAACTTCAGAATTCAATAATATGAATAAGTGTTTTGCCAAAAGCTAGATCCATGCATAGGCCTAAAGAGAAGTAGCTTCAAAAAATGACACTTTGATATCCTAAAAGAGGTTCATAGTTTAAAAACACCTGAATTTGATCTTTGAAAATATTTCCCCTTCAGACTTAGTGAAGAGTTGAAAGAGATTACATTTTTCTTTCCTTTTTAAAAGATTGCATTTTAAAAGTGTTGGGTAGTAAGTCAACAATGCCCAAGATTCTGAATGTCAAAGATTCTGAATGCCTTATTATCTACCCTGGTGTAACAAGAATTTGTAAAGTTAGAGAAATATCTTATAAACTTTGCTTTCAATCACTTTATATATTTTCGAGGTTGCTAATTTCCTATGACAAAGAACAATTCTTTGTATAAGAGTTTCCAATACATAATCTTAAGAAACTATCTACATACCATAGTAAGAAATGCTATCTCTATCATGATGTTTCACAGTGAAAAGATCCTCTTCCAGTGAAATGAAATTGAGGTACTGATCAAAAACCTGCAAAACATCCCAGCAATAATTATTGAGATGAAATGCACCAGCAACATATGGTTTACTAGACTATATACACTCCCCTCACAAAAGTATTGCACCACCTTGTTAAAAAAAGACGCACTTTTTGTCAATATTTTTACAATACAAAACATTTGAATGCATGAATTGGGTGAAATAGGCATATTTTATAGCAAATTTCGGCGGGAAAAGTTTGCAAATTTTGCTGACACCATAGAATACCTAGTTAGAAATGTAAATATTCACAAAAACATTATTGTTTGAAAAAATGTCAAATGAGATGCGGCTCCCTATAAAACTTTTACAGGGAAGTGGTCTTTAATTTTTGAAAAATTGTTGACCAAGTTAGATGCAGCCACACAACAGCTTCAATTAAATAAAAAAGGTTTCTCGAGAGTGCTTCAGTAGTAATAAACTGAGAAGAGGGTGAACATAAAAATTTGACGTTAGAGGGGGAGCGAATTTGTCTATTTTATTTCACCATGTTTACACTATGGGACAGTAAAAGACATGAATCTTAACGCTGAGCAAGGTTTTGCAGCTCAAAATTCTTCCAAACAAAAAATAATGAGTGTCTTACACAAGTAAAAAATAAAAATTCACCTGCATAAAAGGAAACTATTTTTATGACGATTTATTTCCGAACAAGAAGAATTAAAGTTTTTCCGTGGCATCGTTCAAGTCCAGATTTGTACATAGTTAAAAATGTTTGGCTTCATATGAAAAACATTACGAATCATGATTTAAAAGGTTCTTGAAGAACCAAAGAATCGTCAATTAAAAGAATTCTTCGAGTTTGGAGTGAAATTCCACAATAATACATTGCCCAATTATATGCAACCAATTCAAGAAGGCATAAAGCGGTTTCAAAAGTTCATAGCTCCTGTCAAAATATTAAAATTTGAAACTGTTAGAAGACGTTTTGAAACTGTTATTTAAAAAAATTGCTCTAAATAGATTGAAGTTTTGATCCGTGGTTGTTTCACTTCTGACCCACTCCCATTCGCCACTTAAAACACAATCAATTCGCGCAACAATAGCTTTCGATTATTCTTGTGCCATTTTCCTCCTTCGAGGTGGTGCAATACTTCTGTGAGGGGAGTGTTTATATATATATGGATAGTTTTAACAACTAGTGTGGACAGCTGTTCATAAACTCAAAATATTTTTCAAATATCAACCAATCATGTTGGATTCTGATTACTGTAGAAGCTTTGTTAATTGACCAAAGCACAACATCAGAATAGGCCCCGAACCAATGTAGCCAGCAACTTTCATCAGCCTCATCAAATAAACATGATGACACTGGTGACAGGATATTGTTATTAACTCAAGTCTTCATTGAAACATGATAATTTTGTGGGTATATTATGTTGTTATTTTTAACGTGTGATATTATGATTATAAACATAATAAACATTTGTACACCTTCATCTTAGATTTTGAATGAGCCTGGCATGCACTCCAATAAGCTCCTACTCAGGGGCTTGGAGCTTAAACACAGGTTCAATAGCATTAAAAAGTTTTATTATTATCTAGCAGCAAAACAACTGTGAGAAAAAATTCACCTTATTTATTCGAGATGCACAGTTATATTGCAAAGCTGATGTGGCAAGATCTTCAAGTTTGTGCCTTGATATTGCTGATATGAAGTTGAAAAAGTAGGTTTCATAGAGATTATTCTTTAGATCCTGGATAAAAGAAAACATTTCTTCAGAACTTTCGATAAAAATGGATTTTTACTGTTCTTAATGGTGGGCTACAACAATACCAACATGCTAATCACATGATAAAATCCACAGGAATGTTCCATAAAAATAATAAATGACATTGTGTGCTAGTTGCATTCTAGTTATTGGTAATACCTTCCAGAATAAGTTGTTGGGAAGTTTTATATTGCTTAAAAGTGACAGCAAACTGATCAGAGCAGTCTGAAATTTCCTGAACTTATATGCTACATCAAAATACATAAATTATTGAGTTGAACTTTCAAGAAAAGCGCTTTGATAGCTGACATACCTGAGATATTCTTTGAATATTCTCATCAGTCGGGAATACAAAATAAATTGCAGGGGCTTCTGGAATAGCATCTCTATCTGAATGTAATTGCCTGACAAGAAAAAAATTGCTTACAATAATTCTTAGAGATTTGATTCGATTTGATACATAAATTTAAGGAATGTAACTCTTCAGCAAGTGCTCATTTTCAACTGGCTCTCCAAAGATTAATTTTAGAAATTTTTATCTAGAAATACCTTTTCTAACTTGCTTTAACAAATGATTAATACTTTTGCAGAGAACTAAGCATTAGGGGCCATTTTATCCTAGAGATGGGTGAGGAAACTCTGCTATTACAAAAAGACTTCATCTACAGATAGTTTCTATTGAGATAAAGCCAAGAAGAAAAATGTTGACAGTGTCCTAACTGCACTGATAATAGTGTCTTAGTCTGCATAACCACTACGCATGGGACTCTTTCTATGATATAGAAAAAAGCTAAAATCTTTTCAGACATTCAAATAATTTCAAAAATGAATTGTTTTAGTTGTTTTTTATCATAAGTTACTGATTTACATTGCTGTGCAAAGTTCCTATCAAAAGTGATTTGCCCTCAAACTTCATTGTAATTGTGCAACAAGAAACTGGAAATGATTGTGGAATCTTCTTGAAGTATTTCCACAGGAAGTTATCGAAAATATTTCTAATACAAATAAAAGTTGAGTTTTGTAGTAAAATATTAAGCAACTGTATAACTATGCTGGTTTTCATTGGTTTCAAGCAATTTTTGAAAAAGTGAATTTTGTTTTATTTATTTGATTAGCCTGTTGTCCAGTACAATTTTTTACCTCTAAGTCACAATCAAAAAAACTTACAAATGCAATGTTATTCCCTGCTCCCTGAGTTCTTTCACTGTTAGTAATGGTGATATAATGTCTTGCCCAAATCTGTCATATACAAGTACCTAAATAGCAAAGAGAAGGAGAGATGCATAAAACTGTCTACAAAAGCAAGTGCATATCTCTCTTGTTTATTAAAGTTAACAGAATGTCAATTAATCACATATTTCTACATTGAAATCAAAGATCTACATAATGCAATTGCTTTTTTGCAGCAACTGGATCATAAGCGTTAGCTGCAACCTTTTACAAAGAAAAAGGTTATATATTCAAAAGGGATAAAAAACAGCTACAAAGATTTCTTCAGAGTAATGGTAGCATGAATAAAGCCTGTTGATTAGTATAAATGACTAGCAGTATTATATGCTGCATCTGTTATATGACTAGTATCTTAATTAGCCAATCTTATGTCCTATTTGTTACATGTTTCAAGAACAAGCTAATATCATAATAGAAGATTATATTCAAATTGAACTGCACCTTCCATACTGGCTCTTTCACTTGCTGTTTTGTTACAGGTTCATTCAAATTCAGCATACGCTTCAAAGCCTCTGAACAACAGAAAAAGAAAAAAAGGAATTGTAAGCCAAATATTACTCATGATTTCAGCTTTGCTTTAAATATTCTAATCCCAGAAGGGGGGGGGCTGGGAGCAGTATTAGCATTATTAGTCTAAAAGCAAATTTTTTCAGCAAAAGGACTCAAAATCTACTGGTCATATATCTCAAACAGTTTATTTGGATAGCTAACTGTTTACCTGCCATTTTGCAATGATATGGCATGTTGCACTAAGAAATGTGTTGCAACTTTACAATCTTTTTGGGATTAGTATTTTTGGGATTAATTTTTTGGGATCAAAGTCTGACAAGTCTGAAAATGAGCCATGTTGCTCTGCAGATTAAATATCCTTAGACCGTCACCATAGCCCCCCCCCTGATTTTCGGCTTTTCTCTTTATGACTACAAGATAGAGAGCGTTAAAATAGAAAATGGAAATGCATCTTTGACTTGCAGCCGAGAAAATCAAGATAAAATCATGAAGGAGAGTATAGAAAAAACAGTGCAATGTTGAAAACAACCATTGAAGAGGGTGTGGTTGGAAGTAAAAAAAGTGGCAGCAATGCCATGATACCATGATTTTCTTTAATAGCAGTTTAAAATCTCTCTTAGCCACCCTGGTCTAATCCTTTGTTGTGTATTTCAACATTTTATCTTGAATATCTCAACAACATTTGCAACTGCACCAAATCACTTAAGAATATGTTGGTTTCCACAAGATAGAGAGGCCTGGTTCACGTTTTTGACTGAGGACTGATCGTCAATGAAAATAAACAGTCAAAATTTTAGATTTGCTCCGTTTTGAAATCTATCATCCCATACTGTGAAACTTGATTCAAAAGTATGCTCCATTCAGAAAGTTTCTTTATGTCTGTACTTGCATATGGTCAAATGTTTAATTAATTCTCATAGTCTGGTATATTTATTCATCATTTTTTCTGAAAGAAGGGTTTTGATTGTTCTTTTTTTCAATTCCAGCTATACCTGTATGAATTAAGGTCTTAGTCCACAGCAAGGTTGTCCCAATTGGCAAGGATTCCAAATGGTTTTAGAAAGTTTTACTGTTAACACCCAAGAGTTTTCAAATTTGCAAAGTTGATATCTGATGAAGATATCAATTGATATCCATGGGTATTCACTTCAACAATATGGTTGTTTTGTTGAGGATTCTTGTAAAAACAACTGAAATAAATATGTATGGCTCGGGGGTTTCTACAAATCAAGTTTAATGGAATACCTGGCAGTCTGAATGGACAAACAGGCCCATACAAGTTATAAGATTAGAAATTAAAACAAAAGAAAATAACAGTTCAAAATTTAAAAAGATTATGAAAATGGCAAAGGCATTTTGAGCAGCTTCTGAGAATCTGATTCACATTTTTCAAGATTTTGCATTGAAAGAACTGGACTGCAAACCTGATGATTATTCAATACACATGTTGGCCAGAGAGCAGAGTATGGTAGTTTCCAACAATATCTTGAGTGTGTAAGTGTGCGCTTTGGTATAAGTATGCACTATATAGTTTGCACAACTATACTAGAGCCCAGGGATATCAACCAAGATAAGAAAATGGACATGATTGATAGTTATTTTGTATCAGACGAAACCAATGCAAAGTTATGACAGTCTTGAAGAAACAGGATTCCTAATTTGCCCTAAGCAAGAAGACACGATCATGCCATAGGCAAAGCTAAAAAAAATTAAAATTTTGTGTATCAGGCTTTAGAAACAGATTGCCTTTGATCTTTTGATATGTCCAAAAATTAATATAATTTGTGAAGTGTTCTGAAGTTGATGGTTAACTGTTGATCGAGAGTACTTGCAAGTCTTCTAGGCTAGGATATAATATAGGCAACACAAAAAAAACCAACATATCAAAAGCTATATTCTTAATGCTGCTTTTACATCTAGCAGATATCATTGCACTGTGCAACATAAATGATTCTCACCGGTTTGCTTTCGTCTACAACTGACGGCCATTTTGTTTAAAGATATTGTACGTGGAGCACCAAATCGAGGCTTACAAAACAACTTATTAGTTCCCTGTATTCAAATGCGGAAGTGGACGCATGTTCGTAGTTTCGTTTTCCCAATTGGTGTTTTGTGGTCTGTAAAGTTATTATTAACATTATCTGCAAAATAAATTCTGGCACTGCACCTATACCGCTGTGGAAAGGCGAAATATAATGGACATCGGATCTTCTCAAAATGCAATGGATACCGGGTCGCGTGAATATCTCATTGAAAGGTACATTCGAAGAGTAATTTGGTCTTGGTCGATAATTGCTTAAATTAGTTAATAATCACATTTGCTAAACGATTGATATGCAACAAACTCAGTATAGCCTAGTAAAAGGGCAGCCACCCGGTGAAACGCCCTAACCGCACCTGAATTATAATGAAGATGGATATATATATAAATGATTCTGAACTGTGTGTTTTTTTATGTGTTTGGGTCAATTTTGAACGTTGGTTTTGTAGAAAAAAGGCGCTTAAAGTTACATCTTTGGTGTACAGTAATTCTTTACTTGATTTGATTGTCCTGTTAAGCAGTTACCCCTGTAAAATTAATCACCTCTATATATATGCAACATCATTAATCAATGCAATCTATAAGCACTCCTACCTTTCTCTAGGTATGCCCCTGATACTCACCAGTTTTCCCATGGCTGGGGCAAATTCAATGTTTCTTCTATGCTAGAGGCCCTGTCTGCAGAGTATGACACTTTTTGACGAGATCTCCGGTGTGCACAAGCAAAAAGCCTGGTGTGACAGTGTGCACCACCAAAAGTGTCTGGTGTGCTGGTGTGCACTGACTATTTTTCCCTGTTGTGGTTAAAATTTGTGAATTTGCATTTCACCGTAAAAATGCGTGTGAAGTATACTGTTGAAGATAGCGCAAGTTTTTATTTGTATATTTGTCAAGTAAGATTCATGATATCTCAAATTGTACATACACAACTGTGCTTGTTTTTATCAGATGACTTTTTCTATGGGACCACACCAAGCCACACCCATCTTAGTTACCACACCCAAAAATACCCGGTGTACAACAGGTTTTGCACAAAAATATCTCTGGTGTGCACATGCCATACTTTGCAGACTGGCTAGAGGCTAGACCTAGCATTAGATAAAAGGCTTTATGCCAAGACATGTGAAATAGAAAGATATGTCATTGCAACAAATAAATAAAATGGGCTCAATCTCATGCCAGAATGCAAGTTTAAAGCATTAATTTTTTGAAATATTTTCTATACATTTGTGCACCTTAGGTGATTCATCCCTACATGTTTAACTTATTTTTCCAAACTGTTTGGAAGAATTTAAGTATTTACTATAATATGGTCTAACAAATCTTTTATCAGGGACCAGTTGGAAGAAGCTCCTCAAGACCCAGAGCCACCAGTTCTGAAGAAATGGAGGTAACTTTTTTTAAAAATAGAAGCGCAACATCCAGTATCAAAATGAATAGGGTTTAATTTAACAAATGTAGAGAGTTGGAAATTGGAAAGTTGGAATGTGGAATACTGGACTGCATAATATTTTTATATAGCGAAACCTTTAAGTATATACTAGTAAGTGAGGAACACCATAACACGCTGGGAACAAACAACAATAAACACATGTAAATCAATTATGGCTTATCAAAAAAATTATTCAATTATAAGCCACCCTTGTTTATTAGTAAGCTTGGTTCAAAAAATAATTTAGCCTACTCTTATTTGTGAGCTGTACCCACAGAACCATGTATAGCTGTTGGTCTGAAAGGATGGACAAAAAAATTGCAGAAATGCTATTTGTGTACTAAAATGAGAAAAATAGACATGTAAGCGTCTCTTGCTTATAAGCCACACTAGCTTATTAACTGTCCAAAATAATCGTTCTATAAGCTGTGGTTTTTAGAACCAAGACCATGTTAAAATGGTTTGGGTAAAAGTGGCGCTCATGCCATCATATTTCTGCCAATTTTTAGCTTCTGATTTCTATTTTTTGCATACTCAGAGGTATTTCACAATGCAATTTCAGGTTATCTTGTCCTAATTCAAAGATTCTAAAGATATATTTTTATGACATCATCATTTCCAACCTCTATTTTTGCTACCTAGTTTAGGCCAGGAAATTGAAGACGGTTGTCAAAGAATATATCAGCATTTTTATGCATTATTCTATAAAAATTTGATACAGTTTCTGAATAAGTAATTACGTTAGTGAAAAATAGCTGAGATGAGTATGATTTACATACGCTCTTCATTTATGAAGAAAATGTGTGCCTTTAGCACCAAACACGAAATCTCTAGATTAAATTAATGACTCCAAATAACTTAGGTCGCCATGCTGCACTTGAGCTTGACGCTGTGTGTTGGTGCTTCATGGAACGATAGTAAGCCATTCAAACTCCATTTTTTTTCAAAAATTGGAGTGCTCCTTGGAACTGCTCTTATTGTGTCTTTACGTTCCGAAAAGCTTTTAAAAGTAATGCCAAAGGTAGTGCAATACGCAATTGTTCCACCCCATTATGATGAAAACAAATTAATGTGTCCAGAAAACGGAGCGGCGACTATTTTGAAAGTTTTTGATTGACTGCTTAAAATATTCGTAATTACAACTCAGCGGCGGCAGTCTGTCATTATGCATTTCTGAAGGCGGAAAATTGAAAGAGCAATTGCTTTCAACCCCACCTCAAAACGGTATGAGATTTTTCGTTTTCATGTAACGGAGCCAGGGAAAATTGGGGATTCAAACCCTTTTGAACGCCAGGGTGTATCTGGAAATGTCTTTACGATGCACAGTCCTTTTCGTGAGCAAAATTACGCGTGTGTGGCAAATCGCACATGTAAACAAATTTGCGCGTGCGATCGCACTTGTAAGAAAATTTGAAGTACAAACCTGATAAAATTGGTAAAAGGAGCAAGAAGGGAAAAGCCACTCGAATACGTGCAAGAGCAAAACTCAATTAATCAATACATAACAGATTTTGTTGCCCTTAGCAGCCATCTTTTAAAAGTCGTCGTCACTCTCCAAAGTTACAAGAGCAAGTAAAAATTGTTTCCAACAGCTACTTGCTTTCAGGGCCTAATTACGTTTTGACAGGAAATCAGTTATTACACTTAATATGCTAATGGCGACTTAGCTTAAAGACGAGACGCTAAGTTGAATTGAGCACTCAGTCAAAAGCCAAACATCACTTCCGAAAATTGGAAAAATCATACTGTGGTCAAAAGTGCGAATCAAGTAACAAGGGAAAGGATAAACAATCATGAGACCATGGGAAATTGATGTTAAAGGGCCTCTCCAGCAAAAAAAAATGTTTTTAATGACTTAAAAGTTAGCATCTGGTGCGTGTATTATGACAAAGTCATTGTTTTTGCAAAATTCCAATTAGTTTAGAAGTTGTAAGGCTTTAAAGTTGCACCTTTCCGAGAAAAACAACGACAAAAGCCGAATCAGTTTGGTGACATTCTGACGTCACAATGTGCGGCTCTCGTTCGCCATGAATTTCGTATATCTTCCACCGAAGCGTGAAGGACTCATGGTCACGCGTTGATAACTGCATCCAGTTCCAGTTCCTGTTCCAGCTCTTCCCTCGCGTATAATTAATCGAAATTGTCACTTCAGTTGTTCTCCAGAAACGATGAACAACTAAAGGCTTCAGAATTGGTGTCTGAAATGCTCAAACTGAAAGCTGGTGGAACAGAACTGAAAGTACCATCACTTGCAATGTTCAATTTGCGAATCGCCGTCGTTCGATTCGGTTTGAGGCGAGACTATCCGAAATACACTGTGACGTCAAAATTGCGTCACAGTGTCACCAAACCAACAATTTTTGTCGGTTAATTCAATTCAATTATCGAAATGCAAGAGCTTATATCTCACAAACTGTAAAAAATATCGAAAAACAAATAACGAATTCGTGATCAGCAGGCTCAACTTCTTTATAAAAATTGCCAATAAAATGCAAGTGCAAAATTTGGCTGGAGAGGCCCTTTAACAGAAAACTGCAAAAACACCTGTTTGCGCGTGTGGTCAAAAGCACGCGCAATTTAACTTGCGCGTGTGCAGGCGTGTGCGGGTGCGATCGCACGCGCTAAACGAAAAGGACTGGATGCATTTTACCTTCATTTAGTAACGTTTAACACTTTTATTTTTAGGCACCTCTTCTATACCGAAAAGCCAATAAAGCTCTTTGTTTGTATTTTCTTTGGGTTGCTCCCATTCCAGATGTCGAGGCACCACACAAAACGCCATCACATGTACTTGTCAGCAATATTACTCATACTGCAGTGGTTCAGTATCTCAATGTATATTTACTGTATCAAAACATATTGGACGAGTGGAGGTGGACCTCACATCCCAAGAGACACTATGGTTGTCATGGTAGCATTGAACACCTCCACTGCTGTGTCATTTACGTTGTCTGTTATTTACTTCTACCAAAGCTCAAACAACTTAAAGGCACATTCAGGTAACAGAGCAATTTCTAGCTTCAACCTCGTTCCAAACATTAGACTTTTGCGCCACCGTGTGCACTTGTTGCATATTCCACGTGTCTACGCGCAGTATCATTAATAACGTCGAGCTTATTGAAATGCTGATGTTAAGTCCAACTCTAAGCCGACATGACTTTTTCGAATATCACGAAGCCCTTCTACAGTACTCCGAAAAGATGATGCGTTCATTAAGGTACTGGTTCGCCGCCCATAATATATTTTTCGTTTTCTTGATTCTCGCTACAGTATTTGAGTGGATCAACGTGATAAAAAGCACTGAAGAGAAACATATAGAAAATTACAACATTTGGTTTGCCCAACTAACCGGATCTTGTTTGATTTCTTATAAATTTGCATTTCCATTTATCTCTGCCAGTCGAGTTACAGCACGGTTCAACATTTTTTACTACAACGTAGCGAGACTTACCAAAGTCTCCGACATTCCAGATTTGGCCGTCCTCCGAGAACATTCTGGTTTCAAACTTTTTGGTTTCCGTATCACAACAAATGTCGCAATGGTCGCGATTTTTTCAAGCTTCATTGGAGCTTTAAAGTTTATTGCAGACTTCAGTACCAACGAAAGTTAGGTGATCAAAGGGAAATGAATACGATTATTGTGACGTCCATCAAAGAAAATAGATTCTTAAAGGCTCGTGCGCAACCGGCATGCTTTGCTGTCGCGGAATTTTTATGTGAGGAAAAATCTACAATATTCTGTATCTTCGTGCAGTATGATTCTAGGCCCGTTTTGAAAATCACGTCGCAAAGCATGCCGGTTGGGCAAGAGCCTTTGAAGGGTCAGAAGCTGAATATCAATTGTTAGTAGCACACTAAACTTTTTAAAGTTGTACACTTTCTTCACAGACACCTGCAGGATTATTTTCTGCAACCATGATTGTCAAAGTTTATTTGGAAATCCGACCATACACCGAGCCACATCATTTTGTCTGCCAGCCTAGAATTCCATTTATATATCCTTAGTACCATTTTTGAATCTGTTGTCAACATTTGACGTATTCAAAATTCATGATCTTAACATGTCGAAAGTATGCTGAAAAGTTGTTGGTGATAATGTTGATAACTGTCGTAGGTTGCATAATGTCCCCTTTCTCCAAAGTACTCTACAAATCTCCAGCAGCCAGTGTTGGGGACTGGCTTTCTAATAAAAAAGAAAACTTTGAAAATTCTAAAGAACATCCTAGAATCATTGTTATTGCAGTATATCGCCATTTAAAATTTCTTTACACAAATTTCTATGTAGATATTATATCAGCATAGTATCAGAGTATCATTAGAGAAATAGTATTTATGATCCTAGACTAGACGCTATGTTCGATAAGTATAATAACGATAAAAATATTTTATGTATTCGACCACTTCTTCTAATAATACGCTCATGCGATAAAAGGAAATTTTTTATTGTTACTGGATTACCTTTTTACTATATCGCATTGTCTTCTGTGTTGTCATATTTACGTTTTATGTAATTGCCCTTGTGACTTAGTAGCATTTTAACGTACGTGTCAAAGTAGACATCATTTTGTTTGTTTTTCAAAATACTGTTTATCAAAACTTTTTGTAGTGTGCTAACTATTCTTCATTTACCGCGCTTTTTATTTGAATGACAGTTTATGAAATGACAATTTTAAAATCATAAATTTTTTTATTAATAAGCTAAAGTTTCTTGAAGATTGTTCCATTTATTTTGTTGAAAACTGCAATCTACTTGTAATATATGCAAAATTGATACGTGGAGCAGATGTCCTGTTTATCTACACTGCAATTGCCACAACGAAAAAAATGTATGACCTCTCCGATACTAACATCCCATATTAGGAAAACTATGTGGTTTTTATCGATTGCATGATAGCTATTGACTTTTCAACACCACCACTCTTTTGACTCTTTGTCTGTGTATCAATGTTCCTTTCATTTAATAGGACAAACCTTGCAATCACCCGGCAAAAACTGCGAATGGTTTAAGCATCTTTATTATTAATGAAAGAAACGTCAGCGACTCTAGTTGAATATAAGATATGCTTCCTCAATAACACTATTCTTCATCGATATATCATACAATTTCACATAATTGCTGTATTTGACAGGGGCAAAGCCCGAGCTTATTAATTATTCAAAATCTTTCCAGCTTCATTGTTTTCACTATGGTTATTTTTGCAGCTTTTGACAATATTTTGTACCCTTGTGATGCCATGCTGATGAACCGCATCTTGTCTTCACTGGGTCTCCTTTGTTGTAACATTTTTCTTTCAGAAACTGGTGGAAATATTTATCTCGGCTTAACGATTTCGAAATAAACTCCAATAATGACAGATACAAATATTTATGCGGCATTAAATCTTCAATTCAAGCCAGTGCATTGAAGTCAGGTCATTTATTCAATTACTAATAAAATTTTAAATTCTTAGGGATTTTGTTTGTCCTAGTGCACTTAATATTACTGAGATGAAAAGATATACTTGTAATAAGGAGTTGGAGGATTCTAGGAAAGGTTATAAGAATTTTGCGAGCATAATTATGCTAGTGAAAACCAAACTTTTGACCCGAAAATCTGCCAGGTTATAAATATAACATAGCAGCTTAGACATCTATTTCTTTTAAAAGATTTGATAATAGCTACAAAATTAAGAAAATACAATATGATATAATGAAATTGTATTTAAAAACATTGTATATGCACGCTCATGTAGATCACAGGTGAGCCTCTTCCATTCAAAGTTTTATCATGCTTTTCTTGCAATCTACTTGCCCACAGTACTCCTACCCATTTCCATTCTTTACCTCTCCGGGTAGTGTTCAAGTAACGTAAAAAGAAGATTCGTTATGAAAGGAAAGTTAGAAGAGGAAAGTCCACCCCCCCGCCCCCCTTACAGAATTAAGCGAAAATCAGCTGTCAATTCTCATAAAATGCCTTCATTGAGAGTTTTGATATCAATCAAAATGTCCTGTTTTAGTTTAATTGTCCCCTTTGAATAATATATGGCCAGCATATGGTTATTTTGATGTGATATGTTAACAGTTCACAATTTTCACGAGAACATTTCACTTTGTCCTCAAGATGAGTGTGAAAATTACAGCTGTAGAGTCGATTGGTTCAGGTTTAGCTGTTTTGAAGAAACACATATGTTTTATTTGGAAAAGTTATTATCAGTGATTAACATCTGTCCCTGAAATTTCATTTCTACATGATTTCCGCCTTTTATGTAAGCAATGAGGTGTGATGATCTAAAATGAAGTCATTTTTTCGAGACGCTAAGAGATATCAACAATTTCTCAAGCTTATAGAAATTCATCACATAATTTGATCAATTGAAAAAAAGTTGAAAGAACTTGCGTAAAACAATTCTTGGGAATTTTAAACAATAAACATGTTTTCACATGTGTGTCATAATAAAAGCTTGTTATTTCTTGAGTTTGGCTTTGAAAAAGAAAAAAACTTTAGATAAACGTTAGATTTTCGTTTAACAGTACTCAAAATATTCTTGGTACCAGAGCTTAAGGCATTGGAAGAGGAAAGGGAAAAGTAAAACTCAATTTTTTAGGCTCTGGTACAAAAGATATCCTCAGAGTAAAGAATATCTGAATAAGGTTACAAACGTTAAGTAAGCAGTTTCTATCAGTTAGCATGAAATCCATCCTAAACTGTTTACTAGCAAAAACTTAATATTCAATTATTAGTCTTTTGCAAATAATGCTGGCTTCAATATAGTCCCGGTAATAAACTGCCATCAGGAACAGATTTTTGCAAAAACTTAAGGGAAATTAACTCTCTGTTTTCTAATAGATGATATGTATATAAGAAAACAAAGAGTGAAAAGAATTGTTGACTCTGATTTGTTTAATATTTTTAACGATAGAAGTTATCTAATACCGTTTTTAAAGATATCTGCCGATTGTTGAATGAACAAATTGGTTTAATACTACACCTGTAAGATTGCGGTATCAATCTGAATATTGTTTTGTTTTGGCAATCGACTGTCATGGGAATTGAAATCAAATCTCTCCGTGGCTGTTTGTGACCCCCTGGATCGATGGCAGAATATTAACTATTAATACTGCAGGATATCTTCTTCAGTTCACTCCAATAGGATCAGAAATGGATGTTCCAGAGAATTCCGATGATCATGAAGAAAATAGAAATATAGTTGGATTAACCAGAGAGGCAACGATTATCGAAGTCTTCGAAGCCGAGAAGGAGACTGCCGCTTTGGAAGAAACGATTAAGGAGCTGGAAATTCAAAATGATGCTGATGCAAGTGATGACGCTACTACAATTGTTGACTTCAAAAGTTTGATGTCAAAGAAAGTTAGGGACAAATATTCGCTACTGCTTTATCTATGCTTGCTAACATTTGAGGCCGACCTCCCGGAGCAATTTTATGATGCCCTTTTTAAATCAAACTTAATGGCAAAAATAATACAACAGATTAAAGGAGAAGATTTTCGAAAAACATCGACAAAGGATTTGTGCTAATTAATGAGTGTGTGATTTTCATCTGCATTTCGCTATTTTGAAGACGTCTGCTGTACTTCAGAACTTTGATGTCACAATTCGACGTTGGTATAAAGTATTGAATCAATGTCATCGAAAATTATGAATCGGAAGATCGAATAGAAAAATGGTAAATGCTTTTAAAAAGATGAATCGAATATTATAACATAACCTAGCAATAAATTCATGAGGCCCTGGCTTGTTTTTGCAATGGCCGAAAATAATTTACGTAGTAAAACGTGACCTCAATACATCAAGGAAAACATATGTTTGGGCAATCAAACATCATTTGCAGGTGCAATTTGACGTAATGTCTTTGAGCCATTTATATGTTTTTGTTTAACTTACTCGCTTTTTAATATAGCATTGAAATGCGACGGTAAACTAATTCTTTTTGCATATCTTAGCACGTTCCCTGATATGCCGACAGTAATTTTGTTCAGAAGTTTCATCATTTTTCAACCTTGATCTTTTGGTATAGCTCACTGCTCAAACTGAGAAATGACGTTGTTAGATTGCCATATAGATATCTATAGCTAACGTGTCACCAAAACATTGTTACTTCCATTTATAAAAACTTTATATATTTGACAGTTGAATCAATAGTTCTTTGAAAGACTTAATACGTGAATACTTGCTTAAACTCCCAAAAATAGATAGATGTGATTCAAAGATTTAATCCCTGCTTTCACAAATTATGTTTATTAAAGACCGACATTATTTTAAATTACGTTGGTAATTATGTTATTATTTCTTGAAAAGTTTGTTAGATGTATTAACAATAGATATTTTCAAGGTGGCGGTAATCTTCTTTGTATATACTCAGGTTATGCTTACAGTCAGAATCTAGAACCATGGAACCCTGAGCTAGTTACAAAAATCCTTTCAGATGACAAATCAAATATTTAAAAATCAATTAAAGAGCAAAATCGATCAATGCTTTCTAATTCAGTACATAATATTATCTCCTTTCTTTTCCTGATTTCTTATTTTTACTTAAGCCATGTAATGTTAAATTTAATAATTTGACGTAGTTCGTATGATTGTTGTATATATTATCATGAAAATCATTATATATATTTATGTCAACTTAATGATTATGATCCATTAAATCTAATATTTTTTCCTTAACTATAGTAAGATTACGTTTTTGTACAGATAAGGTAATCGATTTCATGTTTTTTGTACCTACTAACCTGACGTCTGCCAATTCTTTGTTTTCATTTATCATGGATAATGGTGTAGTGGCAAAAATCGATTGAATAATGTATATTACAGCCGTAAAATAATTTGAGAGATTGTTTGGTTTCTTCCAATACGCTCTTTCTAAAGAAATTCTGTCTTCTAATCTTGACAGATATGTTGAAGCAGTTTAATTAGTATTACGAATGCATGTACGACAAGCATTTCTTCCCAAAAAAACATTTGCTTCATAATAAATATGTTTCTGAAGAAGGTAGGAAGTGCATAAATGCTAGGATGCAACATTTCCGAGGTTTATCATAACACGAGGTTTATTTATTATTTTGAAATATAGATGGGATTAACTTATCCGAAATTGTTTGCCTCTTTGCATTCAAACTAATTAAGCAACTGTCTTGAATGTCTTGTCTGTTGAACAAAAAGATGCCTATTTATTGTCAAAAGAACTCTATTTAATATTCAATTTTTTAACGCATTTTCAGCTCAGATCATTTTCAGCTCAGCTCAATAGATGGAATTTTCAGACTATTAAACTTGCCGCATTTGGAAATGCAACAATTAACATCGACAGGAGATTGTAAAGACAGTAAAATGCTATCAATACTTTCCCACGTTCTCAGCCTATATGTGTAAATGCCCTTCACCTGCCAAAACACAGAAGGCATATTTTCTCACAGTGGAATACAGATATCTTTTTTTGCTGTTGATGGGCTGATCCGATGGCGTCATAACTGCTCGATGGCTGCAGAATTTATCATCTCAACTTGTTTACTATCCCCATGAAAATTGTGAAGCTGATGTCTTTTATCAACAAGACAGGCCTTTCTTCTTCAAAATTCAGAGTGGTGATTTGATCAAGCAAAACATTTAATGACGAATAAAACAAATCACTTTATGAAAATCACTTCAATCTAATTTTTGCACAAACTTTTGGTTCGTTGTTATTATTTAGTGAGAATCTATTGAACTCAAAATTTCCACGAGAGTAAGGTTGCAAAATTTGGATTTTTTCTGGTACCAGTAGATCTAGTTTTAGTTTCTAAGCTTTAAAAGGCACTGTCGCATTTGTTTACTTTGTAGGAAAAGGACAAAGGTGATATTGAGGATTTCCTAAAATGATTGGGCGAATTTAGTATTTAAGACAAAATGTATAACATTGCTTAAGACCATGATAGTATGTAGCAAAAAAGGAACGCTGCAACGCACTGAGAATAAGGAACAATAAACACACGTAAATTAACTGAGGCACACTTAAATTAAATGATAGTATATTGATGCTTCCTTCTTAATCTGACGTTATATCAACTGCTGCGCGAAAGCCGAATTCGTGGAATTTAGCTAGAATGGCAGTCTTTCTAACGCGAATAGATACAAGCGAAAAATGAGTACATCACATCAACATCAGCAGGTATGAACAAAATTTTTACTTTAAAGAGAGGTTTTGTTGGTATTGACTTTATTTTAAATGCAAAGCAAACAGTATTCTTTAAAGGTCCTGTTTTTCTGCTAGTTGAATAACTATCAAATAAGCTTTTACTTTCATTGTAAACAGTGATTACATATATAAATGTATGCATAATTGCAAACGTTCAACTTCCGTTTTATCTAAAAGTATCATTTTATTGAAAGTAATTAAAAGTTTTATTAAAGTAATAGCTCAAAAAGGTTCAATATAGCAACAATCGTATCTGCTCTAGTTTTGGTACAGATCAGTTCTATTTAAATCAGGGTCTCATGTTAAGCAAAAGAGGCCCAAGGAAAGATCTTTGTGACGCCCAATTAGGACACTTTATCATTAGAAGAAGCTATCTTTATCCTATATCAACACAATTCATAAGAGTAACCAAAACTCATGTCACTAAATAACTCTACATTTTATTTAAAACAAACAAGTTACTTTAAATGACAAAGGTTTTCTTAAGATTTCCATATTTTTAGTAGCACAAGCCTTTTTTATAGACATCATACTGTGGATGAAAACCCTACACTGTGGGTTCAAGAGACTGATTCAAGACATTTCTAGAACGTTATCCCACATTTCTTCTTGTCGTGTTAATCGGTATAACCTATGGGTTGAGCCCAGTCTAAAACTATCCAGCTCAAGAGTTGGGCTAAGCATTGATTGAACCTAGGCTAAACAGCATGTATAAACCATAAGATGAAAATTATTCTTCAAGGTTGAAGTTTTATATATTCATTCTGTAACAGGATTTTTTAAGAAAAAAAACCTTCAATTTGAAGCAGTTTATTTTATCAGATTCACTTGTAACGACGAGTTCAGTTTTGAATGATATCAGATTTTCATTTTAGAAATGAAGAACAAGATGTTATTGATAAACTTTGCTTACTTTTGCGTTAGATAATTACCCGATTACAAAAAAATTCACACCAGCAATGGCAGATAATGTATCTATGTCAAATTACAGAAAGCCTGTATGTTCGAAACAGCGACAACTTACAAATTTATAATCTTTTTAAAGGTACAAGGCAGCTACACTAATTTTGCAGAAGCTCCAACTAGCTTTATAGCAAAAGAAAGTGCTTCATGTGAAACTGAACTTGACATAGAAGGTGAGAAGGAAATAATTTCAAAATCAGATATATTTAACAAATTAGCTATAAATCTCTCTTGAATATGCACCGGTTACCTAAATATGTGCTTGTCACTAAAAGAATTTGCTCGTCCCTTAAAATGTCTACTATTTGCTTAAATCATGCGCCATTTGCTTAGAATATGGACCGGTCGCTTCTTTATAATCATCTCTTTTTTTATTTGAATTTAAATGCAAATATCCACTTGAATAAGCGCTGTACTAAACGTCTCTTTGAAAATGATTCTATTCCTTTCAAAATAAGAACATTGTTATTCTCGTGGCTCTTTGAAATTACCAATTGGTATTTATTATGAAAAAAGAAAACAGAATGCAAATATATAAACAGAGACCAGAAATTCGGGTATTATTTTTCGAAAACATTCGCTAACGCTTTAGCCTGAAGTTCAAGATATACAAAAAGTGCTGCATTTTAAATTGATTTAAAGAATTATTGCAACGGCATTATTATTGCAAAGCGATAGCCTGATGATTCGAAATGTTATTCGGATGCTAAAGGTCGAATGAAGCCTGCAATATTTATGACTAATAATTTAAGCCCTGCTGAAACGAAACACATGTTGTTGGATAAAACAAGTTTTCAACTTTTGGCTACCATGTTTTGTAATGTTTGATGAGATGTTATGAAATTTTCTTAGTAGCAGTAGGTTTAAGTTTGGTAAACAGAAGGTAGTAACTTTAGTAAATCCCATATACATGTTTTGCTAGGCTCGCCAATCGGAAACTACTTTTAACCAAACCCTGAATTGTCGATTGGCGAAACCAAGCACCTTTAAGTTTACCTGTCAATTTTCTGATCGATTCGTTGTCTTAATAGTGTCAAACACAATCGAATTAGACTTGCAATGAATGGTTTAAATACAGAAGGCTTTAAGGTTTTCGGGATTATGAATGTTTACGGGTATCCGAATTAGAATTGAATGCGTCATACAATATTTTCGTATTTGCTAGTAAAAGTTCACACGCATCAAACATAGAAGCATAATTATTTTTGGCTCTCCTGCAGCCTTTTAGGTTCTATTGACAGACGTAAATAGATCTAATTGAAATAAAAGGACCATGTGATTTCCGTATATACGTCTTTTAAACAGGAAAATGTGGCATGGAGGCCAAGTCTTTTCTCGCTGCCTTAAATATTTGAGCCTCCTATCGCAGAGCAACCTTTAGCTCTGCAGTGAAATGCTTTAATTCATTGGCCGTTTTTTCATTCTATAAGCTTTCTTTATGTATAGTAGAAGACTCTGCTCATAATATACCGTTTTGTATCAGGTTCAGAAGGAAGGAGGAGGGGGGGGGGAGTGGTGGGCTAACTAAGCCTAGTTTTGAACGGGTACGTGGCATTTTGGTTCAAAATTTTGACCCACAATTTTCTTTGTTGAGAATGCAAAATGCGCTCCATTACTTTTGAAGCAAATCTATCTATTCAAAACAGAGTTTTGGGAGCAACATACAACATACATTGTTACATAGTTTTTAGCCCGTCTTCAACATACATTGGATATTGGTCGAAACAAATTTTTTTTTTTTCAAATTTTACTCTTAATTTGTACTAAAGTTTCATGCTTTTTACCAACAGATGCTAAATTAGATTTCGATGCAACTGGAAAGAGGAACTATCTTTCAGCATGTGAAAAAATTGGCACCACGCCAGTGTCACATTTGATAGAAAACCTTGCTCAGCCTGTGGTGCATTTGAGGTATCATGGTATTGGATCATCAGGTGCAATTGCTCTTTCAAGGGCACTCGGGGTTGGTGTGTTGTAAGAATGTTTTCATCTTCAATTACGTGGTGGTTTTGTAACTTTAGTACTACCATTCTATTTTCTTTAATTATATATCATTATTCTACTGAAATCACATTCGTGTTTTTATATAGATGCATGAGTTCAAATTTGGTTAATGGGAGATAGCTCGGAAGTGTTAAGCTAGCTCAGGAACAAACGTTGCAATGTGATGATTAAAATTTTTCCTTTAGCTTATATAGTGTAGTGTATCGCGAAATTCATACTTGTGCGATGCTATCTTTTGATCAACTTAGATACTGGCTTAGCACTGAACTGTCGTAACGAAAAGTGAAAACACGACATATGTTCCAGAGCCATGGATCTGCATCACACATCAACTCGTCATAACTTTTGCGAATAAGAATGCTTTAACAAGTTTCAAATGGTTCTCTTTACTGGTGGCAAACGCCATGAGCATCTTGAACATTGAAACTGAGTGATACCTTAGTGCATTAAGTGCATAATGCTTTGGTACATTAGGTATCATGAAATTTTTCCAAGAGTTAATATTCTTCAAACTTTGCACCACATTAAGAATGGGTCATGCAAGCATAAGAACCATATTTTCTTGTCTTCGTTAAAACGGCCTTTTTGACTGTGTTTATAATTTTGTACTTCTATTATTTATTTTTTTATTGCCTGAATCTAGTTAAATAACCTAATGAATGGGCCACCTTAGACCTCTGAATTATTCTACAGATAAATACAATGATTGTGGAATTGGATCTCTATGAAAATTATGTGGGACAATCTGGAGCAAAAGCTATTGCGGCAATGCTAAAAGAAAACTGCTACATAGCGAATATGGTAGAGAAAATGTCTCTGAATCTTTGATAACGTAAAAGCTAGTGCTGCAATCTTGGGGTTTCTGGATAAGCGGGAAAAATTCGTTTTAAAGAACGGCAATTTTTTACTATCTCCTCCCTTCCTAACACTGTCTTTGCGTTGATGTAAAATTCACAGAAATGTTTCGACTATTGTAATACATTTTATGTCGTCATATTTAACAAATACAGAATTTACAGAAAACGTTTAAGACGAAATTGAAAAAAAGGTCAAAAACATTTATGTTGTCATTTCAACATACATCGATGTTTTGCTATGCTTTTGTGACACTCAATACCTTGGCACTTTGATGTTTATAATTGAATAACATTCTAAATGATAATGCAAGCAGCCAGAAAGTTTTCTTAAATCTTTGGGAAGTTTATACATTCTTGGCTATATAATATCCATTTAATATATATTCTACCAAGGAAACAAACGCCTTGTTGCAAAGTGCTTGTGTTTTTATAGATGAAAACCAATGATCTGTGATAGCCTAACCCATTCGTTTATATAGAATCTTGGCAGAAACTATTTGACTCCTGATGGCTGTAAATGGATATGTGAGATGCTTCAAACCAATACAAGTTTGTTAAAAGTGGATTTATCATGCAATGAATTTGGTGATAAAGTTGGAGACAATTTGGCTAACGCTATAAAAGCAAGTCTTTCTTTGATAATCATTTTTATCATGTTGGTAACATTCTAACATAAACAATTTTGTCAAACGAAAAATTTCATATTCAATCAATATATTTAATCTTTAATCCAATTAAAGACAGCATTTTAATTAAATCTTTTATTATAGTATTATAGTATTATCAAATCTATTTCATACTTGACAAGCTTTGATAAACATGTAAACAGGATAGTCAATTTTCAACGTGGACTTTGTATACTCATGGGCCAGTTAACATTTGCATCATAGATTTCTTTCGTTTCATTTAAATTTGTAGAATCAGTGAAAACGCAAACTTCCTTAGGTTTATTTCGTGGGTTTAAGATTTATTTTTACTTTAAAAATAGCTTAAATTTGTTACGTTTTAGAGCAATTGTAAATTGGCTTGGCTGAACCTGAGTGAAAATGACCTTGGTGAGAAGGTCGGCATAGCGTTGGGCCCAGCTATCAGTATGTATCGACTTGAAAACATTCATTTTCTAAAGGTATACCAAAAAGGACAATACTTCATAACATATAATAATTATTATGTTTTAAAGCAACGAATTAAGAGAAATATATTTTCTAGTAAGATGTTTGCTGCCTTGGTAGTAAAATTTATCACTTGAGAAAGTCATTCAAAAACAATTATTGTTCATCAATTGCTAGCTCTGATGGTCACCTGAGCAAGTACAATTTGGGTGATTTTTTTCTCCAAATTGATCACATGTTTTTATCAAAACTGTCAAAACTGAAAATGTGCTTGTCAAATACCTTCGTTTAAATAGGGGAGCTGCAAAGCTATAAATGATGGATTGTACATTACAGGACTAGTAAGAATTGCTTTCCAGTCAATATCTACACAAGTTTTACAGGTTTTATAGAAATTCTGCTTTATAAACAAACATATATTCTGTTCTAAATAGCAATGAATGACGCATTGGAGCATTTGGATTTGAGCTGGAATCAAATCAGGGGAAAAGGAGCTGCAGATGTGGCTGCTGGCCTTTGGGTATGTGTGCAATGATTGAAATAATCCTGATTTGACAGGATTTGCGGAGCTTTATTGTGTTCTAACCTTTAACTGTGAACAGGTACTGCAAGCTGCCTATTTTCATGCAAAAACATAAATCGTTGGTTTTAAAGCACTTAATGTTTATAATTTCTATTTATTATGGACACAAGACTTGATGAATATAGAAGAAATATTCAGTTTCAAGGGGCCTACTTTTTAACAAATTTCCAAACGAACTTAAAACTGAAAACTCATCGCTACGTTTCAAAATTAAGTTAGGTGAACATTTTAAGTCATAGATCATGTATAAAAGATACCTTTTAGTTACCTGGCCTGTAGCCAAACCAAGTTTTTGATGTATTTTGCAAAATCAATGTCCAATGAATAAGAACTGTATAACAAATTAAGTGCAATTAGTAGGTGTTTGCAAAGTTTTTAATTGAATCCTCTTGTTGTTTTTACAGACAAATTGCACTCTCAAGTATTTGGACCTGTCTTGGAACGGTTTTGGAAATCTTGGGGCCCTGGCCTTAGCTGAAGCACTCAGAGCGAATAATACTTTGACAGAACTTGACATCAGGTTTACAGACAGTATTATTTTTGTTATACGAGTCTTTGATGGTCAGGTTATGAGCAAGGGAATATTGAAAAGTTCTGAACAACCTCAGGCGTGAATGAGGACACGTCCTGTTTCTAGAAATGGTTCTGAGAATGTCTACAGGCGGTTTCCAATTCTCAAGTAATTTGAGAATGTTTTCAGTGGAAGATTTTGACATCAGTCACAAAGAAGTTTTTATCTAGTAGGTAGTTTTAGCCTAATTGATTTGATCTATGTTTGAATAATATTTTTGGCGATAGCTTGAAGCTTGAATTTTTTCTCCAGCAACAATCGAATTGGTACAGATGGTGCTCTTCTTCTTGCTAAAGGAATCAGTGGCAACAATACTCTTGAAATACTTAAAGTAAGACTTAATGATTTTGAATCTAGCTACGTAGCAAGCAAACAAAATCTTTAGAGCTCCTTCATAAAAGATGAAAAAATTGATGCCACGTCATAAAAATCGTTATAAAAATGTTCATTTTTCTATCAATTGCATTATAAAATTTTACGAATTCTAAAATTGTCAAAAATGAGTATTCCCACTAAAAAATTTACTCTCCTTGCAGATAAAGTCATCTTCAAGGATATTTGATTAAAAGAAGTCTGAAATTTGCATAAAAAATTTCAAGAGAAATTTTTTTTATATATTTAACGGTTTATGTAATATAATTTGCTTTATGCCATTAGAAAACTTTTTTGCTTGGAAATTTCTGCTTGCAAGGCTTCTTAGCTGAAAAGTCACATTGCTAAGCACCAAGAAAAAACACTATTCAATTCGAATAAAAATGTCAAAGTCTGTCAAAAATAGATCCTTTATGTCCATCTTTCATGCCGTAAATATTAGCAATGATGTTGGAGTAATAAAGTGATTTGAAAAAGTCGAAAAATACTCAATCTATTTCTATAAAGCTTCTTCATTTTTTTACATGACAGATGGACGGTAATCCGATAAGATCAACTGGAGTTGTCTTGATAGTTTCTGCAGTTAATAACAAAAGCGACACTGCTATTCGAGAGCTGCATTTCAAAGTAAGCAATTGACGTTTGCAAGCGAATCTTAACTCCCTTTTATATGATGTAAAAACGCAAAAATTAAGTTTTACTCACTGTTGCTTTGCGTCTGATGAAGAACGGATACATTAAATTACGGAGACTTTTAAAAAAGAAGATATTTAAATGTGGTTTGTAAGCTGTCACTTTGAATTTCCTTTTTCTAATCCACTCAAAGATTGCAATATGAATTTACAAGCTACGCTACTTCACAATTACCAGACATCTATTTGATACTACTGGAACGATATCCCAAGGCCATTTGAACATGGAGATTAAACTTAAAACTCAAACATTAATTATTATATGATTGTAAAGAAAACAATATCAAGCATAGTACAACATCACAGACCTGACCCTACAAAGAACTGTTCGGGAAGAAGAATCTTGCATGGCCAAACTTCATAATTTAAGTGTGCCGACTGTTTAGAACAATCAGTAAGGTCTAAAAAGTTATTAAGACAACACAAATTTATTTGCTTAAAGTCTGTGGTCTCCAAAACATGCATGGTGCGTGTCGACTGTGTAATGAAGTTGATTGGCCATTCTTGCAGTGAAAATCAGGTTGTTGTTGAACTAGTTGGAGTTAGATCTAAATATGAATCTCTATAAGTTGTAATGAAATATATAATGAAGCAACAAATTAAAGTCTGTAGAAAATATTGAACCGGTTCTTGCAGAGGAGATCTAAAACACAGATTTTCTGGCACGATTTTCGTTCCTTTTAGTTATGCTGCATTTTCGACAAATATCTTTCTATTGGTTTATATCTTTCTATTGGTTTTCTATATAATGGTTTCATTATCAAAACAAAACGAATCAAGGGTGTTTAAGTAAAATTATCTCTTTTTGCATTTCAGGGAATAGTTGTTGATGAAGAGTTTGAAGAACTTCACAAAGAAGTGACAGACACAAAGAAAATTGTCGTTTTTGCAGAGTTTTCAAGAGTTTCTGCTCTCCAAAAGATCCAAAGACTAATAGACGCAGACAAGGATAAATGGATTCTTGCATTCGAGGAATTGGACGAACATCATATATTACGTGTTCCAAACGAGGTTTTTTTCAATGTTGTTGAGGTAAGTGAAATTATTAAAAGACGTAATGGCATTTTGGCAGATAAACTGTCCTGTTAATCATGTGTTTATAGGCAAAAAGGTAAAAATTAAAAATACTTGTCTTATGTCTTTTGTTTTATGCATCATGTCTTATATCTTATGTCATATATCTTATGTCTTTTGTATGCCAAAAATATAGCATCCAGAAAATCTATATCTTTTTTAAAATTGCAAAGATTTATTTACTTTATTTCATAGACACTTGGTTTACACCTTAACACTGAAGAAAAGCTTGTGCTTAGTTCCAAACTGAAGTCGGACAGCTTTGGTAACATTTACTATAGGTAAGTATATGTACTTGAAGTTTAAATAGTACCCTTATAAATGCCTTTCTTCCACGCAGCAAGTGGACCCATAGAGCTAACGCACTTATAAAATATGACAGTAGAAGAATCCCTTTGTAGCTATAATTCTTTTAATTGCATTCGTTTCATTACTTTGTTTAAGTTTAATCAGATTTTCAAAAGCAAAATTGATGTTTGTAAACAAAATTGCCACTATCATAAATGGTTCCTACATTTAATCAACATGCACTTAAGCTGCTTCCTACATAAAATTTTACATGAACCCAATCCAATCAAATACCGCCTAATTTTTGAAAACGTTCTGTTTTTTACACATAATGGCTAAAAAATTGCCACCCGGTGTTGCATTCAAGCCATCAACTTGCTGTATAGTTATTATCAAGACTTGATAATGTAAGCCAAAATTAACCATAATCTTCATTGAAAATCTTCTAATAAAAGCAAAAATTTGATGTAGTTCGGACGGGCTATAATATAAATAGAATCATTCAAATGTTACAGCGAACCAAATTGAACAGTGTCTTTTCGAATTTACCGTAATCACTCTAGACTATCAACCGCTTTACTGTAGTCTTCTGGCAGTTGAATTAAATAATCTTGTTTGTTTTGAAACTACGACTAACAATTTCCAGATCAATGATAACAAAAGATCTGAGTCACTTTTTTACATCACTGTACATTTTTCTCTTTAGGCACGTTCTTCTTGGTTTCTCAAAAGAAACGCCCAGTAAAGAACAGTCTCAAGAAAGCAGCGAGAATTGAAATTTAGTGCTTAATAATGTTTCTACTCATCTATAGGTTTATAGTATTGTTTGTTAAAGTCTTTTAAATATTTCATTGTAAGCTAGAACTTTGCATTGAACAGGAAAATAGTCAGGTAGTAAACAGTGTCATGCTAAGATAGAGAGTATTATTTTTTCTTTTAAATCTGAGAAGCTAGCTTTCTTCTGGCACATTCTACTCGACATAAATTTATGAAAATCTTAGCAATATGAGCAGCTAATGAGCAGATCCAAAATTCACCTCGTTCTCTGGAACTGGTTCAGGTTTTGCTTATTTGCCAGTGTTTTCACTTGAAATCGCGCTTTAAATTTTAAAATCGGAACAATGTTTGTTACTTTTTGAAGTTGTTGTGTTATCCAAGATATATTTAAATTGCTTTCTTAGAGCCTCAAATTTTAGATGAACAATAACAAAAATCTAACAACAAGATTATCAATGAGCTAATAATGTAAAATAATTTATTCGATATAATCCATAATATGCAGTCACAAGATGCTTTGGACGCCCAGAAAAGCTCAAATTTGAGCTGCAGAGCCAAGTGCTCCGATTTAAGTAATCTAGCTAATTTAGTGAGGTAGAAAAAGTGAGGTACCTAGAAAAAGCAGTAATCATACACTATACAGTTCATTTTCATTTTATCATATTTATACACAAAAACCATATCAGCTTCTAAGTTAAAAAAGAAAAAGTAAAGATTAATTTACATATAATGCTGGTCTTCCTAGGGATCGTGCTTCGGAAAAGGATGCTAATTTTCCAGGAATTCCTTAATTTCTTTTGAACGTGGTAATCGTGGAGCTCATTCTTATCTGTAATGGAATTTCGTTCCACGTCTGTGCACCACAGTAGAAAAAACTCCTTTTGGAGAATTCTAGGATTTGCCTTGGGATGTCTAGGTGAAGGCAATTTCTTGTTGAATAATTAGATATTTGGGATCCTGTGACAAGTTTCAGTGAGGTAGAAAAAGTCAAAATAGCAAATAGAGAGGAAAGGAACCATTCCTTGTATGTTTTTCTTCTTTCAGAAATGTCGTTTACGAAAAATTAAAATTCTTAATGCTAGAGGAGCCCAAGTGAAAAGAAAATTATGATGGAAAAGAAAAAAAGAAACATACCGCGCTTAAAATAAAGCCAACCTCGCTTAAAAGTAGCCTCAATTCAGTAACCAGTTTCCCTGACACATGTTCAAGATGGCGGTCAGTATAGACGACTTTTTGAAGGCGAATTTGGGACAGTTGATGTCTATTGGCTTGCCAGATGATCTTTATTTCAAACTATACGAAAAGCTGTACCCTGAACTAATTTACGATGCAGGGGATTCATTCATATTTAGTGAATCTGGAGAAGGTAAAATTTTTTGATTATAAAACAGAAGCACTCCAGACCGGTCTTGGATTTCATGGCAGTTTTCGACGAGTTCTCGGGAATGCACAAGCTATTACCCGGGAGGGCATTACCATGAGTGGCCGTTATTCAAATTCCTAAAGGTTTTTCAGGTAAAGAGATCAATAAAAAAAATGTTTGAAAAGACCAAAAACAAGATCATCCTAACAGCTAAAGTATGATCTTAAGCAAGGCCACCGAGAGGGGGACAAGGGCCTCGATGTCTAGGGAACCTCGTAAAGAGAGGAATTTCATTGTAAGAATAAGATTCATCTGTTCATTGGTAAATGATAGTAATCAGTTTATAGAATGGAAATATGTAAGAACAAAACAATTGAAACAATTGCAAGAAAATGACTGCAAAGAATATTCTGAAGTTTATTTTAAGCTAATCTAAAGAACGGGGTTTCAAAAATTTTCTGGCAGCCCCAATCTTAAGTGGATCACTCAATTTAGAATGACACTTTTTTCCAATCTCCGCTGGACACAAATTTAGAAAGACACTTAGCCATGTTTGAAAAAATCCATACTGGACTCCAGAGGCCCTTGTCACATCACGAAGGATAAGCTCTGGAATGACCATAGTTCATTTTTTTCGATCTATCAACTCTGCTGGTTTTGCTGGGAGAATCCTGCCTGGCTCGCATGCATCTGCATGGCCTTTGCAAGTGACGCTGTTGGGCCGGATCTTCTTCATCTGTTTTCACCTAATGTTAGGGTTATTGCCATTCGTAAATGTCGTGTCTTGGCCAGAAAGGTACAGAGTTTCCTATGAATCATAAATAATTGCTTGGGGGTACCGTCAATAATATTTCTAATTTATTGCAAAAAATGCCTTAATCTTCTCATGAAAAGCAACAGAAAAGCCCAACAAAACGACATGTACAACATTGTCGTACAATGTACAACAAAATTTTATTTTCCAAAAAGTGTCAATTAGAACCTCCTAAATATTTGCTCATTTTATAAATTTTAGAATTGGGGTTTCCCTCTCCTCGATTAGCCTAGCTAGCTACTGGGAGAGTTCTTCCTCAAGAAATTCCTCTGCATGCAAATCCCTAGAGTTGTTTTCTGTTTTCTGAGTTTCCTTTGGTTAAATAACCTACTCTTTTTGCAATCTGATACTAGCAAATACCACATTTCTCAAGCTAATTTTTAATTCATTAACCTAAGTTCACTAAAACAATTTAATTGCTTTGTTGAGTATTTTCATTGTTTGGTCCATCACTTTATTTTTTTCTGATTAGGATACAAACTTTGTGCAAAGAAGGAAATCAAGAAACACAGTGACATATTTCTTGTTGATCATGCATGGACAAGTGATGGTGGTGCAATGGCAAAAAAACAGCTAGAAAAAATGCCTCAGTTGGTTTCCAGAATGCAAACCATGTTTGGGTTAAAAGAATTTGATGATGATTTGGAATCTAATGATATAGAGTATTTGGACAGTTGTGTTGTGGTGCAGAGTACATGTACCTGTTCACTTGAAGAAGCAAGGTAATTGTTTCCAGTCCTATTCTATTAGCCTAAATTCTATTTTAATACATGCCTGTCTATAAATTCAAAGGAATCCTGCATATAAATTCAGAATTTCCTTGAACCATTGCACAGAAAGCATAACAGTGTGTTTGGTGTTTACTAAACCCTTTCTATCTGTGTGCTGTGTGTCCCACAAGCAGCCCTACACCATTCAACTCAAGCCACAGGATATAACCAAAGTTAAGACTTTGAATACATTTTTAGACCACAATATTAGGTCTTTGAAGACTTTTGCAATCTGGGGTTTGCAACATGGTAAACTGACAGCCTATTGAAGTGCTTCTAAGGTCATTTTAGGAAACTAAATTCAATTCTAAAATTGGCATAGTGTCCAATTTTTGCTTTTGCTACTCAAAGTTTGGTCTAGGCTGTGAAAGCAGCACAGAATTTGTGATGCAATTAGATGCCTAGAGCCCCATGGTTTTGTCCATGCAAATGACCATAGAGCTGGGATTGACTACAATTTTAACCAATTGAGTTCTGATTCAATAACAAAATCAAGTAAATAAAACAGTGAAAGGAATTGATTAAGAGGGGATTGATTAACAATGTCCATTTCACTCTCTGCCTTCTGTGAGGTTCAAATATGATCATCATCAGTGCTAGGCCAGATCATGGAAGCAGACAGCTTGTTATCATGGTCAGCATTTGAACTCTTGTTCAACATCAGCTAGATCTCCTGATGTCACTGGGGGCATGCTTTTAAAACAAAAATAGGCATTTTCAAGCTATTTAACAGCAAATTAAGATTCTATCTTTGGAAATGATTTAATTCATTTAATTTATCAAAATCAACAAAAAATTCACACAGTAGAAGCACTTTAAAGAATTTTTTAATACTATATAACTCTTTCTGAAATATTAGATTTTATGACAGATCATTAATTTTTTAAATTTTGCAAATTTTTGAAAATGTCTGCATAAAGGGGAATCAGAATCAGATAGTTGTATTCATAATATTAGAAAAATGTCTTTTGCCAGGTTCCTTAGGTATCAATATTGTGTGGAGTATGAAGGAAATACTGAAGTAATCAGGGAAAGAGTGAAAATATAGTGGACATTTGGGTAATCCTAGGAATTTAGGTTATCCTGGGTTTTAAATTAAATATAGGGATGTGCCTATTGAAGAGGAAAAGAGGAACTTAAAGAGATAAAGTATGTCATACAATGTTCCAAACATTGGATAGTATAATAAAGATTGAACCTGTAGGCTTTACAGCTAGTAATTGATGTCATTACTTGTTGACTCTTTAGTATTTGCAGGATAACTTTGTACTTGAATAACATGTTGTAATTATTGTGAAGAATAATAATGATACCACAAATTAAGTCACTGACTGTTGAATGATGAAGAATAATGAAGAAATTTTTTTGTCCAGTTTTTAACTCACTATTTTATCTCAATTCTGTTATACTATTCACCTTGCAAGAACATTCAGGCTTTCGTCGGAAAGGGGTGCGATCGCACGCGCACGCACTGGCGCACGCCTGCTGCTTTCCAGGAGTGCAAAACATCGCACGCCTTCTTTTATTATCGGAGCAAAATTCATAATTATTGGTTTTGTGCGTTTTTGAGATGAGTTGATATATTGATCCCTCCTTGGTACAATTACTTAATGCCACTTCAAAAAGGCTTAACACCTTGTCAGGATTGCGGATTAAATATAAAATTTTGAAATAATCATAGAACTAATCTACAGTGGAATCCCGATATTATGAAACCTGACCTGGTTACAAATATAGCTAATTTTCCGGCATGACAAAAAATGTCTGGCCCCTTGAACTCTGTCTCTGCACATTTTCCCTCTGTATAACGAATTCCGTATATAACGAATTCTCGTTATAACGAACCTGATTTAGTCCCTTCATCATAATTTTCCTCAATATGACGAACTTTTCCAAAACTTTTCACCGTTATTTTGGTCTACTTATTCCCGGTGTATATTTATCACTATTTCTCGGTGGAGTCATTATTGCCAGCGACAAAACATACATTGCCAAACATGCACTTTTAATGATGCAAAAAAGGAGAAGAGATTTGTGCAAACGTTTACAGCTTTTCAAGGCTTTAAGGCATTTCATTGAACAAATACAAACACAGAAGACTATAACAGACATTTTTTTGTCCCCAAATTTTAAGAGGAACATTTAGTGTTTTCAACAAGACTTTCATTTTCTATCGCTTATGTACGAAAGTAGCCGATTTTGCGATAAAAAGGAGCCGATTTGCCAATGATGCGGAAAAAAAATAACAAAGGATTTGCGGATTTCGCTACCCCCTACAGCCCCCTCTTTAGACATCGCTATGCTTTAAATCTAGATTTTAGCAACATTTGATTTAATGAAAATTGGGCCATCATTATATTTTATGTATCTGGCCAGTGAGGTACACAAAATAGCTGTCATGTTTGATAACAAAGGGCTCTCGGTGCACTGATTTACACGCAAAACTGCTATTACAACCAGATGAACGCCAAAGCATCAATGATTCTGCTAAGGATTTATTATTGAAGCTAATGAAAACTGCTTACGACATGGCAAACATATTTCTATACTTGTAGTGCCGTTTTTTTTGGATATATTAAATAAGCTCAGTTTATACTTGTTTAGAAAATTGCTCAGTTGCTATAATGTAAGTAGTCGTGGTAAGAATTCAGCGAAATAAATTTCATCAAATTATTGCTGTCATCATTCTCGTGTTGGCCATTTCTTCGTAGATCTACCATAATTACCAAAATGTTTTGTGAAAAAATTTCACACGCCATCACACGCCTGGATGTTTTCAGGGGTGCGGTGGTTAGCACGCCTGCTATATTTTTCCCACGAAAGCCTGACATTTAAATTTGTAAAAGTATCTTTTATTCTAGATTTTTGAATTTTTTTAGCTCACCTCATTGTTTGATACTATTTAATTAATTTTTAGGCATGTGCTTAAGTCAAGCAAAGAGTGTGTAATTGATGCAATATTGAAAATTGAAAATGGTAACCAACCAAAGCAAGCAAATGACGATTCCCCTCCTTGTACATTTGATGAATTTAAAAGAGCTATGCAGACTTGTGCCCCAGATTTAGCAGAGGCTGGTGTTTCAGAAGATTATCTAAGGAAAATGTATGCAAACTTTATAAAACAGCAAGGCAAAGGAATTGGGGCTGCCATGACATCAAAATACAACTGGGCAGATAACAAAGAAGATGGCCTAGTTGAAGTTCATGTTGCCATCAAACCAAGTATCCACAAGGAGAAAATTAAAAGCCAGTTGACTCTGAATCATTGGCAGTTGGATGTTGAAGGGATGGGAACACTGATTGCAGGTCATTTGTTTGAAAATGTTATTCCAAGTGAAAGCTGGTGGGCTATTGAATCACCTGGAGTTCTAAGCATGTACTTGAAGAAGGGTCAGTCATATGGAGAAGAATGGCTGGTAATTTTCAGATGATTGCAATTTTTTTAACCTTTTATGTAATGGTTCTTGGTAAACCTTTAAGACTCTCTTTAAAGGTGTAGTAACATTCAGATGCATAAAATCATTCAAGTTGAACCTGTTTTTAAAAAGCCTTTTTTAAACCCAGTTTTGAAAAGATTTGGAAATACTTTTTGACTGAGTTTAAATTGTGATACTTTAGCACTTTTAGGCTGAAAAAAATTTATGCTCAATATTAGTAGTATGTGAGCTGTCAGGGACTGTTGTTTACATCAATTCTATTTTTACTCAGGAGCTGATAAAAGGTGAAAAACAGCTATCTCCTGCTGAAATCGATGAAGCTGCTTGGTTGAATGACTTGCAATGCAAAGCTGAAGTCAAAGATATTCTTGATGGAATGTGGGCTTATAATCAAACATACAGGCTCGGCTCAACAAAATCACGACCTGCATGGTATATTATGGATGAAGTAGGAAGTGCTATTGGTCATAGCAATGCACCAAACTTTTTATGTGCACCATTCTTCTTTTTGGATAAAGGAATGGTATTAAGCTTGCTTTGGCCAGTGAAAGACATAAGTTTTGGAGATGAAATCACAAGAAACTTTGTTCCAAGATCCTTCCTTGGGGAAAACGAAAGTAATTTTGACACACGTATAGCATTAATTGCTTCTCATTTAAGTGGTTTGTCACTCAATACAACAGCTGAAGACCAGATAGCTGAAGGAAAATTATCAACCAAAAATAAAAGTTTCTTGCTAAAGAATATGCCAGAAAATGGTTCTTTTGGCAAAAGGAGAATATTTTGTGATTTTATTGATGCAAATGATTTATCTAAAGTTGCTACAAATATTGGATGTTCTGTGACAAATGATCTCAAAGATGGTGAATGTATCCTCTCAATGTCACCATTGCCAGTGTCAGAACTTTCAACTGGAGCTAGAGTGAACCATTTTGCAGGGGAAGAAGTAATCTTCAATAAGAGTAAACTGCATAGTATTTTGAAAACAATTTATAAGGAATCTTCATGGTGTACCAGAAAGTTTTGCTTATTAACAGAACTTTCATGTTTTTATAAAGAAACAGGCAGTAAGAGTTGCAATGATTACTGGGTTTTACACACAGATAATTCAATGCAAAGCAATGTCTCTCCAGTTTTGGCTTCAGACATATTAAGAATAAGCAGACTGATTGAAAGTGGATTCACAATTGCTTCAAAATGTAAGTCAGATCCATCTAACAAATTCAATATAATATCTGATTTATAATCAGTTGTTGATAGGTCAATGCAAGCAAGTAGTCTGTTATCTTTTGTCTTTGTTGTAAACCTTGAAGCTGTACCCCAAAACCTCGCGGGGGGCTACTTAGTATATTTTGCTGACGGGATGTGCACGTCTTTCCGGGTATCATTTTCAGCAATTCATTCTAAGGCCGGGTATCTATTCTAAGGCTTTTGTTTTCCTTTGTTCTTTTTCCCAGAAATTCTAAAGCCGAGTGTTATTTTTAGCTTTTTTTCTAAAGCGGGTTCACCAAAACAATCTTAGGAGTGCACACCCCCTTGGTTTTGGTGTTCAAGTACCCCCCCCCCAGGGCCCAAAACCAAAGAAAAAAGTATCAGTTTATTAATTAAAAATCCCAGAGACTTGAAATCATAGTCATGTGGATTTAAACCTCCTTAATGTGATTGGAAATGATTTAGAGATCCCATGGTTCCCTGTTTTAAATTTTTTGCAAAGTCAATTTCCTTGATCTGCTTTGTGCTTTAACCTTTCATAAAATACTTGTACAATTTCAAACATATTTTATGGAACTTCAGTTGCCTCTGAAAACACAATTAAAGAAAAGCCAGCATTCAATATTTTACATCCCTGGAAACCTTTTTGTATTTCCTATTTTGTATTTCACACACTTTATTTTTTGCTTTACATTTTTCTTGTAGTTATTCTACACACCCAGTTATACAAGGAAAAGAAATTTGCATTGTCATATACTGTCTACATACACGGAAGAAACCCAACTGAAATTTTTGTTTACAACAAGCCATGCATTAGAGAAGGGAAGCAGAAATATGATGCCAATAAAACATTAGATGAGTATGACTCCTCTGCAACTCTTACTGAAAGACCAACACCTGCCTTTGATCCTAAAAGGCATCAAGACTTTACTGCATTTACTTCGTCTATAGATGAGGTGATGAAGAAAGGGGGATTTGACAAAACATGGGACAATGTTCAGCAAGAAATCCTGAGAACAATTGGAACTGTCATTGAGATTGTACTTCCAAGCATCTCTTTTGAAAGCAGTTCATCATTTGCCCTTTTTGGTATTGATTTAATTTTAGATGCAAATTTTAGACCAATTTTTCTTGGGTTTGACCAGGTCCCAACCTTCTCAAGTGCTGAAATGCTTGAAGATATATTATGTGCTATTTTATGTACTGACCAATCACATGGATTGCCAAGGGGAAATTCCTTTACTAAGATGTTATTTTCCTAAAATAGATCAATTTTTAATGTAGTTGAATATAGCAGTATGGTACAAATTGCTCTATGTGAATTACTGTTCATGTGAATGCAAAGAATTTGTATTTTATTTTTTTCCTTTGCCATTTTCTGTTGCTCTCATTCTTTGGGGATATTTCTCAATGCATTTGCTATATACTAACAATGTGTGAGTCAGTGAGTATTTGAGACTTTTACAAAAAGAGTAGCTTCTGATCACTATGAAAATTCAAACTTGCAATGGTGATTTATTTTGTTCTTATCCTATTTTGCAAATATTCCCCTTGACAAGATGAAACTAGTAATTATTTAGCATTCAGGCTGTTGCTTTAAGAAACAGTATTGTATAATATAAATAATTTAAGGGATTATAAAAATAGTGTGGATTTTGCGAAGTAAGCTCTTGGATGTAGTATGCATTGTGAAAGTGGGGAGGGTGGCACATAGGGACACTTATGTGAGCTACAAATAGACATTCATCTGTGTGTCTCAAATGTGGGGGCATTTCTCCTGGTTTCGATGCTTATGATTAGTTTAAATATCCCAGGCTTTCGTCAGAAAGGTGTATGATCACACACACATGCTCTGGTTTATGCCTACTGCTTTCCAGGAGTGCAAAATCACAAATGCCTTCTTTCATTTTGAGAGCAAAACTCTTAATGTTGGTTTTGTGGGTTTTTTGTGACGTGTAAATGTTATTCCTCTTTTGTACATGCCATTTAAAAACACCCTAACACCTTGTCAGGACTAAAAATAAAAAAATGGGAAATTATAATTGAACTTATGTTCAGTGGAAGCTGGCTTTTATGAACCTCGAATAAAACTTACTGTCCAGTATAACAAAAAATGTCTGGTCCCTTTGATTCTTCTTAACTCCTTACAAATTCCATCCATTTAAAGAGTTCCAGATATAACAAGCTCTTGATATTACGGAACTAATTGTATGTTGCATCAACATAATTTTCTTCCATATAACATCATTATTTAAAAATGTTCACTGTTATTTTGGTTTATTTATACTATATTTCTGATGAAAAGATTCTTATTAAACAAGAAGCTTTCAATTGAACTTTCTTGTCTTCCTAGGCTTGCTTTATATCCCCCCTTAGAGTTTTGCTAATTCTAAGTCTCCTTATTAATTCTCTCCTTTCAAGGGCTGACTAAAAGAGAGAATTGAAGCAAATCAATGTGATCCTACACTGTTTGAAAAAGTTTGTTTCTGTCAACATAAAATTTGTTCAAAATTGGTCCCAAAGTTTCTTCTGTCTTGAAATTTACTACCATGTTGCACTTTAAGGTAGCTCATGAAATATACCTTTAGAATATTAACATGTTTTTGAAGAAACTGACTCTCTTCAGTTTAAGACTTGCAGGCACAAGTTAACTGACTTACTGTTTAATTGAATTAATTAATCCAATATCAAGCACAAAGGTACAAAATGACTCACAAAGAAAGTTGAAAACACGGAGAGTCATCAGCCAGTGGTGTCAAAAACTTTCCTTGTCTTTGTTGTTGCATATTTGTACTTATTTATTTTTCAGGTAATGGAGTCAAAAATGCACTTATTCAACATCTACTCTTAGAACAAAGAACAAAAATTTTGGATAAAAATAATGCATTTTTACAAAATAATAAAAATACCACAGCCTTGTTATCAAACAAACATTACACTACCTATTTGTTTATCTCTTTTTCTTTTTGGATGATGACAAACATCTTGAATGACAGTTCTAAATGTAGCAACATTGACCTGTATTTCCAACTGCAAACATTCTGATGAAATACCATTCCACAGGTTATTTATATCATCTCAATATTTACTGTCTAGAGCACTTTCTGCAGTTATTTATTTTTTTCAGCTTTACTTTTCTGTTCCCCTTTCTTTACCTTTTGTTCCATAAATAGTACATGTTTGTTTACTGTTAAAAAAAGAGATTTAGAGTTGAAAGAATAGATTCAGTGACAAAAACCAAAGGATGAAATCTTGCAGAAGTCAGAGTACTTTAACCCTATCCAGACTAGGCTTTTTGAAACTTTCGGGAGACTAGGGGGGGGCACAAAGTGCCCCCCCTCCGTAATTTCTTTGTCCCTCTAGCTAGGACAATGAACTTTGTTTTGATGGTACTCCTATCTTTTCTCCACATTTTAGTATTATTGCTCAATTTTTAAGTCACGTGGTTTTACGATGACGTCATCATAATGGTGGCCGGGTGAAGCAAAAATTTAGAAAATTTTAGAAAATCTTAAAATAATCATTAATTCCAAAGCATCGGGCTAAGATATTAAAATAATCAAATTTGATGCATTTTCTAATAGAAACAAGAAGATTGCCACAATTTTAATGTTACTTCTCAAAATTATTAACGTTCCAAACAAAAGAGCTCAACATATTTTGTATTTGGCTATAGTATTTTCTATATAACTAAATGATCGATACAACCAAATGTCATGTTTGAGTTCATTTTTAGTGCCTTAGCAGACAAATTATTCTAAACTTGCAGTTTTATTAATGTAATGCCTATAAATCTGTCAACAAATGCGTGCGCATGCGCAGCAGAAAAATCATAGAAAAGGATGTTGATTTTGAATTTTCTGGTCAGAATCATGAAAAGAGCACAAATTTATGCCTAGATACTAATTTTCATCAATATATCTAGTTTTGTTGCGAATCCGTGGCAGATTGAACTATTTTTTACCTGACTAGTTTTGAAAACGCCCCTACACAACCCCCTGATTAATAATAAAAAAATTATCTTTTTATATGAACATGTGTCAGATAGGTTAAAACTAAAAGTCAGGAGGTCTGAGGGGTATTGCTTTGAAACTCCTGAAGTTATGAGAGAAAAACCAACCAGGGGGGCACTTTGTGCCCCCCCCTAGTCTGGATAGGGTTAATAAAGTGTTAGGGCAATCTATGTTGTTTGTTGCAACATTTAAGCCTTTCTTGGTCAAGAAATCCCTTCAAAGCAGAAAAAATAGATATAGAAATTATTAGAAAAATCGAATGAAATTTCTTCTTCTATCAATCTATACTTCATTTCCTCTGCAATTTTGTCATTCAATATAGCAAGGGTTGAGACCACACATGAATTATTAAAACAAGTGCCTCTTAGAGAGAGCATTTTTCTTGGTCTTTAGAATAATTTGCAGGGGTGGAAAATTCTGGTAAAAAGGTGGTCACCTCATTGGGAGACCAGTAGCACTTTCATTTGTCTCTCACACATGGCCTGTGTCTGCCAAACGGAACTCTGGTTACAAGGGTGTACATTCCAGTACAAATTTGGTTACCCTGCAGTTACCCTGTCTAACAATAAGCAGTCCTCTGTAGATAAAAATCAGTTCTCCCTGGTCCCCCTGTTCTTTTAGCAACCCAAAGTTGCACCAAGGTTTAACAAGGAAAGAGCAGGCACAAGATAATGATTTTTTCTTAGTACAAAGCATTTTTTAACAAAATCTAACAAATATGGGTACTCACCAATAGGATCATATTTCATTAATTCAAGTTTGCTCTTTAGCTTGTTTCTTGTCATTGTATAAAAATAGCCGGTCTGAGCACAGCTTACAAGACGAACAACAATACGTCTAAAGGGACATTAAAATTCCATTTAAATCTTTTGCAACTTCAAAAATTCACAAAAAAAATCAATTGAAGCTTTTGAAAACATTCTAAGCTGTTAAATAAAACCTTTTGTCTTAAAAATCCCAAAGTTATGCTTACATATATGAAACAACATAAAACTATAAATACAAAATTGATCTGAAGTCATTTGCAATTAGATAGTCATTTTGTCAAATTTTGCACATTTGATGCACACATTTGTGCATTAATGGAGTTTTATCTTACATTTTGAAAACATGAGATATATACCATACCTTTCATAGCAAATCTTTATTTCAAGTTTGGCTTAATCAAAAACAACAAATTTCAGCAAGTTGAAAAAATTAATGAAAAGTTCTATTTTGGTCAATACATAAAAACACAAAAAAGAAAATCAAGAAGTGAGAATGAAATAGACTTACTTTGACTTGCTAACCACTGTAATGCAAAAAGACATTTAATTATGAAGATGTACAGAACAAAGCACACAAATATTTGAATAGATAAAGAAACCTTGAATTGTACATTAAGATCTTCCTAACATCCAGATTGAAGACTGTCATGCTGCTACAATATGTTGCCAGAATGACCAAATTTTCTATTTGTGTACTTTTGCACACTTACTGCACAATTTCCCTATTTAATAACATTACTGGAATTAATTCTAGGACAACTGATAAGCAAATAGGCTTATGCTTCTAATGACATCTTCATTAACATGTTTTAACAGTGGAAAAAAGGGAGCATTTAAATGAAAAACGGATAGTTACAGGACAAACAGGGGGTAGCTAAAGAGAATGAAGATGTTTTGAATAATTTGAGGAATAAATCTACTACATATTTAGGATCAATTATCAGGCCTGGCCGTTTGAGGCGAGCGATAGCTCGCGCTCGCCTCCACGCTCCCCTCGCAACCTGAGGCGAGCTATGAATTGCTCTCCTAAACAGAACATGAAGGGTAAATCGCTCCCCTAAAATTTCCATTCATTTGCCGCTTTCCTATTCAGAGAACCCTGAAAACGTACAAGGGTTAATTGGTTTATTTTTGTAACAGCAATTTATCCCGTCAATTGCATTTTTTGCAATTAACTTTTTGCTTGTTGGGCGGTTTTTTATGATAGGCATAAACTTCGATCTATTCTGAAAAGGATAGTTAATGGAAAAGTACGTTTGTAGCGATTAGAACCTTTCAATCTTAATAAAACAGGAATATTTTTGGAAGGAAAGTCGAAGAAATTGGTAGGAATTGTAGATTGGGGATATAATAAGACAGCAGGTCCCTTCCAGCAATAGAAACAAAATTATCCCTCAAAGAGAACAAGGTATCTTGCAGATCAAAAACGACAACCAAAACATGGAATTCCACTATCCAGCAGCATCTACTGAAAAAACCCAGATTGGGTGAAAAACTATAACGGCGACATGTTTCGCGTTATTGGCAAAGCCTGATCATCGTTCCATCTAGCAGTTTGTGAACATATCTACTATATAAACATGACCGACTGCTTTTGTGTAGACACCTCAACAGCCATGTGCTTGCGTTTCCTGATTGGCCTATTTCGATACAAAACTGGGTATTTTAGCGTAGAGTTTTCCATCTATGTTCTGACGTTTTATTCTCTGAAGAATGCTAGATGTATAAATTCAGCTTGAATTAAATTTTTTTTTTCAAAGCCATTTTCAAATTCTGTGCAATAAAAAGATTGTTTTGCAAGAGAATTGTTGTTTTTGCGTTGTGCCAGCTTTACATAAAACTGAAAGAGTCTGTTCTTATGAATACTTCAAGTAAAGGGGGTGCCTAAGTCACAGTTAAAACAAAATACAAATTGAAAAAAGTGAAACAGCACACTCCTGACTGAGGCTATTACATTAAGGCAACCAACATATACTAAAGGGGCTTATTAAGTCATCTGTCGATTGTCTTTAAAGTACATTCTATGTGTTACTGATTTAGCTCGCCTCAGCAAATGAGGGGAGCAATTCACAGCTCACCTATGAAAATACAAACAGCCAGGCCTGATTATGCACCTGGTCTGCAATGAACATGATCTTTAGTAAAGGCTTTAAAAAAACTTGCCAGTTGAATTTTGGCAAGCTTTATCTGCAGTTAGGCCAGGTTGATGTATTAATAAATATCAAAATTTGCATACCATTTCTACTGTTGAGCGATCGTTTTAAAAATTAATTTTGGCTACAATCTGTGGCAAGCAATTCCCAGAATGCATAACCATTATGGGAAGAAACAAATAGGGAGCTGTTGTGGATTGTGGATTTTGACATTGACAGGGTCAAGTTATGAGAAGCCTGATTTTGCTAACGAAGCTTGTTGTTTGAAAGTTAAGATGGAAAAAAATTAGCTACTACGTTTAAATTTAATAAAATTGTTTTGCTATATTACCTTGCCAAACCTTAACTTGCAAAGTAATTTCATCAATCACGTATCATCATTTTAATATGACAAGCTGTTCAATTTAGAGAAATGACAAGCAGGTCAAAAAAGACCTAGAAAATATACTTACTAATAACATCCCTTCTACCACAACTTGTTCTTGGTCTGCAATTCTTTCATTGCCTCTATTACGCTCTTAGCCTCGCTTTCGGTCATGCGGAGGAGAATTCCAATCCAGCCACCCTTGTTGAGAATTTGGCGCGAATATCCAATCATTGTGAAGTTGCGCGGTTTTTTGTGCAATTGCAGAGTTCTCGCTGGTTTCACGGATTTAATTGATTACGACAACCAAAACAACCTACGTACCTAGTAAAAACTAAGGATATCGAGCTTCAGCGAATTCCTCGAAGTTTTTCTTGTCAAACGTTCATGGTAAAGTATCTTTTCCACAAGGATCGAGAGTTACGCCTTCGCCATGGCGGCCGCACTTGTTCAGCCAGCATTCAGCTCATTAGCTGTCCAAATGAATTCTGAAGAGGTTTGTGTACCTAGGAGAACTAATATTACTTTTTATAAGCATTTCACATCTGGTGTTTATTAAACGTATGCCTCTTAACTTTGGGTATTCGCCTTACTGCAGAGAATGGCAAATGCCAGACTGCAAAACCAGATACATTTCTTTTAAAATGCCCGTGTAAACCTGGTAAATTGTGCGGCATTTTGAGATCTAGGCGTAACATGGGTGTAGCCTATTGCTAGGCAAATAAAGAATCGTGTTTACTCAAAACCGACATAATTTTGCATTGGTCTCGTCTGATGCAAAATATCTATCCATCATTCTCATCTTTGTCGATATCCCTGGGCTCTAGCATAGTTGTGGAAACTATACAGGCAATTGAAGTACAGATTTTTACCAGTATGCACAATTGAACCCTTGAGATTTTGCTCTTGAACAACGGAGATCTCGTTGGAAACTGTCGTACTCTGCAGTAGGGAATTGGGGAAAACTCACACCAATATATCTTTATCACTTTGCCCCTCTCCATCTCTTGTCTTGGCGAATATCAAGAAAGTAATTTTTTAAAAGGGAAAAATGGACTTCACGTTTAATGTTAAAGAGGACAGTGATGAATAATTTTCCCTTTTGTCAAGGGACTATGATTCAATTTAGTATGTAAGTTTGTTGAATATATACAGTGTATAATGGTATTTTTGCAGCATTCAAGCGACAGTGTATTGATGTCAGCCAACACAAGTGAGTTAGATGAAAGCAATCAACTTGAAAAAAATAATTCTGATACATTTGCTGTTGAAAATGATAGTGATGATGAAATTCACACTAGTGTTAAGAAAGCCAAAAGAGGCAGAAGGGCTACAAAGGTATTGTCTGATGATAGTTCAGATGAATGTGATAATATTGATGCGACACCAAACCAAAATCACAAGGTCTCAGAAAATGATTTCCTAGGGAATAAGAAACTTGATGAAAATGTGACTTCAAATGCAGAGTCTACTGATGGAGAAAATGATTTTGCTACCAAAAGGAGCAAGAAGAAAAGAAAGGTGATGACAGTTGATAATGAATCAGAAGATGAAAGTACAGACCATAATAAGAATGTTAAGATAAAGCATAGAAGCAGAAGGAAAGAAAAGGAAAAAATTGAAAACAAAAGTAAAAGAGGCAGTGCAATGAAACAGCTTCTGAAATCTAGAGCCAAGAAAAAACTTAAAACCTTTCAGTTGTCAGGTGATGAAGGACCTAATGAGAATTCTGATGATTTATCATCTGGAACTGATGAAGTGGGTACCCCAAAAATTTCTCAGAACAATGAAAACGTGAAATCTAAAAAAAGGAAGGAAAAGATGAGTAGTAAATCAAAAATAAAAAAGGACAAGGGTTATAATCCAAAAGATGTTGAGTCTGATGAAGCCAATAGTGATAAGGAAAATACTGAAAATGTTGAGCCAGAATTTTCTGATTCAGATTCAAGTGGAGAGGAGGTGAGTATATCTACAATTAAGAAAAGTTACACTACAAGAAGAAAATCTGCTGTAGTAGAAATGGATTATGAAGATGAAGAGGAAAAAATACAGCGAGAGAAGACTGACAAGATTTTAGAGAATAAAGATTTGTTTGATGCTGACACTGAAGAAAGTGATGCTGCAAATGATGCAGCAGAAGGTAGTGAGTCTGAAGAATGCCATGGAAGCCAAGCCAAAGAAAAGAAAAAAGTAATTTACTTTTCAGTTATTTTTGTTTATATTGTTTACATGATAATGAAACAGAATTAATTTTTTTTAATTGCCCGTGTCCCATAGCTGATAATTCAAAGGCCATTCAGTTCCAAGCTTGCAAAGTAATTCATCCAGTTTGAATATTGTTGTATATAATGATTTGGTTTTTTCTATTTTCTCTGGTAATGATTTTTTTGATACAATAGAAGGTTGATGCAAGTATTTAGCTTCATTGCCAAAAAAACCATTGCTAAGGTAGATCGTTCTTGTGTTTTTAAGGAAACCAATGATTTGAATTTCTGCATGTGTAATGCTACATGAATGTAAATGCTACATGAATCAGTGAATTGAAATTTTATTCCCCAGCAAAATGCTTAAGGATATTTTAGCTTTCTTTGCTTTGTAAACAATTATGCTCTCTTTGCTTTCAGAAAATTGTCAAGCCAAAAAGGATCACTAAATCTGAATCTTTGGAAATAAAGAGTGAGCAACAGAAATTAGTGAGAAGTAAGCAAATATATTTTTGACAATTCTTTGTACAGTTTAAATGGTTTTCTTTCATTTATATAGGTTTTTCATCTCAAGTTAACAGATAATTGCTAGCATTTTTGTTTTGAAGTCTATATGAACCATTTATGCAATTTGTTACATGTATATATGTTATTTAATATTTACATATCAAATATCTGTTTTCTGGAAACTTCAAACAAATGAAAGACTGCTTACTTTGATTAATCTATGAATTTTAAAGTGGGAATTTATTTTTTAGTAAATGTTGTTGCTTAGTTGTATTTACTAATTTAGTGAAAAACCAAAGAGAAACTCTCCACGTGTGTCTCTCTGAAACTTTATCATCAACTCAATTAAAAAAAATAGCTTTGTACAAATTAAAAAGTTGATAATAGAGAGTTATTGAATTTAATACAAAAGGAAGAGAAAAGAGCTAGATGAAAACAATAGGGCTAAAGAATTACTATGCAAGTTGAAAACAAAAGGTGTTCTCTGCTATTGTTTTGTGAGTTCACTACAATTTCTTAATCAGTCTTTTCCACGGCTGGGCTCTGATTAAACCAAATATATGCCAGATTGAAAAAGCATGTTTCGTTTACCCTTTTAGATTTCTTCATTAAAGATTATGTTTTGATAAGAAGAATGGGTTCTTGTATTTTTCCTTTAGCTTTTTATTATTTATATAATTTATATTTTATATTTATTTCAGACCAAAGAATAAAGTTGCCAGAACATCGACCTACTGTTGTTTCCATTGCAAATTTTCTCGAAAGAGTCCCAATTTTGAAATTATCAAAGGATTATAAAAAGCCAGCAAGGTATTGAATTTCTCTTTAACTTTTTTTGAAAAATTACTTATTGCAAATTTTAGTGATCCTCAAACTTTCTCATGGGATTTTTATGGTGTTGTCTAGATTATTGATGAATGAAAATATGCTAACATTACACGAGGCTTTCATGTTCAGAAATCAAGGCGCATGACCAAAAACTCATGTGATAAGAGTGGGGCGCGCATTAAAAGTTTTTTCTATTGAGTCATTAAATGTTACAAAACTTTTAATAAATAAACTGAATGCTACACATTGTATAGTTATGTTCATGTTTCCCTCACAAGTTATCGTGAAAGGCACTGTGTGACATAGAGAGGTTTCAGTGACTTTAGAAACATGGCAAAGTTTCAATTCTGTTCAGCAAAGTTAAAGGAAAAAAGAAACAGAAATAGCTTTAGCAAATAGAACAAAAAGAAGCCCCCGTAACCAACAAATGGCAGAGGGGCAATTAATAATGTGTAAGTCCGTTGGAAATCAGGCCTTGTTCCTGTTTGTAGCAAATATGAAACACCACAATACGCCGAGAATGAACAACAATAAAAACACGTAAATCAGTAAAGGCTAATATTTCGCCCCGGCATATGGGGCTTCATCAGAGCAAAAGTTAAAGGGCTAAAAATTTACATATTTAAAAAAAGGCGATGGTGGTGTCGGATTGGCTGATGTGGAATGGTGTGAATGCAGCATAGTGGTAGAGGAGGAAAGGGTGGAGAATGAGAGAGGGTGGGTGATGGTGGTGGAATGAAGACGTAATGGGGATGAAGTACTATAATATTAAAAAAAATGATATTGTTGCTATAAGGTTAACAGTCAGTAGTTCTGTTCATGCCGTTCGGTGTGAGAGTGTTTGCCAGGCCAATTAGGTATTGCTCTTTGGCTCTTCAGACACTCTCTCGTTGTCGTTGAGTTTCAGTAATGGTGTTACAGTAAGGTCATTGATGGTATGTTCTGGGCTACAGAAGTGTTCTGCAACACCAGATTTGTCTACTTTTTTGTTGATAATGTCTCGTCTGTGTTCGTTTGCTTGTTCCTATTGCTCCGCTTTTGTAGGAAAAAGGATTATTAAATTTTTTTAACTTTTTTTTTACAACGTTGGCATAAAAGAGGTATAAAATAGCTATACATGTATAAGATAAAATATTTACAAGCATAGCTAATAAAAGCCAACTATTTATAAAAGCCAGCAATGGGAGCGGCTCAAGAATAACGAAAACTTGAAACAAGGATTTGATGTCAAACTTCCATTTCTAAAAAGAGTTTCTCAAGTGTATTGACCTATCAGCATCCAGTAATCGTGCTCTTCAAGAAAAATATTTATCACTGGACGCCCCACTAATCTCAAAAATAACCTCGAGTGCATGCCTGCACCCTCGCACTCTGTCGCGTCCCCCCCATTGAAAGCCCTGATTGCAACAATATCCCTTCATTAAGATTAAACCTATCCGAATAGAATATTTTAACAAACATGTATATATATTTTCTGATTGTATTTTTAGGTCTGAAACTTTAAAGGAGTCACAAACAATAGTAAAGAAAGATCAACCTTCAAAATCTTCTGTGACAAAAGAATCACCCTCAATAAAAAAGCTCAAGAATCTTGTGTCAGTTCCATTTCCCAAACTTTCTTCAAAAGTTGTTGATCTGGAAATTGAATTTGAAGATGAAAACTCAGTAGCAGCCCCTGGTTTAACTTCACTTATGCAGGTAAATTGTAATTTTTTGTTTCAATGACTCCAAAAATGCTTTGATTATGTTCATTCTTTAGATCTAGCATAAGGCACACCAAAATATTCCAGATGCACAATTAATTTGCTCCCTTGGTTTGATTCCTTATCTAAACCTAACACTCTTTTGAACATATTTTTCGTTTTATGTTGCTAGAATTCTGCCCTTGATTGCTATCTGGTCTCAATTTTTTTGAATGATTAGTGATTAAGCACTGCACATGCAAGCACTTTATATATACAAGAACATGACAAAGTTATTTCCTGAGCAAACCAAACAGTTTCAGCTTGAAAATGACCAAAATGTTTATGTCACAACTATTACTAGTTCTCCATGGGTTAAAGACAGTTCAGAGTTTTTTTAACTACATGTAACATGGATATTGTTCAACTCTAAATAATATTTTAAAAACCATTTTACAACCCTGGAAATCACAACCCACAGGCAAATGATTTGTATCCTTAAGGATGGTGTTTAGTAGTTGTTTACTTTATAAATTGCATCATTTTGTCTTCACTGAGACTCTGTATAATCAAATAATAACATCCATATTGTGTCTGATTTTTTTCCATTTGCTAAAGTTGCATGGGAGCAATGTAATGTGGCAGTAATGCTCAAGCTATCAAGTTTTTTCTTTCTTGTGGTCTTCTGGAAATGATTTCCTTGCAAAACATTGCTTCTAGATATTCATAGATGACTGATTATATTTTCCATGTGTGTATTCATTTTGTGTATACTTATGCATAGAATGATAACTGTATACATTGATCCTATACCTATTTGATTCATGTGTTTATTTTACCTTTTAGCGCCTAGAAAAGCATACAGCTGTTCCAAAGCAAAAGGAAATAGAAAACAAAAAGGAACTTGTGATAGAGGATACTGAAACACAGCAAGATAGCTCTTTCAAGAAATCAATTATTGATCTTGAAAAAATTGAGAAAGCAGCAGATATCCCAGGTCAGTTTTAATCTGTGTTAAAGGATTTTATTTTATTAATTTCAAGAAGATAAAGTTTTTGAAGTGGTATTTTTTAAGTATGGGGATGTCTCAATTGCTTGGGTTGATGGCTGCAGACACAGTTAATTTGTATACTCATTTTACTAGAGTTGGATGCTAGCCCCCTTCTTTTTTTTAAGCTAGTGGATCTGTTCCATATTTGCTGGGTCTGAATTGCTTTTGTGGAGCACAGTAAAAGATGAAAACACCATCTTCTTTGGGTGATGAAATTTCTTGATTTTACTCTAAACTTCACCTAGAAAAAAGTATGCTTGTTAGTTAACAGATAAAAATTAAGAAGGCTAAACACATTGTTGTGCTTGTTCGAAGCGATTAACCAATATTCTGCTAGCTTTTCGATGATTTAAAACATGCTAGGAAGAAATTCCTGTTTTATATGAGAGAACTTTTGCAATTCAAACACCAACTATGAAGACTAAAACTTTTATCGCAACGTGGTATGCTTGAGCCAAACTTTTAATGCTTGAATCAAGCTAAAATTTATGCCGTAAGTCCTTGGAACAACGGGTTGCTTAGTTGGCTTTTTTAAAAAATTAAATTTTTCCTGTGGAAAGGGCCAAAACTGGCCTCTTTTTCCCCCCAAAATGGTGTTTGGTTTGGAATTGTTATGACATTTGTGGTAGATTTGACTTTTATAATTGAGTTTTATGGTAGGTAGAACTTCATTGGATCGATATTCTTCGATCTTGATCCAATCTGATGATCGATCCAATAGTTTTTTTGCCATTGCCAACAAATAAGAACACATGCAAAATTTCATTTTCTTGTTCTTAGGTTCTCGCCTCCAAGAACTCAAGAATCAGCTGCAAAAAGGAATGAAAGCACTAAGGGAAGTCAACAGGAAGGAAGCAGAAATAAGACACAAATTTGAAAATGAAGAATTTGAAGACGAAGAGGAATGGGAGGTGGAGGAAGAAGAAAATGAAGCTAACCAAACAGATGAAAACGAAAACAGTGAAGCAGAAGATAATATCAAAGCATCTCCACGGAAGACAAGCAATGTTGATGAAGGTAGTTATGGTATAGTAGTGTCTTATATTGGCTTTCTAACAGCAAAGAGTTTTAGCATTAAGAGTCACTTAAATCGCTTAATCAGCTCTTTTTATGTTGGTGATGTAAGGGAAAGGCCCAGGAGCCTATAATTAAGCCCCAACATGGGAAAGGAAGGATGAACTAGGAAGAGAGAGAGGAAAGATCAAGCTTATCAATTTTTGTTATTAAAGATAGGTTGTAGTCCGGGAAACAGGAAGAGAGTAGAGAATTCAAGGTTTACAATATATAGGGAGTTAGGAAGAGTTGTGGGATTGAATTCGTGCGTTTGGCAAAGAGATTTGAAAAGAGGGAGCCCTGGAAATTGTTTGGTATTGAGTACATGTCTTGGGGAACCCGGTGTCATGTCTCTGATCTCTTAAGATCCATGGCCGTAGTAGAATCTATAAAAATTGCGAGATTAATTTTCATACTAACCTTCGTAAAAATTGGTCAAAATCTTTCAAGAAACGGTATTGGCTACATTGTTGCATCGGAAGTACCTTACTACATTTAGCGTAACGAAGGTTCACTACATGTTTTAACATTAATGGCTACTCGGACTAGGATCAAATCTTCAGCTCAAGTTCTGCTGCAATAGCAGGTTTTGTATTGTCATTATTTCCGTTATTGAAAATCTTTTCGCATAAACTTTTAAAGATTCTGAAAAGTCAGAGGAAGAAGATGATGACGAATTGAAAAAATGGAACGAAGAAGATGAGCGAAAGCAGATTGAAACACAAATGGAAGAGCAAGAAGAAGCTGAGAAAGACCCTCGAAACACTTCCAACAGCAAAAGTAATTTAACAAGGTTTTCAAATTTCTATGACGAAACCACTACTGCGTCTGTAAGGACTGGCGGAAGTTCATTAGATCTCTTTCCTGGGGAAACTGGAGATGCAGATGACAACGGCGACAGTGCGTTCAATCTAGAACTAAAAAGCACTTTTCAATGGGATGACACAAGTACCATACCCCCTGGACAAGGAGATTCTGTTAAGGATTCTAACAAGAGTCGTTTGGAAGCCAGCACTCCATTTTCTAAGCTACTTAACAGCTCACGACGCTATTCCTCTGCTTCCGACGATCCACAGAAGATGAGCTCGGAAGATGAGGTAATGTCATACAACTTTTACGCTTGTCCCTTATCATTTTAAACCTAGTTTCAATTCGGCTTGCGTAAACAGGGTGTTGAAAAATATATACTGAGAAAGACCACATAATAAAGCTCCTTGTTATAATTTCCCCAGCTTTCAGGGAAATTCTCCTATTATTAGGGTTGTCAACCCGATCTTGGCATTTCGAAAATACCGTAACACTTCGATATCCTTATGTCCTTTAGATGATATTATCAAATTAAAATATGTTCCTTTGACTTTGAAAATGGGTGTTGATTGTTATTCTAAATATTCTCAGATGCAATATTTTTCTTTGCCTCAAAGCGTTGTTGCTATCTTACTTGAGAAAAATGTTTTCCTAGATATTTCCATAATACGGAACATTATTTCATATGTAATATATTTTGAAATGCTTCATAGATTCATCACGCGAAGAATACTAGGAAAGAAACAAATGAAGATTCGTCCCTTGCTTGCCCTATCATATCTGACGACCTCCATTTTGCTCTTGACGAAAACACGCAGTTCTCCCAGATTCTAGACACCCAAGGGTAGGTCAAAGATATATTTGGCTTTCAGTTTTGTTTGCAAGTTGGTTAGTATAAATGTTTGTATTCCCAACAACTGGTTTATATGGCTAAGATTACTTGAATATGGCTTTGAAAAAAGCAAACATTTTATAACACATTGGCTAAAAGCTTTTTCGTCTGACACTCCTCAGAGCATGAAATGTCAGAATAAGGGTCCGAAAGAACATGATGAAAGATGTATCATCAGTTGTGGATCGAATTAGCCCAATCAGAAAATTGCAAGCACAAAACCGGTATATTTGTCCAATCCGGTATAGTGCCTAAAAAGGGAAATTACTGTTTAATGGTTTGCTGCGGGGTATATGATATCGTAAAGGCTATGTTTTGCATGCTTTGGTTAACAAGACGTTTCTAACATCTTTCTTGGTGTTTCAGAACCATAGCTTGAAACTGTCGGTAAATAAAAATGCGGTATTTCTATTTTTAAATTTCAGAAAGTTTTATTGATTTTTTTCAATTGAGTAGATCAACGTTCATATAGTATTATATAAAAGTCTATAAGATATTAACTAATTCATCATTGTTCAATAAAAGATCTGAAGAAATATCGTGTAGAGTTTTTTCTGTAACAAAGTTTCTTTTATATCATTTTTTATGTTTTCTGTCAGGTACTTTCAACCACGCAAAGGAACTAGCGTTAAAAATGATACAAAGATAGAAAAAGGAAATGGTGTTTCTTCATCCATGAGTCAGCTGCTAGGCTTGTGTTCAGGGAATTTTGCAACTGATAAAGGAAAACGCAATAGTTTGGTACAGGACGACTTTGGCCTACCTTCTGATCTTCCTCTTGATGCCCAAGAGGATGACGCTAATTCACAAGATTTTTTGGATTTGTGCACTGGAAAATTTATTGCTCCGGGTTCCAAGGAAAAACTTGAAAGTCCTAGCAAAAAGACATCCGTTTTGTCAAAATTATTAGATCAGCCTGACGCACCTGTTTCGGATAGCCAGGTAAAGATAACCTTTATATACATATCTAGCAATGAATCGAACTTTGAATGAAATAAATTTGTACCTCGTTATATATTTACCTGTATCGGAAATTGGTCAAACAAAGAACTGCTTTAAGGAGTCTAATCTAAAGGATCTGATACACTTTATAGACATTCTTCCGGAATTGTGCGATCTATTTTTATTCATCGGCGTGATTTGTTAGTGGCAATGTAAGTTGCAAAAAAGATTTGCGCAAAACAAAACTGAATTAGGAAGAGCGTCATAGAAATGACAAAAACAATTCTATTGAAGAACTTGTTTCATCGAGAATAAAATGCGGCTAATTATATTTGAAGCTCCTTCTACCGAAGTTTGAGACGATTTGTATAGGATTTACCAATTAAAGTTCAAGCGACAAGATATTTTGTTTGCAACTCCAGAATTCCTAGTTCGTTTGATGAGAGTTACATTTATGCTGGATTTTCAACATCCAGATTCGACTATGCGAATTGTATTTCTATATGTTTGTATGAATATGTAAATTTTTATTCTGTCTCAATTTTAACGGGCACTTACTAAATTTTGATGCAAAAGTCAAGCCGGGATTATATTTATGTTTCAGTCAATTAAGATCTTAACGAGATTGGGGTCATTAGATGTTGCTTACAAACATGAAAATGTTGCGAATGTTACTGAAACTGTAAGCCTGACCCATGGACAATAGCGATTTTGTATGGATGCATTCATTGTCATTTTCTAGGCCATGCTAGACTTGTGTTCTGGGGCATTTGGAAGCGCAGCTGGTCAACAAAGAGTGGATGAGCCTGTTTTTGAAGAAAGCAAGTCTACCGGTTCTCTAATGAAACATTTCGGGGAAGTGAAAGTTGATTCGCATGCTCGGAAATCTTTCAACAATTTGTTTTCAGACAAAACAAGTAGCGACAGTCCAGTAAAGGGAGGCTTGTCTCCAAATGATGAAGAGGATGGTGTAGATGAAGCAAGCATCGGAGAAGACCTTCTTGGTCTCTGCACTGGAAAATTTACTGACAGCAATGCTGCACAGAATATCATATGTAAGTGCAATCTGTATCAAATCATCATGAAGTCACAGCTTTAAGTTTACATTTGTGATCATTGGTATACGATATTCTCCATCATACCATCCCTTTTAACAATCTAGTTATCTAATTATTTGACAAACGATAGGATGTTCTTTAGTGCGTAAAAAGAAATTGCTATAGGGCATGAGTTTAATTCTCAATTTTTCAATAAAATCAGATTCTCTGTATCAAGGGCCCGCACCACCGGGGGGCGGGGTCGCCATGGCTCCTCCCACTTTTTTACGAAGCAAGTAGTTTTAAAACTGCAGTAAAAGGGATAAGAAGCCTTGGCCCCCTGCTTTTATAGCCTTGCCCCCCCCACTTTCAAATTCATGGCGCGGGCCCTGTTAATCTTTGCTTAAGTGTTGTTTCGAAAAATTTGCTGTTTCTTATAGAAAATGCAGAAAATTTGTTTTCCTATCCCTAACCACAAATTTTAGAGTCAATATCCTACTATTTACCACGCCTAAGATCTTTGACAAACGCCATTTCGTTTCGTGACCACACTTATTTCTTTTAAAAGATCATGATTGTTATTTAAGTCAGATAATTTTGAACGAGTTCCTACACAAGCTTGTGGAATGTTCTTATTTTCACATCACGTTTGTTCTATCTTTTAAATTATGCATGACAAAGATTTACTTATATTTTGTATTTTGTCAAGTCTCCCTTCAAAGATATTCACCAGATGTAATTAAACAATTTTTATGTTTATCCTAGCTTCCGAGCCTGAAAATAGTTGTACCTCAAAATTAGCTGAGGAATGCGAAGACAGTGAATTTGACGATGACAATATTACTAAAAAGAGCAAAAATGAGCCTGGCGATCTAAATGCCCAAAGGTCTGATGGTAATTGGGTTATTGAAGACGAAGATAAAGCTGATCATCGGGCTGATGAAGGAGAATCTGACTTAGATGAGCAAGGTGATTCTGATGAAGAAGTTAACGAAGAACTCCAGGAGTATTATGAATCGTTACCGTAAGCTGAATATCATAAAGTATTTTATTAGTTCATTATATTAGATGCGATTAGTTTGAAATTTTTTACTATTGCAATTGATTTTTCAGGCGCGTGTTTCATATTTTTGAATGAAAATGTATGGTCATGAAATTTCACTCTTCTTGGAGGGGGGCGCTGGGGTTAGAGGGGGCTACACCCCCAATAATTGTTAATCTGTACTTTACTTCCTTTATAACTGTGTACCGAATTTCGAAGCAATACAATGGACAACCCCCCTCCCCCCCAGTTAATATGAATTTAGTCCCGGTGGCACTGCTTAATTTTCCATTCCATTTGCTGGAGAAGGCTGTGAAAGAGTGAAAGTTGTTAATTATTTTGTGTCATGAATCCAATGGCAATATTTTTACCTTGAACGGATGCCTAATTAGTATTACTTACAACTGTATTCAGATGGCCCTAAAAAGAAAACCATGACACATTATTGAAGCTTATTGATCTTTATTTTTGCGCAGAAAAAAGAAGTTCACAAAGAAGCAGTTTTACGAGGACGAGGCAGAGCTCAGTGGCAGTGATGCAAGTGATGATGAAGATCTTGGTAGCGAGGCGGACGAATATGAGGTTGATTCTGATATAGAAAATTTACCCTCTGATAAAAAGATCAAAGCACAGGTCCAAAAGGCACATATGTAAGTCTATCATATTTTTTCTCCTACTTTTAATACAGCTAGTATCTCTGTTTCATGTATATATATAGCTTCATATTTTGAACTTGAATAGAATTCAAGCCTCTTTAGTCGTAACTATTCGGCTTTATGCAATATAACTTGAAGAGGACATTTTGTATTGTCATATGAATGTTAGCATCGTTCTAAAACTATGCTTGAAGAATATAGGCCCTTTTCAGATTGATTGTAAGCAAGCATTACCAATCTTGTTGTTTCTGAATATTTTTTCCTTTTTCTATTGATTTTATGTGTTTGTGGTCCTGCTTATCAGTGCTCTCTAGAATAATGTTTTAGACACTTCTATTTTGTATTGTCTTTGTTCGAGAAAAACTACTTTTATGCGCTGTTTTCCTGATGTTGTGGACATTCACATTTTAATCCTTCATAATTTTCAACGATCCGAACTAATCAGCAAATTTTAACATGAAAAAAATATGGTCTAAGGAACAACATAAGCCCACCTAGCTTAATAACCTTTTTCGGTATGATACTCCTCTTGCCAATTTATCAATCCTTTTGTGTATCGATATTGTCGATATAATCAGAGATTTTTTGTTAACATTTGTCGGTTGAGTCCACAAGCATTAAACTCGACGTAACAGCAAAAATGCCTCATCTTTAATTCAACATCTGATATAAATTGGCAATATATACATATATTTATCTTTTACAGCGTCCTTTTACGGCAACGTTTTCTGTTGGTTTAAATACCAAGTTTTTTTGTGCAGTTTTTGTTCTCTGGCAGTTTTTTTGTGCTAGAGTAGATTTAAATATTTTACAGCTGTTATGTCATTTCGTGGCTAATGCACATTTTCCGGTTATCAAAGGAAAGCTACTTTGGAAAAAGACAAGCAAGATATTCGCCTTTTTCAAGAACGATTCTTTGAAGATGGTGATCTGTTTTCCGATGGTGTAGGACGACGTCGTAATTTTAAATGGCGTAATATAGACCGTCCAATGAATGCTGGTGCAGAAAGTGAGGGATCTGGGGCTGAGGAAGAGAATGAAAACGATGATGTAACCGAGACGGAGGCACAAAAGAGGATACAACGCCTTGAAAAAGAGGCATTCCTTGAAGAGCAGCGAGTAAGTTTTCCAATTCACCGAGAAGACATGTTTGCATAAAACATAGCTGCCTGGAATTGTAGATGAAATCCAAACTGTTCTTATACTTATTTAACATAATATGATTACAGTATTCAAATCAGCCTCTGGTACCTCAAAATTTGAAAATACCACAGATGAGCGGAAACATATCATAACATTATGGTGTTACTGAAGTGCCATAAGTGTTAATTTCATGTTTTGGTACTTCATTGCATAGTTCACCTTCTAAATTTAGTTTTACTAGCAAATATTTTACATGTCTTCATATGACTGCTTTTGACTGCCTCTGAAAACCCGAAACCTTCATTTTACCCTTCCAGAAATCCCAAGAGACAATAGTTTTGGATGAAGATAGCCAATCCATCCTAAGCATTATAAAAGAAAGGAAAAGCCTTACAGACACTGGTGAGTTGATAATGTGATTTTTCTCGAATTTACTTTAAACCACAGTGTCAATTAGTCCTGTTGATTTTTTAAGTAAAGAATGGGGTTCATAGTACTATAATCCGTGGCTATCTATCTGCGTTCGTTATTTGAAAGAAGTCAAAAAATTATTTCACAAATAAACAAATAGCTAGTGGGTAGTTTCTGAACTTCTTTTGGAAGTAACAATTTTAGCAGCCTGTTAAATTAAAACCTCTCACTGGCAATTTTTCAGCCGTCAGTATTGTTTAATAAAATATTATTTATGGCCGAACATTGGAGTGAACTGAAAGACGACCTTGATGCCATTTATGTAATGCTAGTAGCTTGTAATTTAAATCTTTTTGCAGTGGAAGCTCCGAAAGCTACATTCCAAACAGTTAAACCTGTTGGTTTTAAAAGACAGGTATGTGGCAGAAATTACAAGTTTCAAAATTCCCACTTTTTTTAAAGCCTCCTTTCTAGACTAAGTTCTTGCAGAGCGTGTTTTTTTAAGAAACAAACGTAACTGCCATTCGCAGTGACTGCACAGCTATTTTTCCCAACTTCAGGCCCTAAACGAAACCCCGTTCAAAAACAATTTACTCATTTTAGTTTTCCACTGTCATTTCTATTATTTTTGTTTAGCAGTCTTTATTGTCTGGCCTACAATGCCTGCCAAAATGTACTTAGAGCACTTTAAGTGTGAACTGAGTATTTACATTTTCATAACTACCACTTCCGCTCATTGCCTATTTAAGAAGTCACTTGTAAGAACCAAACACTGCTTGGAAACAGAGAGAGTGACTGGCTTGTTTAAGTTGAACCTCCAGTGGCCTTAAACTAAAACTTGATTGCCGATATTGATCCATCTTTCGCTGAAATTTATTAACATGTCTTTTTTCCTATGTGCCAGACAGAGAAGATAACAAATAGAATCTTATCTTTGTAGGCTTTGAAATATGCTAGAGATCACTCTTTTTATATTCAATTCGCTTTTATTAACTCCTTCGAACGTATTTTACACCCTGTAAGATCTACATGTGACAGGCCCTGAAATTTTATTTGATGTCTGGAAGATCCTCGTTGTGTCCTTGGACTAGAATCAAAATGTTTCCTTTTTAATTGGTCTAACAGAACCATTCTTTTATTTAAATTTATATTTATAACAGAACATATTTTTCAAGGGATCATTTTTGGACCGAAACAAGACAACGTTGTCAAGAATTTCATCTTTAACATCAAATCATACCAAAAAAAGTGCACCATCTCGATCATTTGTCTTCCAAGCGAAATCCTCAAACAACACACCGGAAACATCAGGATCATCCAAGGTAATAATTCAATCAAGTTTACAAACCAAGCTACATTTACGTCTATTTTTTATTTCGACATAAAGTATTGAAAATTCAAGGGACGAACAACTTAGAATACATTATACTAGACAAGGTGTCCTCTCTTCGCTTGTTTTTCTAGTATTTATGATAACTCAGGTATAATTGGGACTTTTGACAATTTTATTTGATATTTCTGTAAACAATTTCTGTTCCCGTGCCAGTTTTTGTTTTCCTTATGTTTGATGTAGACAGCTTTAGGTTATTTGTAGAACCGAAAACGTTCACTTTAAGTGTGACGTCACAAAAAACTCTTTTCAGAATTTTTGAATTTTGACCACATAACATAAAAGAACACCATGAAACACTTCTTAATATGCAAAACCAGTTAAATTTGTCAAAATTGGGTGATATATAGGTAGTAGAAAATTTGAAGTTTTCGAACGGATTACTGTTTTTTGGCTCTGTTTAAAGAGTCATGAACAAAGATTAAACTACAGAGGTTAAGTTGGGAAAGAGGTTTCGATAAAAAAGAGGTTTAGTCGGCCAAGAGGCTGTGCTCATTTGACAATATCTCCGCCAATTCGTTAAACATTAAACTTTCAGGTTATGGGATCAATATTCATTACCTTATCAAATTTGCGAATGTTGTCCTACAACACATCTTTTTTCCTGTAGCTTGCAAACTGGCAAACGCTTAACCCTGTCTTTCTCCCATCTCAGACAATTACAGCTTGTTTTCTTTAATGGCGAAATGAATGCAGAACTTTTGTGAGAGGGCAGCTGCGATCTTCCCAGACCCTATGTCTTCTACACCTATGATCTGCTTCTTTCTTCTTAGCTTATATCCCCCCCCCCCCTCTCCCCCTCTCCAATTCCCTCGCTAGGACTTCAGGTCAGTCATTTCCCTTTCAGGGCTTTTAGCAATTTAAAAAAATTATCAAGCACAGTCTGATTATAAAGAGTCTTTTTCAAGCCAAGCTTTTTTGCTGGTCGTTTTAGGGGGCCAGGGGGCCATACCCCCATGCTCTGAGCTTATGGCAGCCAGAGAAGGCCATGCACCTAAAGAAAATAGAAATTGTAAAGAACAAGGGTTTTCGGGTTCCGCAGTCTCTAAAGCCACTGCTGCTAGTTATACCAAAAGAAGGCTACCGTGATTTGTGTGATAAGTAAAAATGTTTTAATCAGGTTTATATCTCCATGCGCATATAATTATTGCTACTTTTTTAGGCCATGCGACGACAGCTATCAGATTCTGAACCTCCACAACCGAAAAAAGTAAAAATGGACAGAACACTGAGCGTTCCCATGAGTTCTAGTATATTCAATCATCTGTAAATAAGTCGGACCTTCATCAAATACGACTCATATTGTAATTTGTCTGTGAATTGTTTTATAATATTGTGTATAATTTACCGTTTTCTCTTTAGATATCGTCTAATTATAATAACAAACATGAAATGCGTGCTGCTTTTCTTTTTCTATTGATTAGAGCTTTCACTATGAGCATTTTGTCAGGCAACTAATTTAGTACTAAGCGAGGTACCTGATTTTCCAGAGCGAGCCAACTCAAGCCCTGGCAAAACGACTAAACAATTTACTCAACTTTTGGTTAATGAAGTTTACTCCTTGTGTTTACTCAACTTGTGTAAAGTTTAGCGAAAGTGGGTAAATGTTACTAAACTTTTTACTAAACTTCACCCAACTTTTCTGAACTGGGAGCTGTGTTGGACGCTGTTGGATTGTAGAGGGTCTTGAATAGGAATTTGGTTTCCGTTTGTTTCAGGGCCGCACTTCCCACTTGGCCCACGGGACCCATTAACAAATAGGGGCCCAAAGAAGTTTTAGGAAGTTAAATATGGTAACATCGGGTTTCGTTTGCACGCGTTCTTATCAGTGCGCAAATGCATAACCTTAGCGTGTGCAATCTTCAAAAATTGATTGGGATGATTTCATCCTATACCAACCTAACTTCACCAAACTTCAGTACATCTATCAAGTAATGTAAAACTATGAATTGTCTTAAACGAAATGCCAAAAACTTAATAAAATATACAACCTCTTACATCACCACTTATTTTTTTAGTGGATTTGAAAGGCAGAGTTTTTGCAAGCACGCCTCCCAGAAGATCAATGTAAACAAAACATAGTTTATTCAAGGCTTCAAGTACTAAAAACCTTGTTATGAGATGACATCGGACGTTAGTCGAAACCTTTTTAATTACTTGGTTCGAAACCTTTTTAAGCGAAAAAAACCAGATTTTATAGGAATAGGCAAAAAAGAAGAAAATATAAGGCAGTTAGAGAGCATGAGATCGTCCAATCTGCTGACAGATAAAACAAAAAACAACTGGACGATAACGATGATACAGTCAACGCAAACATTGAAACAGATTGTAAAATGTTCATTCAAGAAGCACAAAAAGCTGAAGCACTAGAAAGTATTGTACTGTGACTCCCTTACGAGCTTCTCGCTAGAAACAATTTCAGCATTTATGTCAATGTGCCGTGACCTTTCCTCAAAAGGTTGGACCAAGACGTGATCAAAATTCAGTTATTGGACTCCTTTTTTGTTAAAAACTCCAAGCCATCAAGATAAGACCCGGTATCAAGACTTTGACCTAACAACAGGATGTGAGAGATTTTGCCCCGATCTGAAGAAAACCCATCCAACTATGTTATTTAGATAAAATTACCTCAAAGAGCTTCAAAGAGTGCATTTTCAGGCGAACTGAAAACAATCATATTTGAAAATTTTCCATCCTTTCCTTGGCAACCATGGTGTCGCCTCGGGTAGTACGAAAACGTGTTCTTGAGGACGCATATTTATCACAAAAATTGAACAAAAAATCTATTTTTTCATATACAAAGTAGAAAATATATTTGTTTGACTCATTAATTGAATCTTTGTAGCTGCATAAACAACATTTTAACTATGACTGTGCCTTCCCACTAATGCAAATGGCGATACGATGCACTTTCTCATTGGTTCGGGGTCCTTCAGACAAATGAATAGAATAATATAGCCATAGGTAAAATCAATTTTAACTCGTCTCACCATCAAATACAAATAACCAATGTGATTAAATTATTTTAAAACTATTAGAACGTGTACTGTACAGCTACATCTCATCGGCTGATTGTGTGATTGCGTGCTGTCCAGGTCAGGGGTCAAGGCGAATGACGCAAGCATAGTAAAAGGACGCAAGCTTGTATTTTCTATTGACACAAGCTGCTGCTGACGTGGGGGCCTTTTGTTTAATTGCTGGGTGAAGTTTCTGCATTTCTTTACCCCTCAAAACTTTATCGAAACATCCTAAAAGGAATTGTTTCACAATAAAAAGCAACCCTTCTACCCATGATCATCATCAAAGCAATAGGGTTTCAAAAATTCGCCTAATTTGATTAGAATATGCTTGTTGTATACCTATTAATCCCCCGTCTCGATATTGCTAGTGACGACGTAAGGGGATTGTACATAAAGTAATGACGCTGGCTAGACTTAAGCAGGTTTCTTGATAAATATACCATGGACCTTTGATCGGTTTCAGTTCGAAATGGATTCTGAGATAGTATACAAGTTGGGTGCAAGCACTGTGCTATGGGCTCAGACCCATTTGCACTTTCTAGAGTCGTTTCTTTTGTGGTGCTCACGAGCAGGAGACCCACGCAACAGCTTCCTTGTTTATTTTCCAATTTGCTATGCATTTAGAAGAGATTTTGGAGTACAATGTCTGTGGATTTCGTCTTTGACAGAGTGGACCAATGCCCTCTTAAAGTGGCAAGTTTTTAACTTTTTTACCTTTTTTGTTCTGATATTTTCTTACTTTTAAAGGCTACCCCCATTACCCGTTATACGCCCACTTTTTTTAGAATAAGAAATCCTCTGTAAGAAATTAATCGGCCCTATTAGGCTCGTATTTTGTAAAAATAAGACATTTTTGTATAATACCTCAATAGCAAAAAAATCAAGAAAATGTTTGATGTTGTGTTATGACACTCTTCATATTTGATTTGATTTCTTGCGAAAAAGATAAAGGTTTGAAACAGTAATCATAAAAATCGCGAGAAGTATATGGTGAAAAATGATATCTAGGCTAAACTTCCGGTCCTTAAACGGAATCTAATGTAAACAATTTTCTTACAAATAATTTTGAGATATATTTGAAAACAAGGCTGTAAATTGAACTGGTGTATTTGAAAGATGTTCTTTTCATTTCTCATTTTCTCTGTGCATTTTCCTTAGGCAAATCCTAAAAACTTGACCCAACTCGATAGGTTAACTTCTTGGTTAATAAATTTGACCTAACTCCATAGGTTGACTTCTTGCTTAACAAATTTGACCTAACTTCCGGTCCTTAAATCTGACCTAATTTGTTCTATAGGTTATTCAATGATGACAGGCCCTACTGGTGGGTAAAAGAGAAAAAGTTTGAAAATCCGAACAATGAATTGAAACAATTTTCAGTAACTTGCGAGACAGGCCCAGGTATAAATATCTTATGATGCAATATTTTTCTTCAATAATTTCTTTAAAACCAACTGGTAGTGTATGTATTAAGAAAAGTAAGGTTTGCAAAAGGCCGGTATTGAATTTTTGACCACTCATTGCTAGGCTGGGGTGATCTGGGTATTTAAGGGGGTGGGAGGGATGTAAATACAAAGGATTTACAATAAAAAAACAATGACGTCGTCGTGTGCATTGTTAATTTTTTTCAATACGTTATTTATACATATTATATTTAATAATAATCAAAAGTAAATGGCGTGTCCAGAAAATTTACCAATTACTTACTTCATCGTAATTAAGGGTGTCAGTGGAGTGGCTGTGTCACACTTAACATTTACTATCGTTAGAAAATTTGACCTCTCTTGGTCCATTGTTTATCGCAACTTGTTTTTATCGACTTGAGTTTTGAAGCGGTGCACTCACATTTTTTTGCAGATGGTATCAAGGTCGAGATGGCCTAAGACATTACTTTTTAGCTTTCTGGAACCGTTAAATGAAAATTATCCAATATTTGCCTCTTTTTCTAGGATTTCCTTCTGGTCATGTGATGTCTGTAACAGCTGTTGGACTTCACATTGCACTTGAATTAGATAAATTGATTGATCATGCGCCTCATCTGAGTTTGCGATTGAAAACACTCTTCAAGTTTCTTGTTTATGCCACGTATTTCTTCATGATATTGTCCGTGGCTCTCTCAAGAGTATACGTTTCAACACATTTTCCTCATCAAGTTTTTGTAGCGGCTTTCATCGGAACCGCAGTAACACTTGCTGTTCATAATGTTTCATGGTATCTAGATCTTTCGAGTGGTCTTGTGTGCTCTGTTTCGTCGAATACAATGCTTATCATCGCTATCGTATTCCACAAAGCTATTATTTTATCAGGCTATGATCCATCTTCTACCGTTTGCTTGGCAAAAAAATGGAGCCGTAGAAAAAGCTGGGTTCATTTAGACACAACACCCTTCTTCGCAATAATAAGGGACTGTGGTACACTCTTTGGGCTGGGGATGTCAACATTCCTTGATAGCAGGTCAGCTGAGTCATTCTCCGGTTTCAGTTTATTGCTGACACTAATTTTTGACTTCATTTTTGTTAAATCAGTCGAGAGCATTAATATATTTCACGAACAGGTTATGTTATTCTATCTTCGTGCATACCTAAAATTTGCTTTGCTCCCTATAATCATAACAGTTTTGACACCATATGTACTAGAAAGTTTCGAAATGACGTTACAATATGCTTTATATTAAAGATTCTTTATTGTAAATAAATATAGAATTGTCAAATAAGAATTTTACCCACTACTTTTTAACTCGAAAGTTTCACTGATCACTAATTCATATTTTCACTCCTTTTTTGATTTCCTAAATGCCCATCTGCACCGCATTAATTGACGTATAGCCTGAAATTGTTGCTTGCACTAAAAAAGGCCGAATCATTTGCAATGAACTTATGAGGAACTCGTGGTCAAGACATCCGTTGCCCATTCCGATTTAGTTCGTATAAGCCTATTTTCTGCCTTGTGATTGAAATATCGTACTGAAGTAAAAAAATACATAAAATTGACAATTGATTTCGGCGTGGTAACTGTTTCAGAGTGTCACGTTGGTGAATTTGCATCTCAGATAACAACAAGTTTGACTCTGATAATTAAGAATTGTTACATCTTTCTCTGTCCTCTTCATAAATATTCATGTTAAATTTGTACAAGTTTGACAATTAAATCTCTAAAAATGTTGCGCAGCAAATGATTCACGCAGCTATAACTATAAAAAATACTATCAAGAATATCTCACTGATATTGAACAGGGAGCTCCATCTAGAAGGAAAACATCTTTGATCTCGCACTCCGTTTAAAGTCAAGGATAACCAACAAAATCAATATATTGATCGTAGAGAAACCAAGATGACAAATTTTTACCTAAAAGCTAAATTTTTATTTTAAAATGGTAAGAGCATTCAAAATTCACCAAGCAGTGGCTACTATTTTAGCAATGTTCACTTCACTCTGGCCTTTATAATGATCAAGAAAAATTAACTGATCAAAATCCCAAATGCAAAAATATTTTTCTTGATATTGCTTTAAACTGAACCATATTATTGTCACATCATATCGTGAATCTCACATCAAAGCTTTTCAAACGTTTTAAACGAAAGACTCTCGTTGAGTCATCCTTCATAAGAAAATCGGAAGAAACAATAAGTAACAATAGTGAATATTGAGAACAGAAATTTAAGAAGTAAAAATATCGAGCAAAGACCCTAAAGAGAGAGATAGTAGAAGTTAATTAGAAGAATTTTGAAGGAAGAGGAAAACTGTTTTGTCTATGGTTTGTGATGCTGAATTCAAGATTATTCGCCGCACACGCCTCTTATTAAAGTTCAATGAACTAACCTGGTTTCAAATTGTAAAGCATATTTCCCCAAAATGACGAGTAGTTACCGCTACCAACTCTATGCTGAACTCTTATGTAATCGTTTCCGTTATGATCTGCCATAAATGCTTTGATCGGATAAAAAGTGTTTGACGACAACTGGCCTGGGTCCATTTCTACCGAGCTCGGATTCGAATAGCTAACAATGAAAAAAATATATGCTTTCTGTATTTGTAAAAGATTGTAAAACGTTACAATACAATGAGACTGTATTTAGCCAACATCGGTTGAGATACGTGCGAAACGATCATTGCCTGTGCTTTGATCACAACGAAACCAGCCAGATGCTCTAGATGATCTCTTGAAGTTCTAAGTCATTCCTGGACCCTTTTCTTGAATTTTAAAATTCACATCACACCGTCCCCCACCAAATATCCCCATCCTAGAAGTAGGAGATACAAATGTTGCTACATTAGCGACCTTGTTCCTATGTGATGATGCTGAGTGAAGAAGCTTTTGTCATCGCTATTAAGCAGAATGACTCCCCTGATTTACATAGATTTACTTCCCTGAACATCTAGCCTTGCAATCGCATAGAAGCCCAATGGCAAATTAAAGGCTTAAACTGAAGGGTTATCAACAAATCGAGCTAGAGAGGGAATAAATGATAATATTAAATAATATAAAAGAATCAAATTTCTACCAAAAAATTTTATAAATGATGTGAATTAATAAGAATTCTTTACCGCAATTGTTCACAATTTGTATTAAACAAATCACAGAGGACTTTACAAAAATAGCAAAGACAGAATGTAAGACTTCATTGCTTTAATATCTTGACCAAAACAAAGACTAGAGTGTAAAAAATTGTCAAACGTCAAAAAATAAAGCATTTATTACATCAAGAAATGTTTTTAAAAGTATGATGCTCAAATCCCAAGAGTAGAGACGGAAACACGTAAAATGACTTCTGAAATTTCCTTTTCGCAAAGAAAACCATGATAATTGAGTCAATTACATTCTTTCGACTTCTTACATTTTGTTGGTCAAATATTCAAATGAATATCATCATGTTTTCAAAATCCTTGAAACAAAGCGTATTTTGTTAACAGGGTCTTTGCTGATAACTGCACTTAGTGTTGAAGAATAATTTGAATGACATCATTTGCTGTTGCTTGAAAAATGAAGATTACTTTTCTATTTAGAGAAAAAAATGCAAAATTTTTCCTTTTCTTATCGATGATATCCTGATAAGGAGGAGGCTGTTTTCCTGGGGAATGAGAACTAGTGACGTAGTTCTCTCTAAAAGGGAAATGAATGCTATTACATTGTTTCTCGACTCGACTGGATTTTGTCGAAAAGGAATTGTATCTTTGAAAGAAATATAAATATTGGTTACCCATTGATCTTCTCAAGTATGTTTTAGGTATAGGCTTTACATCTGTTGCATCAGGAAATTTCACACCAGGCCGAAAAAATCCGGTGTTATGGGCTGTACCGTTGTCAAAAGCAACGATTTCATATCTGAATCCTTTTAGTAAGTCAACTTCAGCTGAATATTTCCTGCAGTGATAGAAAATATGTTTGCAATTTCGTGTTGAATGCAAGTTACAAATAATTATGGCAAAATAACACAATATGATCAAAGACATAATTAAATTTTGAACTAAGTAGGAGAATACACGAGCACGAGCATCTCCAGGTTTATAGTTGGTAAATCTTATAGTTGGATTGAACTTTGAAGGTACTTTGATTTGATAGGATCTGCAAATGAGAGTTAAAATGGCAGTGTAAATGTATACTGTACCAAGAAGTTTTATTTCAATGAATATTATATAAACGAATATCGATATAATATCTTGAACTAAGTAGGAGAATACACGAGCACGAGCATCTCCAGGTTTATAGTTGGTAAATCTTATAGTTGGATTGAACTTTGAAGGTACTTTGATTTGATAGGATCTGCAAATGAGAGTTAAAATGGCAGTGTAAATGTATACTGTACCAAGAAGTTTTATTTCAATGAATATTATATAAACGAATATCGATATAATATCATATACCTCCCATATTTTTCCATATTCTGTTCAAGACTGTTCTGGTTAAAAATAGTTTTATCAAAATCACTGAATTAATTTTTACTGTTCTGCTCTTAATCTTTTTAAACCTTTTAGCTCGTTGTTTCTTATTTGTTGTTTAGCTATCATTATTTTCTGCTCTCATGAATGGCAAAAAGCGATTTATAGCCATAAGATAACAATATGATAAATATTAATTCCAATTACGGTTTCCACGGCCTGATCCTCCTAAACTTGAACTCCAAAAAACAGCTTTACTAGTTTTCCCTAGAGTAAACAATAAAAGGAGTACTGACGCGCTGGCAGGAGGGGGAAGAAGGCAATTGCCCCCCCCCCCCCCTGGCAACCAAATAGTTGGCAAACGAGGACAATTTACATAAAAGAACTAAACAATACTAAAGACGGACTTGTAGAGAGCAACAATCACCTTGCAAGAATCACCTCGTCTTTCTTAGAAACTTTGATGCGCTTAACAACGATTGTCAAGCACCATCTCAAGATCTCACACTAAATCTAAATGCTTTTTGCACAAAGCAGATACCAGGGGCTTCATTCTTTTTTACTATATATGCATCCTATCGAACAGTCACGCTTTTTCGTTTCGATGTAAAAAGACAAATTATAAGCTGGATTACTTGATGAATATACTTGATACATCTTGAAGTATGGTTTAAATATGGCAAGAGATGTCCGAACGAAATTTTGGAAGTTAAGGTAATGATTTTCCTACTATTTTGTGCTATAGTAAAAACGCGTGCAGGTTCATCGGCAGGGCCTAATGAAAATATAGGTGGTATCCGAAGAGTTAAAATCTTACTTAAACGTTCCATAATCTTGCGACAAAAAAGACATAACTGAAACGAAACAAGAAATAATGGCTTGAGTCACCAGCATGATGGAGAAAATAAAAAGCTTGGAGACAAACATCAATGTTTTGGAATCCAAAAACGCCATTTTGGAAAGTCATATTGCTCGCTTGAAATCAAACCAAGAAAGCCATGAACAGTACTCTCGCAGATTATGCTTAAGGATTGTCGACATCGGATTCTCTGAAGATAGTAATCATGAGACAAGTGAAGATGTTTTCCACAAAGTTGAACACGTTTTACAGAAATTGGAGTTGGTCTGCGCCAATCGGATTGGTCCAAAATAATCAGGATCTTTCATGAGTTTAGAGAGACCGCCACCTCCCTACCCCAAATCTCCCTCAATAGTGCCGTCACTGATTATCATTGTTGTGCTGTTTAATGAAACAGCCCCCACAAGGACAATCAAAAAACTGTAAGGTATTACAAAGAATAACATACTCTATTTGAAAATTCCCGATCACGCCTAATTGGAAGGTTTTTCAGTACGCCACAGAAAGAGAGAAACATATCTGCGTGCTTACGAGCTCTTGTACTTTTCTGCACATTTCCAAAACTTTGAATGAAAATTTGAAGAAAGCCAATTGAAGGGTGCCATTTGACCTTTTGCCCCCCCCCCCTTCGATCTCATCCCTAGCACGCCACTGAAACAGAGCAGAGCCCACTTGATGATATTTATTCCATGGCTACATAAATGTCTTTTCAATATTTTAACGCAAAAAATGCAATTCAAATACCACCAGAAAAAGACAACAACAAACAACTCAAAACATCGCTGTGCGTAAGAGTATGACGGTAAGCTAATCGAAAGAAAGTAAAATTTTTCTAGATAACTATAAAAATTTTACTATAGAAGATTGAGTGTGTAAAATATTTGCATTGAATTTGAAATCATGATAACAAGCCATGTCTTTGAAAATATATCTTTAATAACTAAACAGAATATATCATCTTAAAGTGTAAATCATCTTTAAGGACCAAGTCTAGGTTTGTTTTTAAATTCTTCATAATTCTACATTAACTTTGAGGCTCTTTTCTTTATGATACCCCGCAAAAACGATTGATCTTCTACACTGAATATGCAATTGACCCTGATCACTTTAATTTATGTGAGGACTTCGAAAAAAATAGTTTTGAAAACCACTTAATTTTTTCCACTGTCCTCCTATTTTTCGAAGTTTTCTTTTTCTAACAATACACTGTTTATACCCTAAATAAACCATCGCCAGGAATAACTCCACATAATGGAGAGTAAATATGCCTGCTTGGTTAATCACAAATATCATAATCATGCTTTTCACCATCGCTGTCCAAATATGAGCTAATTAGGAAATTTTTCATCTTTGCTTTACCCTTGGTACCAGACTATATATAGATGTTTCGTTTTTGTTTTTCAAATTTTGCATGAACTCAGCGAACGTTAAAGAATACTTGATACAATGTTTCGAATATTTTTGAAGAACAGGATCCAAAACTTCAGAAAGCCACTTAGCCAATTCATGTTGTGCTGAGCCAATCATAGACAAGATGGGTCCAAGTCGAACATTCGGCTTACGTATTTCAGGGAGGCCATACATTTGTGGACGTTGTGAACCTGTGGGTCTTATTCTATCGTAAACATCGTTGGTCAAAACTTTTGAGGTAACCAGCTCACGTTTCCGCTCTAGCTTGCCGTTCTATCCTTTATTTCGACGTCACCCAGTTTTTCGAACTTTTTTTTGTCGAGGAGAATATTCTTCATTTTTCGGATGTAGTCCTTTTTGTTCAAAATAACCACTCCTGATTCTTTATTGGGCTTTGTGATAAAGAAGGACTCCACTGGAAACATTCTCAATAGGTAAGCAGCACTGATTGGTCAACCTCAACAGTCATGTGCTCACGTTTCTGGTTGGCCTATTTCTATCCACAACTGGGTATATATATTTCCTAGCGTAGAGTTTTTGATCTATGCTCTGACGTTTAAAACTCTGAAGAGTGTCAGACGAAAAGCTTTAGTTTACTCAAATGTTTGCTTTTTCGAAGCCATTTTCAAGTTTTGTACCACCAAAAGATTGTTTGCATAGATAATTTTGTAGAAAAAATAGCAAGCTGCCTAACCCCAAATTTGATTTCACATTCCAACTAAATCATCCATAGATATTTCGAATCCAAAGTGATGACAAAAAATATTGCGGAAGTGTCAGCCAAGGCCTTGCTCTCAACTTTTCGGAAATTTTTACTCTAAATTATCTATGCAGATTCCAAATCCAAGATGGAATGAAAGAAATTTTGAGCGGAAGTTACAGTTAAAATTTTAAAAAGTATACTGGCAAGAAAATTTTTCTCGAAGAAGTTACGATGAGATGGGAAATCTGCAAAGATACTCTCGCGAATGCAAATAGAGTTATGCAAACATAATTAAAAAATGGCAAATGTGACGAACCACAAGTTCAGATAAGAGTAAGAATATGCAAGACGATGAAAAACAAGTGATCACAAGCTCTACGACCCGATCCAGACTCAAAGAAAAAAGCATGAGTTATTGGTTGCAATACAAAAAAAAGATATCAAGAGAAATTGCCTATAAGTTTTGGTTGGACATACAATGGAAAGAATGATCTGGCCTACCGGTGGTACCAAGTGTGGTTTACAGGAAAATAATTTTTTTATATTTTCTAGTTCTGAAACATACATTTGATAAAAAAGTAAGAAACGGCACTGAAAAGGTTATCAGAGAAAAGGTTTCTTAACGGTTTGACGAGAAAAACATTCGATCGTCAAAAGCTCTGAATATCTGCTGAAAATATTGGTGTCAGCCAAGCGATTCCCGAAATCTTTTTCACACCAATTTTTTTCATTTTTTGGAGGGCCCCTGACACTTGCCGCCAAACAGCAGCAAAGATTTGCATTGCTGTAGCGACGAAATTTGTAGAGAATTCTGTAACGCAAGAGGGTCCGGTCATTGAAAATAACGGTGACCACCTTGAGGCAGACGATGATGATTTGAAATACATTTCCTTTGGTAATTCCAGCAGACAGTGATGACGATGATTGGATTCTATATCATCTCCTATTCAACAAAATTCTAATTTTGATTGATTTTTTCACTAGCTTAAAATTTTCAGGCTTAATATATCATGATATTAAAATGGAAGATGAAGTCATAAAATGATTATGACGTAATGAAATAACCTCTAAAATTAGGTAGAATAGCATTTCGATACATCGATATTTCGAATGTAATCACATTCAAACAACTCGAATCTTGAGTAAAATCATTACTACTTTCTCAACAGTTATGGCAAATCCTATTTAAAACGTACTATTTCATCCACAGCATTCCTAAACTACTCTTGACTCTAGAATTTTTTATATAAACACACTAGATCTTTACTTAACACTTGATCATAATAATTATATGTGATTATGAAAAATATATAATAAAAAATGTAAAAATGAAGTTATGTACTGAAGTAAAAATTTTTGATCAACTTTACAACTTGCACCTTTCAACGTGTTTTGTATTGCTTTATAACTATAGAAAAGTACAATTAATGAAAAAGGTAATATGCAATAATTAGGTGACAATGATGATCAAAACGATTACAGAAACACCGAAAAATGTACGCAAAAAGAAATTTAAGCGAAGATCATAGTAAACTCCAGCTAATGCCATTAGTCTAAAAGTGTTTGCATACTTTTTGCATCACAATTTGATATTTGAGTCAATTTTGCCTGCTTCAAAAAAGATCAGTATAGACATTAATACAAAATCTACAAAATGTTTGATAAATGTTCTGGATCAACCATTTTTGAAAGTATTCAGCTACATTGTTTATAATAGCTTGACATTCTGAAAATATATTGATTTCATAGCTGCTATTGAGTTTCTGTGCTGTGCTAGATATTGATTAAGAAAACTTGCTTCTTTTATAACTTAGTTGACTTCATAGTACTGGGAACCCTCCGTTGCTACAAAATCACAAGGAAATGCTTCCTTGCTCTCCTCGTTGATTTCACATCCCCATATTGATGTTGCGGCTGCCCTCTTGATATTTATAGAGGCACATCTGCATCCACTTCCTGCTTCGAAGCAGTTTTTGCAAACGTTGAAGCATTCCTCGGTAGAAGTGACTTGAACTACTTTTGAAAGATGCTTAACTAACGCCATATTTGTAAATTTGATGTTAGTGATGAAAGCAGAAGGAGCTTCTTCGTCGACTTGATTTGCTAGAATATGAAAAGTATACACTTAAACATCAAGTGATTGCAAGCTGATGTAAAACAAAGATTGTGGAAATTTAATCTTTTATAAAGCGGACGGTATTTCAGGAATTTCAAAATGAATAAACATGTAAATGGACAAAGCAAAACTCCAGAAAGCCCAAAAAGTATCAATTTACTTGCACTCCTAGAGTATATGACTTATCATGAATTTTAGATGTCAGATTAATTCACGTTTGTCATTTTTGCAAGACGAAATTAAATAACTATACTACAAAGATTTATGAATCGAAGTTTCTGGCTCAAATTACTTCACGCAATAACGATAATAGGAGTTATTATATTCATTCAAGTTAGTTACATTAATTTTCCTATATCCTAAATATTACAAATTACAACCTTTTTTTGAATATGCTTTTCCTACGAGAACGATAATGTTAAAGAAAGTTACTTACTTTCATACGTTGAAAACTTTAAAGACTCCCCAAATGTCCCAATCCCTTTGTTTGTCTTACCAGCAATCTTGAATTCATAATGTTCATTTTTCTCTAAACCATTAACGGTGGAATTTAAAGCAGTGCTTATTGTCTCATTCCATCTGGTATCTTTGTTAACTATCTTGAAATGTATGACATAGCTTCTTATGATACCATTTCTATGCTCAAATGGTATGACTTGCCAATTTAACATTGCAGATCCTTTGCTGCCAGCAATATGAATGGATGCAGGACCACCTGTTGGAGCTTAGAAGAGGCATAGAATTTAGAAAGTTTCATCAAAATTTCATTATCGATTCTAGATCAACTTCAATTACAAATCTCTTCATTTCATAGATATTCTGTAACTGGCTAGCTTGTTTTCAAAAATATTGCAGTCGTAGTAATAAAAAGTAAGAAAGAGCAACATAAAATATACATTAAATTGGTTAAAAATGAAGTAGCTCTGTGTTAGACTAAGTTTTGCTCTTAGAGCAGAATGTGAAAAATTTGGCGCAAATAAAAATGTTCGAACGTTTGTAGAGATAACTTTTCTTTTTACGGTCAATAAAAAAGGAGTCACACATTTCAATGAAAAAGCTAAGGACAAAACAGTTCAAAAGACCAGAATGGAAAATTCTTGATAAACAAAACAAAATTTGAACAATTTTTTGGCACTAGCAGCTTTGAAAATTGCTTTGAAAAAAGTAAACTAATTACAACATGCTAAGAACTTTTTTAATCGTACTTCTTCAGAGTATAAAACATCAAAAAATTAGTGCAAAAGCTAAAGTTAGAAAATTTGATCCACAAATGGGTATTTATTCTTCAGAATTCGCGAGTTTTGTTATGTTAAAAAATCATGCTAAAATAGCATAGTGATGGCTTATCAAATTTGCTTTGTTTTCAAAGCGTCCGTTTATTTCACATATAGTGTTGTGCAAAATTTCTCATAATCTTTTATGTGCATTATAATTTCATTGATGTGTGATAAATAAGACAATCGACTTCCATAGAGACAGCCTCTCGTTATGATTGATGTTATTATTTGTTAATATCAGTCTTTGTTAATGTCAGCGACTATAGCAGTCGTTATGGATACAGGATGAAACGAAAGAACTAAAGTTTTCAATATTTACTCACTATCTTCGTCGGTTCTAGCCTTTGTAACATTGCTTATGGTTCCCTCTCCAACTGAAGTCTTTGCAGATACCTTGACATCATAAAATGTCCAAAAATCAAGACCAGACTTTGTGAATGACTTTCCAGTCACCTCATAACTAGTCCACGGGTTGTTTCCTATCGCCTTTTTGATGTATACCTTATATCCGGTTATGATCCCGTTCTGATGATCTGATGGTACATCATTCCAGCTCACTTGAATACTAGAAGAGCTTGTATTTCTTGCTGTTACGTTGGCTGGGGCAGCGGAAGGTACTGCAATGTAAACAGATCGGATACAGCAAATTGCGTTGCTATTAAAAGTGGCCACAGTTAATTTCCTATCTAGAGATATAAAGAGGCTACTTGTAACGTTCAGAAATTTAGTTTCCAATTCTGGACCAGTTACTTGCCAATACTGTGACAACCAAATACAAGCTGTGCTTTGACTGATCCTCAGAAAATATGTTTCAAGCTAGGTCCATTCCGTCAATTGTCTCTCCCGGGATATTGCAAAAAGATAAGCTATGTTATTGAAACTGTAACTCATGTCTTAAAGTTGTCAGGTTTTAGGCAAAATCTTGACAAAAAGTTTCTTTATCCGGATAAAAAATCTCTCAATTTTGAAAGGGGTCTTTTATTTATCTTCTTATTCATGTGGAGATAAATTAAATCGCAGAAGAATCCTTAACTGATAAAAACAGATAGTAGAAATATCTGACATTGTTAAGACTCCAAAGATGGACTTAATGGAGACTGTCTTACGACCACAGGCACTAAATTTCCGATGTCTGTATGTAAAAATCTTGCAAAAATCACGTTTTTCCTTAACAAATCTATTGTCACTTGGGAACACCTAAGGCTTTGGGCACTCAATATACCACTCAACATTTAAGAGAGGTGTCCATAAAAATAATAAACTCTGACATAAAAAAACATTGCTGCTGCAATCGTCTCTTGTTAAGGATCCATTCATCGACTATAGTCAGATGCTTGTAAAGAAAGAGGCAAAAAGATTTCAAATTTGAAGGTACTAGCCTATTCAACTTTATGAACTCTGAAACCAAGCTTATTGTTATTCAACCAGCGAATTAAAATAACATCTTTAGAAAATAGAATAATTTTTTATAAAGGTTTACAAATTACATATTTTCAAGTTGCAGTTTAATATCAGTATTACAATGGTAATTGACGATTATCTTTCCGGGCTTACAAGTGAAAATTTTCGTACAAAGATAAAATTTAGAAATAAAAGAAAAATTTGTTATATATTTAAACAATTTTTAACTTACCATCTTCCATTGTTCGTTCTTCAACTGGTGCACTGAAAACGCCACTTCCTTTCGAAGTTCTTCCTGCCACCTTAAATTCGTATATGGTGTATTTCTTTAATTCAGTCACTGTAGACCCGCGATCTCCCACCGAGCCTATTATTATAGACAGCCAAGGACTCGAAGTACCTGTTTTTATCTTATATTGAATCTCAAAGCCAACGCCGATTCCATTCCAAAGAGTCAAATCTGAAAATGTCCGCCATGTCACCAGAATTGACGTAGATGACTGTTTTACTGCAGCAAGATTTGGTGGAGCTACATCAGGAACTGAAATCGAAATAGAATAAAAATGCAGATTCAATTTAAAGTTTATTGATGCAATTTGCAAGTTAAGGATGGATAAGAAAACATTTTCTTGGTTTTAGAAACAGCTGCTCAACAAAAAGGTTACTTGTTTATTGAAAATATGCCGCTCCTAGTGCTTTATCAATTTAAATTTTTTTTCAAACGTTGGATTTAGTTCTATATTTCTCTGTCTCTTGCACAACATAAAGCAACAAAAGCTAACTGTTAATATATGTTGTATAATGTTGTATAATGTTAATAAATATTAAGGCTAAAAATGCAAAAATGCTAGTTTTCCTTCAAAAAATTTTATTTTCAATGCTAGGCTAACCATCTTCATCTGTTTTCTGTATTGCACCTGGCGATATGATATTGTGATCAGCGCTGCCAATTTCCCCAAAGTAATGAACAAAAAATTGGTAATCAGTGTATTTGCCAAGCACTGATGCAATCACTGTTTGTGGCAGACTTCCAGTTACTGTGATTGTGTGGACATTGCTTTCGTTTCCAACTTTGTAGTAGCAAACTTCATGATTGGTTATATAAGTCCAATAATCCAAGGGAGGTAGGTATGGAGCTGAAGGCAGCGTGATTGAAATGACAGTAGAGTTAATCATCGCAAGTACTGGAGCTGGTATACTCATGGCAGTTACATCTGAAATAAAATCACATGTCCTCAATCTGCTACCTATTTACATGTAGCCTGAAATTTGTGCTTATACTGAAAAAGGCTGAATCTTTTGGAATGACATTATGAGGAACTCACGGTCAAAATTTCCTGTGCTTATGCCATTTTAGTTTGCAAAAACCTTTTGTCAAGTAAAAAATAAATTAATTTGACAACTTTCGATTTTGAAGTGGTAACTGTTTAAGAGTGTAACGTCGGAGAATTTTTTTCTCAGATAACGACAAATTTGACTCAGGTGATTTAGAATAGCTAAAACACCCTCTGCCTCTTTCATACACAACATAAATTTTGATATCAAAATTGGGCAAATATTGACGATTAATTTTCTAAAAGTGCTGTTTAACAAATGATTTACGCAATTATATCTATCGAAAAGATATCAAGGTCCTGCGAAAATAGTAGATACAATTCTGATATTTCTAGGTATCAAATTTAGAAACACTGATATTTTTGGGTATTCGTGAGATTTCCATATCCGAATCAAATGTATTCTTCATGGATCTAATTCGCTGAGGTTTATTTTACCCACTTCAAGTCACGTCGGGAGTCATGTTACCATAATCATTGAAAGTTTTAATGCTACTTTTTGTACTCACTGTAAACTTTATATGGCACGAAATATGCCAGAGAAGTCAAACGATGTCTTACCAAGGGACTAAAAACATCAAAGACACCTGCAGCACTGGGGCAACAGGGGCAATCGCCTCCTGCCCTCTGCAACAGATGCAGCGGGGGCAAGATGTGCCCTTCTAATTAAAGTTATTCTCAGTTTCAATTGTTGTGATTATTCAAATTGAACATTTGCTTCATGTGTGGCAATGGCAACTGCAACTATTTACGGCTTTTTTGAAATGCCGATCTTATAATTTACAGCTATGTCTTATTATCTCACCCAAAATTCCAATTTGTGATATTTTTGGGTACAAGAAATAAATAAAACTGATATTTTTGGGTCTTATTGAAAATGAGCTGATATTTTTGGGTGGCCTTTAAATTTCTTGGACTTACCCCCCCCCCGTATGTCTATGTGCAGAGTGCCCCCCTGGGCAATAAAGATCAAAGATAAATAACTGACAAAAATCGCAAATAAAAAATCGTTTTGCTTAACATTGAATCGCAAATACAGAACGTTTTGCTTAACATTGCTTGAAAGTGAACATATCATTGCTTTTTCATGTTGTAACTGTTCACATTGAGAGCTTTTCAAATGTTTCGAACCGAAGACTTATGTTGAGTCATGCATTATAGAGAATGGGAAGAAACGCAAGAATAACTTTCCATTATGAATATTGAAAGACCCTAAAGAGAGAGGTTGTAGCAGTTAGGTAGATGATTTTTGAAGGAAAAGAAAAACTTTATGCAAAGTTTGTCTATGGTATGTCTTGCTGGATTCAAGATTATTTGTCGCACACGCCTCTTATTAAAGTTCAATCAACTAACCTGGTTTCAAATTGTAAAGCATATTTGCCCAAGATGACGAGTAGTTACCGCTACCAACTCTATGCTGAACTCTTATGTAGTCGTAGGCAACAGCTTCCGCCATAAATGCTTTGATCGGATAAAAAATGCTCGACGATAACTGGCCTGCATCCATTTCTACCGACCCCGGATTCGAAAGGCTATCAATGAAAAAATATATTCTGTCTGTATCAGTTTAAAGACTGCAAAACTTTACAATGCAATAAAACAGATTTTAGTAAACACGCCATCTGTTATGTTATGTGCGAAACGATCACTGCCTTTGCTTTGTTAACAAGGTAACCACCCAGATGCTTTAGACGTTCTCCTAAAGTTCTAAAATACACCGGTTACTGGTCTTGATTTTTCAAATTCACATAACAGCGTCCTCAACGAAACTTTTCCATTTTAGAATAAGGCGTACAAATTTTGTAACATTATCGACATGTTATACTACGTGAAAAAGTTCTGTTCATTGCTATTAAACTGAAGGACTAAGATTTTGACGCAAAGCTTCGAGTTTTATAACCTCACGTATGTGCTCCTGAGGGCATAAGACCTTGCGATTTAAAGCAAATTAAGACTTTACACGGGAGGATTCTCAGCAAATCGAGCTGGAGGAGGAATAAACAACAGAGAAAAAACAAGCCTCTGAACCTTTCAGCTTCCAAATTTCTACAAAAACTCTGATGATGTCAACCATTAAAAATTCTTTTTGGCATTTTTTCATAGTCAGAATGTGAAACCTCATTGCTTAACGATCTTAATCCAAATACAGATGTAGAGTGGAAAAAGTATTCTGCACGCTGTCTTTTAATGTCTTTCGGCTCGCAGCTCAAATGCCAAGTTTAAAAATAGGAGCAGGTAAAAGGACGTCTAAAAGTACCTCTTCACATTATAAGCAATTAAAATACAGGCCTTCATCGATAATTGCACTTAGTGTTAAACAAGTTTTCCCTGGGCTAAAACACTTGAATGGTAAAATTTTTGATAACCTAATGAAAGTGGACTACAAGTTTGGGATGGACACGGAATTTTGTGGAAATTTGAAAAATGTCTTTAACAAATGGAGGTAGAAAGGGCTATAACACCGTCAGTTTTGAAAGTTTACTATCGTCCAAAGCATGCCCAAAAGCACAACAGATTGTGGGCAGCACAATGGAGTATGTTACTTTTACATGCATAAGATATTTAGAGAAAGAAAATGCTGTTTCCTTCTTCTTTGGAAAGGATATTCTGTTTTGGCTTTGAGGTAGCTACAATGTGTGTCAAAAGTCTCGAAACACTAACAGCACTTTAGTCATTCATATTCATGTTTTTCCTCTCTTCCTTCTAACAATGCTGGTTTGACAATCAAAGAAAAAAATCATAGTTGAGCGTAGCTTGCAATTTTGAAACTAGGATGGCTGGGATACAAATGCAATATTGTTTTTAGGGAAAGAGGGTAACTTTGACATTTCTATAGACGTGAATTGGAAATAGATCGAGAATTGACTGAAACAGCTTGGGCGTTTGAAGTATTTTAAGTAAACCTTGTACAAAACCTACCTGACAAATACAGATGTTCCGAGACTTGATTCAACGTTGTTTTTGGTGATGAAAAATTCACAGATATCGTCACACTCCAATTTGAGCTTATAAGCGCCATTTGAAGGGACTTTGATATATCCAATGTAGCGCAAGGCATAGTAGTCACCAAAGTCGTGATCATGACTTGGATCAAAAAGGGTAGATTTGCAAGTGAATGACGTTGGATTGTTTGGATAATTCAGGTTGTTGTTGTATATATATGAAATTGTATAGGGGTAGGGGCCCATTTGCAAGCTGTCGTACCTTTGAGCAATCAATCCAGTCCATTTATAATGTGCTGAAAATATGAAAAAAATTAATAAAAAAAAAATCTTTTATTCTTTTGTCAAGGGTAACAAATATATCCTTAGAGTTATAAATTGGTAGAAAATCGAGAAGTCTTATCAAAAAAATATAGAAACTGCCAAAAAGTATTCAAGCTTAAATGTTATGTCTGTACAAGGATCAGTACCATGGTATGTAAAGAAGCAATTATCAAATGTCAGATTTTTATGAGAAGACTAAAGACTTCAACCAATAACTGACCAACATTTTAATCAACATCGATCAAATATTGCCTAATATTGCAAAACAGGGTTCTAGATTTCAGGTAACTTCCGCTCCTGTCATGATGTGAGATAAATAAGATGTGTGCACTGGTAACAAACTATATAAGCTTCACTCTTAACTATATTAGAATTAGTCAGAGGTAACTTTATCAATTGATTTGGTGTTTCGGTGTTACTTGCAGTTTGATGGTTTATATTTAAAGACCAAGAGTGTTTAAAAAACTTTTTTCCTCGTTAACAATAGCACCATATGATATGCTTATGAAAGAGATAATTGAAAATTTATCAGTAATATGACTTGATTTTAAATTTATTCAAAACTTCTCAGTAGCATTAATTTTAGACAGATTCGCATGTTCAGATTACAGATATACATAAACATTTTTATAATTTTGTGAAACGAACAAAAATGAAAAACTTGTCACAGAGAAAGCAATTAAATTGATTCCATGCATAATAATTCTTCTGCATTCCATGTACAAAGGTTCTGCATTCCTTAAGCCTTTGTCTTTAAAATTACATCAGTCATGGGATAGCCTTTGCTGCTTTGGGAATTATATTCAACATTATGTAAGAGAATTCAATCAAAATTCGTATTTACGGGCATTATCACTGGAGCATCATCAAGTTGCTGGCAAGCTGGTAGTATAGATATTTTAATAAGAGTAGGGACTGTTTTCTTGGGAAATGGGCACGAGTGCTCGCCAACAGGGAAAGTTCAATTAAATAGTCTCATAAAGTACTTGACTGTATTCTGTCGAAAGGGGAATATATCTATAAAGAATTATAAATACTTAGTTACCCATTGATCTTCGCAAGTATGCTTTTGGTATAGGCTTCACTTCTGTTGCATCAGGAAATGTCACACCAAGGCGAAAAAATCCAGTGCTAGAGGATGTACCGTAGTGATAAGCAACGATTTCGTATCTGAAGCCTTTTAGTAAGTCAACTTCAGCTGAATATTTCCTGCAGTGATAGAACATATTTTTAAAAATACGTTTTGGATTCATTTTACAAATATTGTGGCAAACCTATACAATTTGTTTAAAGAGATAATGATACTTGGGGCGACTTAGAGAGTACACGATTACAAATGATCAGATCTTAAAATTCAGATTTTTTGCTGTTGGATTGACATAAATGTAAAGCTATTAAAACACCATCTACATACAGTCTGTATGTTTTGGTTAATATAATATCAATTGATATCATTGGTTCACAGAGTATGCTAAGTTGTTTCCCGGTTGGTCGTACTCCAGAAAATTGTACTGCTTCATTTTTTAATCAGTGTGCACAAATTGGACAATTTTTCAGTTGAGTGGCAAAATGACGGAACACTTCCCGACCATAGGACAAAACTTAATCATTATACATTTTATACAATAATTGCCAATATTATACATTTTCGACTGATATTATACAATATTATACCTTTGCAGTTGTCTTAATAACGCTAGACATTACTGAAAGAGACTGAACAGGGTACCAAAACGATACAAGATTTATATCGGAGATTGAATGAAATTCGATAAGAAATTTCCCTTTCGGCATGTTTGCTGTTGGTTGAAGATGGACGATTTTTTAATGCTTTAAATGATAGAAAGGCAATGCCAATTAGATCAAAAACAAGAAGGCAATGCCAATTAGTATAACTCTAAAAGCAGTATTCCATTTTTCTTCTAAAATTTTAATAAACTTTTCAATAATTTCTTCTTTCAACAGAGTTGGAAAGAGGCGTAAAAGACGCCTGATTTTCATAAATTCAGAATTAATAGATCAAAAATATGAATTAATCCTTCGGGGAAGCTATCGATACGTCATTTTTAGGTACAAAAAACAAGATCTCACGGCTATTGGTTAAGACAAGAAAGTCAAGATTTCAGCAGCCCTCCCTACTGCAATTTCAGCAGCTCCATTTGTATCCTTGCAAAAATTTAATATCAAATCAAAGCTTACTTTTCATTCCAGTTATCATTGGTTTGTAGATTCATCTCTAAAACTTTTATAAATCCATTTGGGTTCATCTCGATTTCCAGACGACATTTTGAGCTGCATATAGCAAAGAACTTGTGCTTTCCATTTTGTGGCGAAACAAACACTGATGAATAGCGTCCATGTTGGTGCTTCCCGGGATAATAGCCAGAGTAGATGAAATTATCTGCATTTTGAACGTATGTTGGACAACCAGGATAGTCTGGAATGTTTCCAAAGTTGTCAAAACTGAATTGGCTAGAACTTAACCACGTTTTGATTATGATACCCGGACCTTGTTGATAGAAGCCTAAAAGGGAATATTATTTTTACTTTAATCTCAAGAAAATTAATCTCAATTAGCCAATTGACTTGAGCAAACAAATGTTACAACATTTTAATATCCCAACAAGACATAGTACTTTACCATCCTTAGCTTATAACAACCAGTAAATGCAAGGCCTTGCCCCCCACCACCAGTAGCATATGTAAAATACTTTTATTTTGTAGAATATGGCCGTTGCTGCACTTATTTATCAGGCTAACCTCCCCCCTCCCTAAAACGTAACAAGTTTTTTCTCAGTCCTTGTGTAGATGATTCTTTTGCTGGTTTTCGTTATAAAAGTTTCTGCAATGTATCTTGAATACCAAATAAAACAACTTTTTAATAACGATTAAATGCAATATCAGTTAAAATGAAATAGAAAGCATTATTGTTCAAAAGAGTTTCTTTTTGCTTCTATCTTTGTCGTTTGAGCAGGAAATGGTGATTATGCGAATAAAGGAGAGGCCACGATAGCAGGCTGCTCAACGGACTTCGGAGGAAATCTTGCGGCAAAAAATCGATAGAATAGTAGTGTATTAGGAACATCGAAACGCGATGAGAATAAACAACAACAAACACACTGATTTGTGTGTTTGTTGTTATAATGGAAACATTTCATTTTCAATTCAACTTAAACTACAACTACAAATCTCACTATTACAAGGTAATTTGCAATTGGCTAGCCTGGTTTCACAAGATAAAAACTATAACAATCGTAAGGTAAAAGGAAAAACTGAGAAAAAAAATATAAAACAACTAAAGTTAAAAAGGATGCAATTCCGGATTTGTCCATGGCTTATTTTTGCAACAAAATATGTAGTACGTAGTACGGATGGCAATGTTGGAAAGTTTAGAAATGAGATACTGTTTTTGTTGCTGATCGATGGAGAGAGAGTCACACATTTTGAAGAATGAATTGCAGGAATTGCCGAAGATGCCAAGAGAGCTCATAGAAAGATTAACAAAGGAGACACATTTCAACTGCCGCTGTAAACCAGATAAGAGAGGAGCATACTTGCTGTGTTTTCTTGTAGCATTTGTCTCAAGATTGGATTCGAAGCCAACAGTTAGCTCTAAAATGTAGAGGTAATTGTTGTTAGTCCTCAAGAGAAGATCAGGGCGAAGGTTTTCTCCAGTTATGATTCATGGTGAAAGATAGCCAGGTATATCAGCGTAGATTGTAGATTCATTGACAGCTTTTAGTGACGTAGCTAGAAAATTTAGGATAGAGTTATGTCGCCAGGTGTATCGGCCTTGTTCCAGATATGTTTTGCAGCCAGCAACAACATGAAGGAGGGTTTCTGGCAGAAAACAGAAAGAACAGGCAGAAGTCTGGCTCAAGTTCCACTTTTTCAAGTTTTTCTGTGTAGCAAGGGTATGGTTTAGGTACCTTATGGTGAAATTGAAAATATTCTGAGGCATGCTACTTTGCACCTTGGACCAAAGTTTGTTTATTTGTGGAAGATTCTGGTTAAAGAGATGTGATAATAAAGATCCTTGGGAGGTTAGGATGTTTTGCAGACGATCTTTATGCTCATGCTGGACAGCCTTTAATGCTTCTTTGGTGTTCCTATATATATCATATTGTATATTTGTGCCACTGCTGGTATTTTTCCATAAAGAGCGAATGTTATCGTTTGGTGAAGATTTGAATGCGTTTCGTAAAACTGTTTGACACTGTAGGAATTTGGTGGATGGTAAAGTTAGGCTGAGTCCAAACTGGTTTTTAGAAAGAATAATGCTACTCAAAGTAGCACTTATTGGGAGGTCGAGCCACTGGCGGATGCATTTGGATACAAGGTTGTCAAGATTCTCGACAACCCACGTCTTTGAAAGATCTGCTACAGTAAGGTTCCAGGAAATTTTAGAAAGAACGAAGTTGTGATAAAGACGTAGCTTATTTTTTGCATGAGAATCGATTTGGCTGGGAATCGATTTGTTTAAGCATGTTTGACAGTGATGATAAAAGGTCAGATTTATGTTCTTGGTTTGTCATTTCAAAGTCAAAATGACGACCGAGGTACTTGAAAGAGTTTCCATTCGAGACAGATGGGATAGGTTTGTTGTTTATGAAAAGCTTAGGTTGATACTGAAGAGAACGTGTGGAAAATTTCTTTATTCCAAAAGTGATGCATTTATCGACACGTATGATCATGTTAGCCCATTGGCACCAGCGAGTGAAACAATTCAGTAGAAGTTGGTTTTCTTTCTCATTGCTGATGATAACGGCAGCATCGTCTGCGAATTGAAACCAATGGACTGGTTGAAACATACGGTCGTTTTGATCAGGTAGGGAAAACCCTAACTGTTTGTATTTTTCAGCTTTTATGTACTGTATGAATGTGTTGAAGCATAGATTAAATAGCAGGGGACTGAGGCAGTCGCCTTGAAGCACACCACGACGGACTGGAATAGCAGGAGTATTATAGTGGCTTGTGATGAAAGAGGTTTTAAAATCGGTGTAAAGGCTAGAGATAAGAAGCTGTATGTTGTCAGGGATATGATGATAAGACAGTATAGTGGGTATCAAATTATGATGTACTTCGCCAAAGGCATTTTTGAGATCAAGAAGAGTGACAACCAGCGAGCGCTATTTTGTACGTGCTTTGTCGATAATGTGAGCCATATTTGAATTATGCTCAAGAGTGCCAGAGATGTTAGACGTGAAGCCTTTTTGAATTTGATGTTCAATATAGCCATTTATTTTAAGAAAATCAAACATGAAGTCACGCAAGCAAGAAGTAAATATTTTTAGTGGTACTGACTCAAGTGTTATGGGCCTGAAATTAGATGGATCTTCCACGCTATCCTTTTTGTGGATCAAGATAGTGCATGCCTTTTTCCATTCATTTGGAATATCTCCGGAAAGCCATATAACACGGAAAATTTCAGTAAGTTTACTACGTAGATAAGGACAATGTTTGAAGACAATGATAGAGATCTTATCCAAGGGGCAAGGAGAAGCAGAAGTTTTCATTCGGCGAATTATTGTTGTAATTTTCTGATATGAAGGAGGTTCCGACGGAAAAGGGTGATTAGGCTCTTGAAAAGTGGGTATCCAAGATGGTATTGAAAAACATTGCTTTGGTGAAAGAGAGGAAAGAGCTTTTAGAAAGTACTGAGTGCATATATCATTAGGAAATGTTGGGAGAATGGATGAGCTGGTCTTGAGGATGCGTTTAACGTAACTCCAGAAATTTTTTGAGATGAACTTATCATGATCAGCAATATGAGTAGTGTTAGAAATCATAGAACAGCCGTTGATCTTGTGACGCAATAGATGAGAGACGTATTTAATTTCTAAAAGAGTAGCATTGTTCATCTTCAGCAATTTTAAGTCCTTTTTAAGTTCCTTGGCTTTTCGATCTTGATATTTCGCGACCAGATCGTTGGAAATAATGTCGATGGTACCACAAGTTTCTTTAAAATAGTTATAAATTGAGTTATTCATCGAGGTTATTGCTTCGTTGATGGTGCACGGTTCCAATGGGAGATTTGATAAAGTAGATTTGAAATATTCGTTTGCAATGGACCATTCGTTTTTCGAATTTGGGAGACGAACACCGGGTTTAATTTCAAAAAATACATCCAAATTGACGTCATCTAGAAACCCACTCTGAACTTCACAAACTAGGTCTTCAGAGGTATCAGGGTTTCATATTCCGCTAATGACGCGACACCTTCTTTGATGCATCTTTAAACCTTTTGTTCCTTTACAAATTTTCCCACAACAGCATTTGATCCGATTGTCTTGCATAACAATGTTCTCATTTGTTTCCACGGAAATAAGAGGAATGTTGATAGATCCGTTGGGGCCATTTTGGTGGTTGGCGTCAAGCTTCCGTTTACATCTCCAAGAATGGCGGCCTAACGTTTTGAAATCTTGACCACAGAAAGAACAAACCACAAATATTGCAACAATCCAAAGCCAATGCGAACGAATCATTTCTAAAAAAACTCCTTGTCGTTTCAATAGTCGATTTTACTGTAATATACGAATACAAAGTAACCAGGCTATAATGATACTTGCTTTTAAACGAGAGCCGTGTACGGGAGCTCCGAACGCCACCGCTCAACGACTAATAATGATGGAAACTTTTCATTTTGAATTCCTGTTAAAACTACAATTACAAATCTCACTATTACAAGGTAATTTGTAACTGGCTAGCCTGTGTTTACAAAATAAAAACTATTACATCGTAGTAATGAGAAAAAAAAAAAAAAAAAAATTTTAAAAGGGGTGTAGCTCTGGATTAGTCCAAGTTTTGTTTCTACAGCAGAATATATAGTATGTGGTGCGAATGGAGATGCTTGTAAGTTTGGAGATGAGGTAGCGTTTCTGTTGATGATCAATGGACAAAGAGTCACACATGTCGATGAATGAGCTGCAGGAGTCGCCAAAAATACCAAGTGAACTGATGGAAAGATTGACAAACGAGACTGACTTAAACTGACGTTTTAAGTCAGATACGAGGGTGGCATATTTCCCTGACTTTCTGGCAGCATTGCAGTTGAGATTTGTTTCAAAGCCTATGGTTAGCTCTAAAACGTACAGACAGTTTTCCTTAGTTTTGAGAAGTAAGTCAGGGCGTAGTTGATCTCCAGTTATGATAGAAGGGGAAAGAAAGCCTGGTAAATCTGCGTAGAGAGAAGACCCATTTATTGCTTGGAAGGAAGTGGCTAGAAAGTTTAATGCAGAATTATGACGCCAAGTATAGCGTCCTTGGTCAAGGTACACTTTGCATCCAGCAACAACGTATAGAAGTGTTTCTGGAAGAAGACAGAATTCACAGTCAGATGTTTGACTAAGGTTCCATTTCAGCAGATTTTTTCGAGTTGGAAGAGTGTTGTTAAGATACTTGATGGTAAAGTTAAAGATGTTACAAGGCAAATTGCTCTGTGTACTTGACCAAATACCGTTCAGCTTTTCCAGTGAATGTTTCAGTAGGAAGGTAATTGTGGCTCCCTGAGATGGTAAGTTTTGGGAGAGACGTTCTTTGTTGTCTGTTTTGACAGCCTTTAATACCTTTTTAGTATTACGATAGATGTCGTACTGTAGGTTCGTGCCATGACTGGTGTTTTTCCATAGGGTTTGAATGTCAATATTAGGAGAAGATTTTAGGGCATTGCGACAGACAGTTTGGCATTGCGTAAATTTGATAGAAGGCAGTTGTAGATTTAGGCCAAACTGATTTTTTGAGAGGATTATTCCACTCAATGTTGCAGAAAC